TTTTATTCTGCATTAACTTTTTTGCACCGAGAGCCAAAGCAATTTACTAGTTTGTGACTTCTTGTTACTCACATGGCAATAAAAGGATTCGGATTCTGAAGACATTAACTGTATTCCGCAGAAACAAGAAAAACAAAAAAAGATTATGAATGATTTTTTTATGGGAGCAGTGGTATTACCTCATGTCCAGTCAGTGTGCTCCTCTGTGGGCTGCCTTGGTGGGTCAGGGGTCCTACTGGATGTGGTTCGGTCCAGGGCGCAGGGATCAATCAAGCCTTTGTCTGATGCATAGGCCTCATGTGTTCATCAGGGGCCCATTTGTCAAAGCCACAAAGCCGCCACAGTCCTGCTTACGTGCTTTAATAGCCATATACATTCTGTGAATTATCGTCATATATAATGGATTAATGGGAAGGACTTTCTCCACTTCTATCGGTTACTCAGATATTTGACAAGGAAAATCCCTTGGAGCAATGAACATATTAGAGCAAAAAAAATGATTTTGATAATTCCTCCTATTAATGTCTTTCTGTAATGATTCCCTTTTTGATTTTGTATCGATGATAAAATAAAATGTTATGCCAATGATGCACCTCTTTTCCAAAACTGATTCCAGGATGAGCACTTCATATTTAGTTCTTGCTGACACCAATACTGATTTTTATAATATTGCTCATGCTTCAAATACGTCCCTTCTGCAGATCATACTTGGTATACCTATAGCTGGAGTATTAGCCCCCTGTGTATTGTGAAGTATAGATCAGCAGCTTGTTAGCAGCAGACCATGACTTTGCCCTCTCATCAAAGGCTCCCATGCTGTTTGCAGAGTAACCCAGTGTTCTGTGTGGAGCTGTGGCGGGTGCCCACTCACTGATGAGATTATGCCCGGGTCAAATGAGGCTCTTTGAAGAGGATGTTTGAAGTGCTCCGTCTTTTTGTTGGCGCTGAAGTCTGACGCTAACAGGCCGCACTCACCAACCCCCCCCCCCCCCCCCCCCCCCCTGAAAAAGAGGCTTACTTTGTCTTAGATTGACAAATATAATGGGTCAATTAACAAGTTCATTCAAAAATCACAACTAATTGATTATTAAAAATAGACTATAATGTTTTATCTTTGCTTTTGTGGCTATTTCCGGATAATTACTCCTTAACATTATGGAGGTATTTTGAAAAAAAAATTACTTTTATTGAATGGGTTTGAATATTTAGTTTGATCATATTAGCAAAATGAGTGCTGTTATGTTTTGATTGAAACAGAACTGGGCAAAGAAAAAAACTTACAGATTATCATTATTATCTTGAAGAATTGTTGCTCATTATGCTTTGGGTTCATTGTTTAGAGTGAAAAGTATGTGGTTGTTTTCCTGAGAAGATAATCATTAAAATGACCTATGACATATTCGGCGAATGGGAAGCTCATTGCCGATAGTTAAAAAACGAGCAAAACAAATATCAGCTCACTCTTCTTCTTTCTAACGCACCAATTATTAGATGAAATAGTACATTTGATTCGAGCAACATTTAACTAGAAATAATCATATACAACAGCCCAGACCAGCCTGTAGTGACGTTATCTGAAACTTGGCAACTTGGATCGTGCTTGTTGGTGTTTGAGCAGTGGATCTTACGCCTACATAGAGCTGCACTCTTCACAGAAGCTATGGCCATTTGCCTCTGACTGAAATCTACAGTGCAAATATTGACTTCCTTCTGAGCTGTGCAGTGGTCGTCTGAAATCAGAGGCACTGGCAGAAGAGAGAGAATGGGCCTTAGCTATTTTAAATCTAGTTGGCAAGGCTAAGGACAGAAGAATTATAGTAATTCAGATGACACTTTGTGAATTTTAAAGCCATACAATGCATATTATTGAGGTTACTTAATGGAAACTAGATCGCTTTGGCCTTGACAAGAGTAAAATGCCATAGCATTATATGTTATGTATTATGAATGTTTCCGACTGTGAAACAATGTCCTCTTCAACAGCTGACCAAAGCAGCTATATGAACGTCAAATTCAATTCAATTTATTAGTAGTTGGCGGCACGGTGGCTGAGTGGATAGCACTCTCGCCTCTCAGCAAGAAGGTCCTTGGTTCAAATCCCGGCCGGACAAGGGCCTTTCTGAGTGGAGTTTGCATGTTCTCCCCGTGTCTGCGTAGGTTTCCTCCGGGTACTCCGGTTTCCCCTACCACTAAAAATATGTACAATAGGTCTGGCATGTGCCTCCTGTTCGGCGACCCCGCTCCCATCTCTGTGTGGAGTGAGAGGACAAGTGCCCAAAAATAACAATTGTAAACCGCTTTGTGACTGGTCTGTGAAAGGCGGTATATAAATAAAGCTTACTTAGTTATCTCGGAGAACTTTACGAAACCGTCAAATTTGCCTACACAGATCAGATAACACTGGGTAACAAAAAAATATTTTTTGAAAATAGTCAGGGTTTTCCAGCTGAATTAGACTAATTTTGACGCTCTGAGTACGAAAATGACCTTGGTTTTGCTCAATCAGGTCAGGATTTTTTGCTACAGAAATATTTTGTTTCATCGATTTTGCATAAAAAAACAAATTTCTGCGGATAATCAGCTGAGAAACCCTTGACGTTTTTTCCGTTTTCCTCAAGAAATAAAAGTCAAAATATCCAAAGTCATTCAGTTTTTATTTACTCCATCAAATTTGATAAGCAGAATTCATAATAACGTACTGTAGACGTACTTAATCCGTAACACTATGGCTGTATCTCAAAAAGTTGACCTGATAGAGCAAAATGCATGTGATATTCGGACTCAGAACACCGAAATTAAGCCTGGTTCACACGAGACGATTTTAAAATTGTCGGCCGATTTTTGCAAGCCACAAACATCACACACGAACCGACCCCCCCCCCCCCCCCCCCATTTTTTGGCTGTCAACTTGTGTAATCAAATAAGGGAAGCTTAAACACATTCCCAAGGCTATAAAGCTATTGATTATGTGCATTACAGTTTTTTTAATTACATTATTTCTCCTAAACACAATGCAGTATATTTTACGACTGTTTCTGATTAATTTACAAGGCGTGCATTACTAAAGTTGTAATTTGTTTGTATGTTCTTGTACTGTACTGTACTGACTACAGATTGACATCTCTGTATTTTAGCATGTTCCTTCAAAGACTAAATTAAACTAATATTGAAAGTTGGGATCATAGTCTCCAAATACTGTGGACCAAAAGCATTAAGACTCAGATTAAGAGATCATTTATTTTTCCCAAAACATTTTCATGTAAGAAAGAAAATCCATTTGCAACAAGTGAATTTAAACACAATTTAAACTTATTCATGTTAATATTGCATCAGCTTGTAATGATGATTAACATACAATTCCTGTCTGCATATATTTCACCCATTCTGTTTGAGTTGAGGCAGTTTGACCTACATGTTTGATGAGCTCCCACACTGGAAAACATAACACCATTGATATAATCCCTGCCCAGAGCCACGTGTGTTTGACGGGGTGAACCTGAGGCCCCACTGTCACTACCTCACTCTGTACTTGTATGCATGCAGTTTGGAGATTAAATCAGAATCTGTTCAAACTTGCATATGTATTTATATTCAAGATTCAGATTATTTTCCATTTGCAGTAAAACCACATTGGAATACATGTGCAAAAGTACCCCAGTGTGCACCAGACAGAGCAGATATTGCACACCAAAGCTCTTGCCACAGTTGCTATATAAAGTTCATATTAAAGCGATCATGTGAATGTATGAGTGAGTTGAGTGGATTTTGGTCCATTTTGTTTTATAAACAAAAAATCAAAAAAATAACAAAAAACATTGGATCACCTAATAGTATTAGGTTGTACCACATATTGGCATGGGTTCAGATCAGTGGGGGAGGGTCCCAGCTCAAAAGTGGCCAAAATGACGTGCGCTGACATGCTTGCAATACCACCCCGGGCCGATGGGGGTGGACCCAGAAGAAGAATTAGCCAATGCTAACATATAGCATTGGCAGACCTCTCGAAAACATCTTTACAGGATGGTCCAAAAGTTGGCTCTTCCACGTGTGTGTCAATGCTGAGGGGGGTGAATTTTTTTGGTCCACTCTAGTTTACTTGCTGTGAATTTTTTAAGTCTCTCGTTCAAAGGAATGGAGCTGCGCCGGCTGACGCATGCGCAGATGCGTTTTTTCACAATTTTCTTGTGGGCGGGACCACTCTCGGCCGTTTTGGATTGTTCCAAAATGTTTTGGCCCATTAGTTAGAACGGCGGAGATAGGCGTGACTCTGTCCGTTAATATATACAATCTATGGTTCAGATATTAACCACATAGAGATCAGGCATGAACCAATTCTATATAAAACAGGGGTGGGAACTAGCAACAATGTGACATATTGCGATTTGATTCTTTGATATATTCTGATTCATGTCCCTCATATTATTCAAAAGCTTTACGAAAAATAGGAGAAAGACTGCTCAACTCCATCAAGATGGATCAGCAGGGGTCTCTCAAGCTTAGCAACTGTGATATCACACAACATTGCGAGTTTCGAGTTAGTTTATTGGTTAATTCACATTCATGCTAAACCTGAAGCCATGACACAGAGAGGGGGCCCCCAGGGAGACGGAAAATTGATTATATCTAGAAAATGCATACCAACACAACCAAAGTAGAACTTTTATGAGCAGTTTGGCAGTAATGTCGCATGAATTGTCTGTTTATTTGTATTTTTAAAAACCTAATGGTGGTAAAAGAAAAAATTAAACCTGAGACTGAGACTGAGTTTCTTCTATCACAACCGAAGATCTCATTATGAATGTATTTCCTTTAAAACCCTCTGAATGAAAGGCCTTTTCATTCAGAGTAATGCCAGGGCCATATGGTATACTGTTTTGATATAATTGTTGTAATACCCAATGAAGTCATAATGACATAATGGACGCTGCAGCATTTTGTCTGTGGTTGAGGTTTTATTGTGTGGTTGTGTTAACATAATCTTTCTCTCTGCTTGTTTCCAGTTTATTACCGAGCTCTTGTCAACTTCACGGACTCCCTGGTGTGGACCCCAGACTTTGAAAACATCTTCTCTCCGGCATTCACCGAGGTTTCGGACGCTGTGGTTGATACGGTATGTCTCTCATTCTTACATTTTTGACAATTTAGCAATAGACATTTCTAATTCATTCATTCAAATGGTTGAGATGCATTTTGATGGTAAAAGTGCCTCAAACCAAATTAAATGAAAGTAAATAATTGACTCAAAGGTGATCCACCAAATGGTTGAGGAAACAATTAAAGGGTAAAGTGAAGATTGATGAACAGCCATCTTCAAATAAAAAAATAAAATAAGCATGGATTGTTCAGCGGCATAAAAAAACATCTTGCGATTAACGCTAGCACAATTGTGCCACAGCTGCTGCTGTCCCTGTAAAGTCTACAGGGATGTGTAGAGGACAGTACAGGCCAAAGGACAGCAGGACAACACTCATAGTCTCTGTGGGGGAAAAAAAATATTCGTGGATCAGTTCCTGGCCAGTGCGCGTCTGTGCGCTCGAGCCAGTTTCATCCTCCACCGTGTTTGCAAACCTAACTGTTGCTCAGTGCGTTCATCCTCAGAAGAAAGAGAAAGCACCCACAAGCATTTGTGTCGTCAAAGTAGACAAAAGTAAATGAGATGAGAGGTGAGTTTCTGATAAATAATATGACACTTGGCAGTTTCAAGTGACATTTATAATATGAGCCACACTACACAAGAACATACTGTAACCTTTGGTGGCAGATGTGTACCTCGAACCATCTACAACTTCTAAACTGATCCTTCAAGTATTTACTTCTTTCCTGCCTATGAAATGTGAATAAAGACAACATGGTTATTACTTGTTCATGAATCACATGTGCATCATGAGTAGCCTATAGTAGACAATCCAAATACTTTCATTTTGGAGGGGATTGGTTAGGTATTTTGCTTCATCTAATCCCTTTTCAAATTTAGGTACATTTTGAACAGGAGAAAATGTGCAATATATTCTTTGCTCTTTTTTAAAAGCCCATCTGCCCTTGAACATGATATAATCCCTTTGACAACTTGCCCTTTGCCTCGTAAATACAAATGGTTAAACAATTTTGCTTGATTGATCTTATTATTCAAGCTTATAGCAAGAATGGCAACTTCCGTATGTAATTTTCCATATATACAGTGCCACTATAATAATATTATAGTATCAGCCCTAATATTGGTTGAATAATTATCAATACATATGCATCACCTATCACTAGTCATTCCAAATCAATATTTAGATTGAGAGAGTGAATGCAAAACATCTGGAATGCATTTACAAGGCCTTGTGAATCCGATAACATTATTTGTATGAAAATGGCCTTTGATTGTGTCCCTTAATGTCCAGACAAGCTGCTCCTAAACTGAACTGTGGTCAAGTAAAGTACAAGGAGATTAATGCTGCCTTATAAGGATGGGACTTTTTATTTGTGTCTGGGTGAAATTAAGTGTGTGACCTCAAGTTCTTAAAATAAAACCTGGATTTCTTCAAGTTCTTTTTAACCAAATCTGGCGGTCTCTTTCAGCTGGAGTCAGAATATAACAGAATCCCAGGAGTCCAGACGGTCAGCGTGGTCCTCATCAAGTAAGTGTCTATTATACTGTTTTACATTGACAAGTGAAGTCACAAAGTAATTGAAACTGATTCCTTTCTCTTATGGAATCATTCAGACTGCTACAACTACTTCTACTACTACTCAATCACTTATGAACTTGTCCTTTTGCGGTTTATAATAAAGTTCTTCTATAACACCCCACAGTTTGACATAGGAATAGCATGTATCTTAATTGCAAAAATATGGCATTCATTTCTAGGGCTGCAGTTGATCAAAGAAATGCTTGGTCGATATAAAAACATCTCTGGTGGGTTGATTAATTGCTGGATTAAAAAGGGGAGTGTGACAAAACCTCATTATAGTTATATGTGTCTGACCTCTATGCAAAACAAGTGAAGTAATGAGAAAATCCTGTTGCTAGGTACAGTAAATCCCAAATATTCAAATTTGTTCCAACACTTTAAATTTTCTTCTACTTTCCTTTATTAATTGATATGATTTTATATATAAAAATGGTGATACATATTTTGGTTAACCACGATTCCATCCACTAAACGACCAAAGACGACCAGCTCTTGTGTCGCACAGACCTACACTGCAATGACACAATGTAATTTTTAATATAGGAAACATGTAAAAGCCTTCTGTTCATCATATGACTGCATCCCTTGCTCCATACTCACTTTATGTTTATAACTTGCCAGGGAAATGGTTGGAAACGGTGTTATAAGCGTATTTGTGGAGCTTGACGTGGGTTCGGACTACAACAAAAACGATGATCAGATCCGCAGTGTTTTGTACAACGTAGTGAAAGAAGGAGCTATTGCGTCCTACGTCACCTCCGTTCAAGGATTTGAGTTCAGGCGCCTCGGAGAAGGTAAGATGCTTCCTTCACTGTACAAAGAACATAAGATTGCAGACATACAGGCGTGTTGTCATCCACTGAGATTGCAAGTTGAAAGTACTGAACTATACACAAAGATATATTATTGTTCATGAATTTAGATTGCAAAAATTTAACTGAATAATTGAATATATTTTATCAGATATCCAAAAGGTTTTACGGCATCATTTATCTGGCACGATTATTTGACTCAATCTTTATAACCTGTTCATCATCTTTCTATACCATGTGTCTGTGTCTGTTCTTTTAATATGTTGAATGTAAAGGTTTCATATATATAAAAAAAATCAATAAAATAACAGGTCTTATGAAACGTTTGTTTTGCTTCAGGCTTAGGCAGCGTCTCTAATGTCTGTTTGCCTTTTAGCCTCTCCTCCTTCAGTGGAACCTTTAGCTATCCCAGGTCTGTACTGGACCATGCCTGCTGCTGTGTGCTGACCTCTAGAAGTAGAAAGAGTTACATTTCGTCCATTTGATTATGAAATGCATGATTTTTACTTCAGATGTTCTGCACATAATTATAACCTGAGCAGAGATATTCAAAATATACAAGAATCAATAGACAGTAGAGTTTTGTGATTGATTCTGACGGTGTGTTGTGTGTTGTTTATGCGTAATAATTTATTATTTAAGTTGTATTGTATGACTTTTCCGATGGAAGGTAAGGCCAAATTACTCAAATTATTTATTATTTATTATTTTGTTTTCTGTGAACAGAAAATCAAATGGAAAAACAAAAAAAGTCTTTCAATCCCCATAAGAAATTGACTTTGAAAATCCCCAAATGTTGTCAGTTTAGTAAACCATTGTAGTTTGCTGTGATTGTTGGCTTACTGTGTGGTTTGAAAGTTATTGTTTATTTGTTGTTGGGTTTTTTTCACTTTTTTCATACTTCCTGCAGTGACGCCCAGCCTCCGGTCGTGTATGCCAGATGAACACCGGTGTAATGATGGAACCTGCATCCTCATGGAATATCTGTGCGACAACCGACCCGACTGCAGAGACATGAGTGACGAGCTTAACTGTGGTGAGTTCAGATAGAAAATAGTTTTTGTTTCACGTTCACTAGGTTGACTCTGAATTGAACCACCCTGCTTAAAAACTGGCCAAATAACTTGTTAGAGATATGAAAGATTAAAATTATGATGATTAAAAATAATACATCAAAACTATTACACACATCCCTTGGATATCATATGTTTAATGCAGCTATATCTGTTCCTATGATAGTGGTTTGGAATGTTTTACGCTTTTAATATAAATGTTAATTTGTAGGGTTTTTCTAATCCTTGCTTTCCAGCCATGTTCTGTAAAAATGAGTGTTGCATTAAATAAGATCAACTAAATCAAAGCTGTTCTTTTTACCCAGAAACAAAGCCTCCCGTTGTACCGATAACTCCTGCTCCTGTCACCACCACCCCCACCACCACCACCACCACCACTACCTCGGTCCGGAAGACCACGTACCAGCGTCCCTGCAGAGTGGACCAGGCCACGTGTCAGAGCGGAGAGTGCATCCCGCGGGACTACATCTGTGACGGCCAGAGGGACTGTTCCGATGGCAGTGACGAGTTCCGATGCGGTGAGTTCCATACAATAGAGAAGGCAAAGAAATGAGGGCTTTATGTGGTCTCTTGTAATGAAATCAAAATTCAATGTGATATTTGTTCTTTTTTAAAGAGAATATTAAAGGAGTTGCACAATGTGTAAACACAATAAAGTATAATTTAACCAAAAGCCTTTACTTGAGTAAACTGGAAATTATTTTCAAACAACTTGTCTATACCAAACTATATCATGGTATAGACCAGGGGTGCTCACACTTTTTCAGCATGCGAGCTACTTATAAAAGGATCAAGTCAAAATGATCTACCTACTACAAAAATGCAAACCATATATTTATTTCAAAAAATATTCTTTATCTACAATGTATGTTTATGTACATGCAAAACCGCATGAGCCAATATAGCACAACACAACACAATTACCTATGTACATTTTTTGTCATTACCCGAGTTTACTCTTATGACTTGCACTGAATTGAATCGGCCAGGGAGGCATAGTCCGGAAAATTGGTGGTAACTCGCTGACAAGTTTGTCGTTGTTTAGCTTTCCTGCACTGAGCGCGTTGTTTGCGCATGTGCAGTCACCTAAGTGTCAGTAAAACATTACTGAGTAAAACACACATGTGCAGTCACCTAAGTGTCAGTGAAACATTACTGAGTAAAACACAGATGTGCAGTCACCTAAGTGTCAGTAAAACATTACTGAGTAAAACACACATGTGCAGTCACCCAAGTGTCAGTAAAACATTACTGAGTAAAACACAGATGTCATTTGACTGTGGTGCCATGTCCATGTGCTATGCCTGTTTTTTTTAAATCCAAATATTTCCCCTCCTCAGTTTATAAAATAATTTGCATCCAAACATCTGCGTTATCAATCACATTCGTAACATTCCAAACATGTGCGTCTCTTACGTCCTGTCCTGCGTTGGGGAAAAACACAGAAGTGGGCGGAGCTTTGATGCAGACGCCGGTAACGTCACTTTTACAGTCATAGAAGACACTCAGGCCCAGTCCCAATACCCACACTGCACCCTACACACTTCTACGAAGTGTGCATTTGTTCAAAGTGCACACCAGGGTTGGAGTGCGCAGGTTACAAGTGTGCAAAAAAGGCGGAATTGGGACAGTGCACCCTGAGTGCAGGTTACGTCATCGACTCGTTTAAGTTAAATGTGGGTAACTAACTATCTGGTCAGTTTTTATACATTCTAAGATTATTGTACTAAGTGTAAAGTTTAAATTGAATGTTATATAAACGCTTTTTTTTAAAAGTTATTAAATTGTTAAAACACAATGTCCGTAATTCTTCATCAGACGTTTATGCTTCTTTCCAAGTAACATAGAAAAACTTATTTACACACATACAGCATATATATTTCAAAATTTATATTTAAATGCATTTTCCCGACGTTTTGATGTGTACCGCAAAGAATTATGGGCAATATCCTTCGCCAGAGTGCGCATAGATGCAGGCTACGGCGAAGTGTGGATCAGGGGCGCAAAGGGGGCGGGGCCAAAGACCTCCCTGGAGAATTGGGACACCCTACGCACTCGCACCCTTTATCGGGAACGCGCAAATTAGGGGCGCAAGGGTGGAAGTGCGAGTATTGGGACGGGGCCTCAGAGTAAAGACGTATGTTTACAAGCACTGACCCCGTCCTCAGCCCTGGTTTAGTCCTGGTTTAGTCCTGGTTTAGTCCTTAGCCCTAGTCCTGAGTCCCCGCGATCACTTTGCTGCTCTCTGATGTGGAGCGAGGATGTTCGCTGCTGCAGCATCTCACAGCGAACAGTTTTTAAGGTAGTATGATCCATGCTTCAGTGATCAGAGGAATTTAGGGGGGTACTGTGGCGTGCGAGAACGCAAAACTCCGGTTATCTCTGTCTACACACAAATGCATTAACGGAGTTTTCAAAAATCTCCACTTTGCCCGGAGTTTTTTGTATATATTCGTTTAGAATGTGTATTTATTTATTTATTTGATGCGATCTACCAATACTACCTTTGCGATCGACTGGTAGATCGCGATCGACGTATTGAGCACCCCTGGTATAGACCAATCAAGTTCTGAAGGTTGAAAAAACAAATGATAGATGATCACTTTTTTCCATCAAGAGCTTCTTATACAACATATCCGCAGTCCAGTAAAATACATTTTGCTCAAGAACATTGCACATTGTCAGTCTTTGCTCTAACCTTTGCCTTTCAGCCTATGAACTGATATAAATAGCATCGTTGCATTTTGATGTAAGTCTCGGCCCCTGATATAACAGGGCCTGTCTGCCTGGAGTTTGCAAGTTTCCCTCTATCTCTACAATATAACAGTATATTCAAACACCAACTTGACCACAACAACTTGTCGCACATGCTTGGCTAGATCATCTTCCTGTGGTCTTGCAGGGACCCCCTCTCCATGTGAACCTAATGAGTTTAAGTGCAAAAATGGCCGCTGTGCTCTGAAACTGTGGCGCTGTGATGGAGACAATGACTGTGAGGACAACTCTGATGAACTCGACTGTCGTAAGTACATGCTTTTTTCCTGGTGTTTCTATCCCAAAATAAGAAGTATCTTTTTAAATGTATAATTTGTGCTGTAGCCACAAAGGGTCCCAGTGACAGATGTGCCCCAGAGCAGTTTGAGTGCCTGAGTGACCGCACATGTATCCCGGCCAGTTACCAGTGTGACGAGGAGCCCGACTGCCCCGATCGATCTGACGAGTACGGCTGCAGTAAGTTTAAGCTCTTGGGAATCAGAATAATAGAGGTGCACTATCTAAAATGACCTAGAGAGGTGTGCGTCTTTTCCAAATTCTCTTTGGTCCTGTGTTCTATTTGTCAAAGGTGATTTCTAGAAGATTTAGAAGTTATAATTTGCAAACACTCCCTTGAGTTAATGCAGTGTTGGGTTTGGTCTTTTTCCGATTTTTTGTGTTATGTTGAGAAAACGTGTGTTATTCCCCTATTTTTGAATAATTTTGGCATTAAATCTATACATATCTATTAAAGTAGGTAAAATTAATCTCAATGTAAACAATGGTGTGAAAAGGGCATATGTTCTCTTGACAAAACATGTGACAGGGGACTTCGAGGACCTTTGCATCTCATTTGTTAAGAGTGTTCATCCTTCTTTTTTACATGCAATTAAGAAAAGCTATGAGAAAATAGAATAGAATAATTTGGCAGTCCCATTAGCTGGTGTTTGTGGATTTCCATTTCTAAAACGTGCCATTTCTAAAACGTAATCTTACATTTTGGAGCACACATCTAGTATCTACCAGTGTAAAGCTTTAAAATATGTGATAATATTTTACTTGTGGGCTCCATGTAAATACTTTGACTCTTACTTGAGTACATTTCTGAAATGGTATTCTGAAGTCTCGGCATTCTTCCATGGTTTTCATTTTTGCCTATAGTCTAGTCACCTCTGACAGTATGTCTCCTTTAACCTCAGTAATAGCCCTGTCTGCTCTTTTGTGTTCTGTGACTAATTTGCTGGTTCTTTTCACACATGACACACTGAGCTTTTTGTGTTTGGGGGAATCCATTCCTGAGGACTGAAGGAGAATTGTCCATCCATTTGAGTGAATTATTTGTCCCTTTGACTATATGCCATTTATGTGCTCCACTGAATGAGCTAATCCCGACCCATGCCAGCTCCTCCTAATGTGCTTTTAACGAGAGGCTGAAGTTTGTAGTGTTTTTCACATCTCACAGCAGAGGTGAACCATACATTGACAATGAATATTTGTGAAATCAGTGTTTAGATACACAAATTAAGGTGAACTACAAACATGTATTTATTTATTTAGAGGACAAACAAAATTTAAAAAAAATAAAAATAAAAAAGCAACCATAAAAAATACACACACATAAACCCTCAATCACTCACACCCATACACACACACACACACGCGTGACTGTACTGTAGTTACACTAAAAAAGGATAATATTATTATTATTAATAGTATATTAGTGATAATAATAATTGGGAGACAGTAAAGACAAGTTTAGGTCTCATAACCTAAGATCAAAAACATTGACATGAATTCTGGAGATTTTCATGTTAACATAAAAATAGATGCTTTATACTTTCCGCCCCTGACCAGTTCTCATTTTTTTTATTCGGCCCCTTGACCAACATTTGTTTGACACCCCTGCTCTACAAGAAACTAATGATGTCTTAAAATATTTTAATGGCTAACTTGCTAAAGTAGTTTGCCTTCTCCGCCTCCCCTCCTTACAGCCTCTCCTTCGGTGACGGTCCCCCCAGAGGAGTCCATGCAGGTGGCGCGAGGCTCTACAGTCACATTCAGCTGCCAGGCCAGCGGAGTGCCCACCCCCATCATCTCCTGGAGGCTCAACTGGGGACACATCCCAGGCAGCGCCAGGTGGGCTCCATGCTCTCAGATTAACGAGGATTTAGTGAATTCTAAAAATATGTTGAAATAGTGGAGAAAAATAGCAAAATAGAATCATAGTCACAGCAGGCATTCAACTACCTTCAATGTATCAAACTGGAGTTATTAGTGTGGATGCCAAATATAATATTGATTCCTATTCAAAATGAAAAGAAAGAACAAAGAAGATATGGTGTTTATTGAATTTGGATGCAGCCATGTACTTTCCAGAAACCATGAGTGAACTCTGTGACAATAAGATAAACAATCCTTTCAGATTACCTTTATAATGTGGTCTGGGTCACGATTTAAAATCTCACGGGACAAAAACTCCTGTAGTCTATAGCCATCTTAACGGATAGTGGTGATACATGATCTATGAGGGTATTAAGTAGTCTCCTCCATATTCATCCTCACAAACATACGTTTGCACACTGTAACTCTTCTTGAATAAATAGAAACAGGTTCACTGATTTCCTCTTCAAAACTGCATAATTGGCATTTCATTGTAACCAACATCATCAAGAATCCAACCTGTTCAGCCTGGAGTGTGAATCTTATGATTATTTGAAGTAAAGAGAGTAGAGAGAAAAAGGCAGGGATAAGTGGGAGATGAAGCTGCACAACAATACATGTTCAGTCACACATGCAAGATGCATTCAAACCTTCAGAGACTGCATAAGGGTTTATTTCAAACAATAGATAATAATCATGATGTTACAGAAATGCATATCCTTCTGATAAGTACAGCCGACTAGCTTTCATTTGCCTCTCTGACCAAAATGAGTGCCGGCTCTAAAGCCCATGATATGATACGTGTTGATACATTGCTTTGCATTAAGTAAACAAGGATTTTTACTTTTTCAATATCACAGTATTCACTTTTAAACATGTGCCTGAGATTTCTGTGGTTAAGGCAATCATCAACTCCTTGGCTCAAAATAATCCTCATGAATTAGCATTTTTATAGTTGGGTGTAGCCTGTGTTCTGTATGCGGTTTCAGTGCATTAGACTGTCATTTAACTGTGACAGTAAATTATCCAACTAACATATGGCAACTATAGGTCAACAACTTGCCTTGTGTTTTGTTGGTATTGTCCCAGGTCTAGGAAGTGGGGCTACAGTTGTTTTAGTGATAGGTACTTTATATTTGTACCAGGAACATTTTTAAAGTGTGTTTTTTAAATAGCTGCATATCTGTAAAGTTAGCCTTTCACCCTTATCATTTACCTATCCATAATCATGGTTTGAAGTGGTTCATGCATGTTTGAGTGCAGTCATTTCTTTTCTCCAGAATTCAACAGGCTAATGCTGCCATTTTCAACAACAAATAAGGACAGATGGATAGCTTTGACCATGTCATTTTTTTAATCAATACAGACATTTCTGTACGTAAGTTGAGATTCAAGTATATACTTATGAACCAGGTATTTTGGAGATTCGACTATACTGCAGATATAGAAACATAATATTATGTCTTATTTCATGAATGCACATCTATTCATTATCTAGTGCACAAATACTAAATGCATTTGTACTTTTCAGGATCACCATGACAAGTGAAGATGGGCGTGGCACTCTGACAATTCGAGATGTTAAAGAAACAGACCAGGGGGCCTACACCTGTGAGGCTATCAACGCTAAAGGCCTTGTGTTTGGGATTCCTGATGGAGTCCTTACACTGACCACTTCCTCCAACCTCGGTATGGGCACTGAGTGCAGATGTCAGGTTAATTAGTTAATGGATAATTGTGAAATTCAGATCAGTATATAAAGTTAAGAACTACTCCATAAGGTTGTAATATAGTTGAAAAGCCCAATTTCTTCTGTAAGTCAACCTACTATTTGAAGTGAATATATGATATCAAGCCTTTATTTTCTATAATTTCTAAAAACAAAATTAGGCTAATTAGAGGTTTGTTGTTGTTGATAAAATCATAGCAAATATGCTAAATGCTTTGCATATGATATTTTGCATGTGATGAGTATATATCATATATTGGTGTCCCATTTAGTTTTTGTTACAGAAATAAATTAACTTTTTTTACAATATTCAAGTTTCACCTGTACATGAGCTGGCCTGGTTGCTTATATCAGATTTTTTTTTTATGACCTTGAAAGTAAAACAAGACATTTCATCTTGTTTATTTGGTAAATCTTAATTTGAGTTAGTCAAAATATACTCTCATCTAGATTCATATTTCTAGTGGTTAGTTATTTGTAATGAATGCAAAATGTTTTATTTTTTGTAGGAAACTGTCCCGATGGTCAGTTCAGCGTGGACGGCCGCTGCTTGTCCTGCTTCTGTGCCGGAGTTTCAAAGAACTGCAAATCAACCGGTCGCTACCGAGACCAAATCAGCCTGCGCTTCACTGAGGAGGATGACTACAAAGGCATGGATGCTTTTAACAAATAATTAATGCATTAACCTCTATTAACTCTAATCATGCAAAATTTTGTTTTTTGTGTAGGAGTGAATGTGAGTTTCCCTTCACGTCCTGGGACTCCTCCGCTGTCGTCTACACAGCTCCTGATAAACCCAGAGGAGCGCGAGTTTCAGCTTGTCGATCTGTCAAGACGCTTTCTCAACCTGGACTCGTTCTGGACTCTACCACGGCAGTTTCTCGGCAACAAAGTAATTATCAATATTTGAAAAAAATAAAAAAATTGTTTTTTTTTTAGGTAGGATGTTTGGGATTGGTGTTTGGAAGTCCTTCAAATTGATAAATATTGTGACGGTAAAGATCTTACAGACAATAGTAAACTTGTTATTGTGTTTGTGGATAGGCCCAGTGGTAATATCAACCATAAACCAGGTCAACAAATATGCAGTCTAACATTTAAACACCCACATCCAACTCAAGAAGTATTTACTGTTGCTGAGATGAAAAAGGTAAAAATGGCTAACTCCATCCACGAGGAGTCTTTTACACCATCCTTAATATATACTGTCCCAGTCAAATAAATAATAAATTAACAAATTAGTCTCTATTATGATACATAATTTACATTTGAAAACAGTAAGAAAGGCAGAGGTTTTGTTGAGTTAATCTAAAATTGAACAGCAAACCCCCAGTCATCCAGCAGAGTTCCGTAATAGACTCCCATCCTCAACTCATTTTCACATCTGGAGGAAATGGCCTGAGAAGATGATTTATTACTGCTTGGTGCAGACTCGTCTTATCAACTATGACAGTATTCCTTATGATCAGAGTACTTTGCATTTTTTCTAAACATTATGCAAAATGTAGAAATATCTGATGGACAGTATTTATATTTTTGTTATGGTTTTAGATTGACTCGTATGGAGGATCGCTAAAGTACAAAGTGCGTTTCACATTGGCTCGCGGCCAGTCCGAGCCTGTGGAGAAGCCTGATGTGATCATGGTGGGAAATGGACGCAGACTCGTTTATCGCAGAGGCAACCCCACTCCTCCGAGAGAAACTAACTCCAAAGACATCAAGTTCACTGAGGTAAGCCACTTAGCATTTTATAACAAAATCGAATTATTTGAATCTAGTAAAGGCTGTTTCTGACTCCACGGCGGTCCAGTGTGATGTGCAGTTCCTGGGAGGCAGAGGAGATATATGTTTGCTCATAAAGTATTCTATATTTTACTAAAGCGGATGCTCTGAGCTTTTATTCATTTTATGATGTAGTGTGTTTGAGAAAAACATAGTGGTGTTTTGTTTAATTTGCACATGTTTACGTAATCTGGTCAATGTCTGTCTCCTCTTCTTTTCCTTACAAATCACAGATCATAATATTTCATAAGGCTGTTTGAGGATATAAATTAGTATTACGTGACAAATTATGTCTGTGTTAAAACTTGTGAACTTGTGGTCATGCTGGATGCGAGAGGAATATCACTGGCTTTGTCAGGAATATTTCAAAAGATACAATTAAAGGTATAAAAACTGTATGGTTCCTGAAAAGTCCTTTTATTTGTTCCTTTTCCTGAAATGATAATTGTCTATAATGATTGGGATAACAAGTAGCAGATTATTATTTTTTTTGCCTTCAAATATGGGACATGGCCAAATCATCTGTGTATAACAGTCTAATAAACTCAATGAACAAAAAATAATAAAAATAACTCAACTCTGGACAAAATATGTATACTACTGAAACAGAGATGGGATATTCCCCAATATCTCATCTTATAGTATCTTATAGTCATTTCTAGACGATGAATATGGCAGCCACAGAACAAATGTTGTTTTTTGATGCTATGATTCTTAACTTAACGCTTTATATTCCAATAGCTATGACCAACACAGTCCGGGGCTTTCTGAATTTGATTAGTGGCTAAATCTTCAGCCTTTGCAGACATTTAATTTGGTTTAAATGATGATTTCCTTCAGCAAAACTGGCAGCACTCAAACGGCCGGCCTGTGAGTCGCGAGGAGCTGATGATGACTCTGGCCAATCTGGACAGCATCAATATCCGGACCATCTACGACAACCACATGGTGAGCGTGGCCCTAAGCGACATCCTCATGGACACCACCAACCGGGAGTTCAGGACCTCAGGACACGCCAAAGACGTGGAGGAGTGCAGGTGGGAAAACTCATCATCGAAGGATTATTGCCATTATTACTTGCATGACAAATTGTATTCACTAATCCAGTGTCTCCCAAAGTGGGGTCCGCGGCCCCCTGGTGGTCCGCGAGGGTACTGCAGGGGGGCCGCGGGAGGTCATAAAAAAAATAATATAATTATTTAATGTTAAATGTATAATGTTTTGTTTGTAATATTAAAATATTTGTGTTCATTATTTGACTTGAATAATCCACTGTAATCATTTTTGTATTACAATGTTTGTAGCAGAGGCTATTTCCCCAAAATAAAATAACCAGAAGAGCCTATTCTTAATGTTGTCTTCTTGGTTATTATTTTGGGGGGCCACGCAGACCCGTCAGATTTTTAAGGGGGCCTCGGTGTTACTGAGTTTGGGAATGGCTGCACTAATCCAATACAACTTTGTTTGTAGGCACATTTTATCAACACACTGCTAATCAGCATTTCATATGCATTATTTTGCTTAATGTAAAATTAAATTTTCTTTGTGCAACAATGTGCTGTAAATCTTTTGCCTTTTAAGTATTTTGATGTGTGATTTCAGATGTCCTCCTGGATACTCTGGTCTGTCTTGTGAGATGTGCTCCACTGGATTCGAGCGAGTTCCTGGAGGCCAGTATCTGGGCACCTGTGCAGGCTGCAACTGTAACGGACACGCCAGCGCCTGTGACCCTGTTAGCGGACACTGTCTGGTAATGCCCTAGTTTCAGAATTAATTATGAATTACATTTAAGTATGATGCTTAGAATACAATAAGAATACATTATAGAGCACATTCAATAACTTACTGTAAGAGTTTTTGATATTGTATCTATGAACTTACACCCAGTCACATGAAACCACTTTAAAAATGTCATACCTTTGGAACTATTTCTGGCCCTGCCTGATGAGTGACTAATGTGTTCTTTTTCACAGAGCTGCCAGCACCACACAGAGGGCCCTCAGTGCGATAAGTGTCGCCCTGGTTTCTTTGGTGACCCGACCCGGGGTCGCACTGATGACTGCAAACCCTGCCCCTGTCCGTACTACGAGACGTCCCGACGGTGAGGCCCTGGACCACACACAGTCACTGCACAACCTCTGGATTCCTCATTATCATTCAATATTTCCATCTAGGTTTTCTGACACTTGCTTTTTGGATGTTGATCAACAAGCAACATGTGATGCCTGTAGACCTGGATACACTGGAAGACGATGTGAAAAGTAAGATACACTGTCACTGTCAATACTGTCACTTTTACTTTGGAAGTGTCTACTCCACTTTCTACTACACTTTTTGTTGCTGTTTAGATGTGCACCTGGTTATCAGGGAAACCCCCTCCAGCCCAATGGAAAATGTGTACCTGTCTCCAGTGAGTATTCATCAACTCTGAAATTTAAACTGGCCTTGACCAGAGCAGCCTGACCCGGTGGCCTCACTCTGTATGATACGACTGGGTCCTGTCCAGTGTTGGGCACGTTACTTGGAAAAAGTAATTAGTTATAGTTACTAGTTACTTCTCCCAAAAAGTAACTGAGTTACTAACGGAGTTACTCCACTATAAAAGTAACTAGTTACCAGTAAAAGTAACTATTGCGTTACTTTTTCGTTCTGTTCTGGAACATAATGTGCACTCGACGAGCGCAGTTTTACCTTTAACCTCAGTGAGTCTGAAATATTGCCAATATTTCCATCTAGAAAAGGCTGTTTTGCTGCTGAAGTCCTGTTCACTCTTCATCTCTCTCTGTGCTGTAAGCACTAAACACAAACACCAGCCACTGTGAATGTGGAAACACCGGTGAAGCACTGACTTCAGCCCAATCAGATGAACATATATATCATATAAATCAAGTGGACAATTTGTTTGGCTACAGCAAAATATGTTTCATGGCCGCATTGTTTGTTCATACAAAACGCAAAACTATGAGTTATGGGTCTTACCTTATAAATGACCTGCACAGACCACTTCAGTTCAGACCAGTTTTGTGTTTAAGTCCAGATAATAGTTTGAGCGTAGATATGTAATCCTCCATTTGGAAATGAGTTTTAAAAAGTAAAACAAAACGCGTGTGTCCTCCGTAAACTACTCTGTTTTGCTAGGTGCAGCCGGGTGCATCCAATTTCTAAAATCAACCGTCTTACACTTCACCTCTCTTTCTTATCATTCCTATAGTAATTGAAAAATTACCGTTAGTGCATTTTAAATTATCTTAAAATGTGTTATATGTATGTTAGCCAAACTTGTTGCAGCCCTTAGCAGATAAACCAGGAAGAGAAAGGAGGTTTCAGATGGAATTGTATGCAGCCGACTTCTGCGCTCACATGCGCTCCTCTGAGGCTGACCTCACGGTGATACAAGCTGTGGTTGAGCGCGACTAAGACCCATATTTGTTTCAAAAACACAATTTATGACCATCCTCTCAACTGTAGACATGCAGATTGTAAAGGAAATATGTTTTACATCAGCCAATAATTGCTGAGAGGTTTTCTCATCCTCCCTTCTTTCATGACAACACGCGCACGAGTCCTATCACGAAGTAAAAAGAGAAGTTAATTGTGCGTCTTGAGTAACGCGCAGTAACGGGATGTCGGAAATGATAACGGCGTTATAGTTACAGTCAAAGTAATTAGTTAGATTACTCGTTACTGAAAAAAGTAACGGCGTTAGTAACGCCGTTACTAGTAACGCCGTTATTCCCATCACTGGTCCTGTCCCCATGTAATGGTTACCACACTGTCTTTCCCATTAGTATTGTATAGTTTGGTCATGGCTTAGGTATGTACAGGGCTACACTGGTTCCAGCTGCTCTGTGATGCTCTGTTTTTTCTGCTTTAGGCCCCTCCACGTGTGATAACAGGGGAACCATCAGCTCCAGCAGCAGACCCTGTAACTGCAAGGTCAGTGAAACCACATTACTTGCATTTACATCTGTCATCTACTGATGCATGACACGTGTTTTGCATTTCTGTTAATATTGCAGAACAATGTGGCAGGAGCTCAGTGCGATGAATGTAAGCCTGGCTTCTTCCACCTCTCAGAGGCCAATCCGGAGGGCTGTCTGCAGTGTTTCTGTATGGGCGTCACCAAACAGTGCGCCAGCTCCACTTGGAACAGAGATCAAGTAGGTTGCCAAGCTCTGAATATTTTTGGTATCAATGTTTGTCTCAATATGTGTGTATTTCTGTTGCATCAGCATTTACTGTTTAAATGCTAAAAGTGAGGTGCAGTAAGCAAACTGTGATTCTGCTGATATGGCAGGAAACATTCACATCTTACTAACATAAGTTTATGTCCACAGGTGCGTGGAGGAGTAAATGGGCAACTCTTCACTTTATCCAATAGTGCCAACACTAAAACTATTTCTCAAGGCATCACTCAAAGAGGCACCTCTGAAATCGTCTACCGCTCCTTTGTCGACAGCGACATTTACTTCTGGGTGCTACCACAGAGCTTCAGGGGAGATAAGGTAAGAGTTGAGAGAAAATGAGGCCAAAGAGGTGCAGAGGAAAAAGGCTGGTTATAGTCGGCCTGATTCCTTTGGTGTGTGCGTGCGGCTTGTCATGCCTCAGCTTGTTTCTGAGAGAACTCACATCCAGACCTGAGCTCCTTTGAACCAGGTCTGTCATGACTGCACTGCTCTCTCGTGACTGCTTAGCACAGGCTGACATACCTTTCCACCACTGCCTGAGCTGGACATGACCTGCTCTGTGCTACTTCCAGGTGACAGCGTATGGTGGAGAGTTGCATTACACGGTGCGCTTTGAGCCCAGGCAACGCTCTTTGGTCACCGACAACCAGCCAGATGTGGTCCTCCAGGGAAACGGAATCTTTTTGGAGCATTTTTCAAAAGCCAAAGTGTCACCACGAGTTTCACAAATCATCACTGTTCTTTTTAGAGAGGTGAATACAGAAATTAGAAATAATTTAAATAAATTAAATTTGCACTTTATAGCATTGCTTGATACAGTGGATTCTCTCTGTCTCTTAAGTCTGCCTGGAGAAGGGCAGATGGACAGCCCTGCACTCGGGAGCACCTTCTTATGGCTCTCGCTGATATTTCTTCCTTCATGATCCGAGCCACGTATGCTGACAACATGGCTGAAAGCAGGTAAGCAAAGAAGACATGGTTGTACTTAGAATAAAAGTTATTTTTTTCTCTTCTTGATGTCATATTGTTTCCTTTCAGCATTTCCGATATCAAAATGGATATTGCCGTTCCTCACTCCACTGGTAATGAACGAGCTTTAGAGGTAGAAGATTGCGCTTGTCCCCAGGGATACAGAGGAGCGTCCTGCCAGGTACAAATAACATTTCAAATAGAATTTACCATACTTTTAACTTTGAATATGCAAACCTGGTTTCTTAGGCACTGGCTGTTACAGTAGTGGCCAATTAAGAAAGCAAATCTGTTCTTTTTTATTTTGTGCTGGTAGCTATTCTTGCTAATGCATCACAGTCACATACTAACCTTGGCATTAGTAGGTTACACTGATACAGCTTTTCCAAATACTGTTCTCTTTTTACCCACTGTAACTAATAACAGACTGTTGTTTTATTCACCCTCAATGTATTTTTTGCATTTTTATCAGACATTTCAATGCACCAATATTAATATTTCAAATTTTGGGGTATTAAGGTTTTCTGAACTGTTTTCTTCCCAATCTTTTAGAGCATTGCGCTGAGAGTTGATGTGACAAGAAACGTATTAACATCTATGTGATAGAAAAATGGAACAGCATATCCCAGTATCAATTATTTATACTCTATCACTATTACACCCTGAAACTAACATTAGAATTGTGGCAAGCTGCCCTTTTCATTACAGCCCATAATGATTATTGCAGTTTGATACTTTGGAAAGACATTATAATCTGCCTAGTTGTCGTTTGTTTGGTAATTTTCCATTGACTTGCAGGAGTGCGCTGAAGGCTACACTCGAACCAGCTCTGGACTATACTTGGGCACATGTGAGCGGTGCGACTGCCATGGACATGCTGGCTCCTGTGATCCAGAGACTGGTGCATGTTTGGTGGGTTTGCTTTTCTGCTATTTTCCCTTAGGGTGGAATCGTTTTGACAAACCTGGTGAATGTTTTCATTACCCAAGATGGTCACTTTCAATTAATTAATCATCTATCCATCCATTTTCTTCCCCTTAATCCATATCCTCAACATAGACAACTCAAATCTATCCCTCATATCTGAAATCATTCATTTTTATTCTTTATCAATCCCTTTCCTTACAGATGAAGTAACACACCGCCCCTTTACAGTTCATGAAAAGCAAGGCCATCCAACATCCTTATATGGCTAGTACTACTGTAACCACAGCTGCCCTGGGGCAGACTGACTGAAGCTAGCCAACTGCTATGTGCCACCACTAATATATTATTTGGAGTTCAGTAGTTCAGCCCATGCAGTTCAGCCCAGGTTTTTTATCTGCTTCTACAGAAAATTGCATTGCTCGTTTATTGCAATATATGTGGTGCGCCAATTGAGACCTGCAAAATGATTATATTATGAATGTCTAATGATCACGGACAAATCTGGGCTTGTGGATGAACAGACACTTTCCGTGGGGATGTAATATTCATTTCACACTGTTGTTTTTGGCTTACGCTTCATGTTTTTCTGTGTCCTGCCCAAAAGCAATGTCTCCACAATACCGAGGGACCGAGGTGTGACCGCTGTCAGACCGGTTACTATGGAAACCCGGCAAGAGGTGGCGCCCAGGCCTGCCAACCCTGCCCCTGTCCAGGAACTGCATCCAGCAACCAGTACGTTAACATATTACATTTACAGATTATGCAAGTTTTCCTTTGCATCATCTCAAACATTCACAAAGTACAACCAAATGTACCACCATATTTAGTTATCTGAAAACCACAATATATCTTCAGGTCTTTTCTGGCTATTTATTAAGTCTAAACCAGGTTAAATAGGAAATAACGCTTTACCATCAACACTATAAGACATGAACTCAATTTGGTAAATAATTGAGCTATAGACTCTCTCACCTCTGGTACATATACCACAACTAATAAAGTGATCTTTATTATCCAACATTTTAGGAAATATTGCTCCAACTATTTATGTATTTACGGATATATGCTCTGTTAATAATTATCTTTTAAATTATTGTTTCTTATTTATATCATTTAATCATTTTAGATTTAAATTATTTACAAATTGTCAAAGTTTTTTGTGTCTTTTTATATTTGAACACACGCAATCAACATGAACACAAACAGAATCTCACAAAGAAAAAAAATATATATATTAAATTTGGAATGTTCGTAATGTCTAAAACATACTTTAGTCACAATCAACTATAGCCTGTCTGTGTTCTTAAAGTATGATTGTTTTTTAAGTTAACTCATTACACCAGGAGTTCTCTAAATACATTTGCATTTGTAGATTTTCTGCGACCTGCCGCTTGGACTCCGACGGCCAGCCAACCTGTGACAGCTGTCCTGTTGGTTATTCTGGACGTCGCTGTGAGAGGTAGGTCTATTCACAAAATTCGTTTTTGTTTTTCCGTCTTTACTCAGGGGCCCGGGACATTTCGGACGATATTTGGGTTTTTTGGGGGCCGGCCGGGAGCTAAAGAGAGTTGTGGCTGGCATTTTATATTCAGCATCAACTTTTTAAATGTAAGGGATGCAAGCATGTCTGTTTCTCTTGGATTTCCACACAAGATGTGAGGGTGTTGTTCGATCAAAGGGACTTGGATGAAGTGTTTGGTAGAATTTGCACTGGCCGCACATGTGTAGTCGTTGTTAATTTGGTTTCAGAGCTCTGCAAAAAATGTATATCCTGATTGGTTAAATTTATAGAATTTGGTTGCCATTCATAAGATATTCCTGATTTGTTTAATGCTATTTATATCAACGAGTTCCAGAATCATTTTATTTTAAATTAAGACAAAGAAAAAAAAAATATATAGACGTTTTTCAACCAGTTGGTAGATATTCATTTTTTGCAGTATATTATTCTTATATGGTTATAGTATTGTTCTTTTGTTTGAGGAAATGGATTGGAATTTTGTACAGTCTTGCTGTTCAGTATTGTGGTTCTCTCTTTACTTTTGACCCTTTTCTTGCTGGTTTTACGCCTTGATCCTTTCCTTTTTGCTTCAGCTTTGCATCTTGCTGACAGCCAACACTTTGCACAGACCATATGAGACCCCTTCCCAATCTCAATGACATAAATGTAGACATTTATGAGGCATCAGGTTTAGCTAATCTTTGCTACTCGTCAGGCAAAGATGATATGGTGGTGACTTGGGTACATTATTTTTGACTGCATTCTGGCTACATTTTGCCTGATTTTGCTTTGGTTTTGACATGAAGAGAAGAGCGGCCGTCTGCTGACACCTGTGGGGACCCACTTCACACGGAGGATTTCTTACCTTTTGGCTGCGGTGCTGAAGCCGTGTTCAATTTTAGCTTAGAAAAAGAAATACTACCCGATGGCAGTGGAGACGATGACGATGAAGATTTTGTGACATACATAACACCAACCAAGCCACCCAAAAAGACCACATTGCGTCTAACTACTCAACCACCTGTTAAAACAACACAGCTCATCCCGATAACTCCAAACAAGAGGCTACCTCCACGACACACCGCAAGCCCCGAAATTCGAGACCACAGCTTCCAACGTTTGCTCCGCCTTCATCTTAGCAGCTTCAACCAGCGCCTTAGCATGTTAGAAAGAAACACTCTGGACATGAAAGATGGCATTAACACCTTACAAAAACAGCAAGGTTTCCTCACCGCACAAATGGAAAAACTTATTTCTTTGCAATCAACTGGCGAAAAGTCTAAAAAGGTTGCAGCGTTGGAGCAAAGCTACACAGATATGGAGGACCGCTTGGGTAGACTTGAAGGGAGATTGGAAATATTGATCGACGGGTTCACCGCTTTGGCTCAAGAAATGAACAGGATGAAGCGTAGGCATATTTCAAGATCTGCAAGTGAAAAACAGAGCGGACTTACAACAACCGCTGTTGCAATGGTTTACACAACAACACGATTGTCCACAATTACTTTTACTCCTACAATTACCACTACTACTACTACTATTACTTTAAAACAAAAGGCCAAAACTGATAAGAATAATAAAGGAAAAAGTTCAACGCTAGCTAGGCCTAAAGAAACTAGTAAAGCAAAAGTTTCAACCAAGTCAAAAGTAAGAACTACCATCTCTACAACTACTACCACTACAAAATCTAGTACAAAACGCAAGACTGAATCAAAGAAATTGGTTGGCAAAAAATCTCCATTGCCAGCAAAAAAAGTGGCAAAACCAGAGCAGAAAAACCCAAAGCCAGAGAAAGATGTTACAAAATTTCAACTTGACCCGCCCTCTCACGCTTCAAGACCACTGCAGCCACGTAAACAGTCAAATAAAATGGTCAATAAAAAAGATTCCAGGCTTCTTGTAAAAGACAATGGGGATAGTAAAAAGCCAGTTAGGTCAGATGCACCTGAAAAAAGGCAACAGCAGCAGCGACGGCCCGTCCAGAGCAATTCTAAGGAAAGCAGAAAGACGAGCGAGCACAATGCAAAAGAGGCTCACAAGTTGGTATCAAAGGAGAGCGATGTCATCTCCAGCTCAAAATCAAACAAAAAAACAGCTTCAAAGAAAAGGTCAAGCGCAAGTAATAAACCAAAGCATAACACTCCTCCTCCTGAAGTAAAAATGACTACAGTTAAAAAGAAGTTGAGTTCAGTGGTCAAAAGAAAATCGAATCCAGCTCCTAAGTCTCCACGTAAAGACAACACGAGTCCTGGAGTTTTTGATCTGTTGCGATTGCTGAACGGAGATCAGAGCCGTTCAAAGCACAAAACAAGTCAAGACGCCTCACTGCATGTTGTTTTGGGAAGACTGGCCATTCCTATAAAAATCATTCCAGACGACTATTGATATCATAAACATGTTTTTTGTTTTTTACACAGTATTAGTGCAAACTGCGAATATCTTCATTACTCCAATGGTCCCAATGTTATAATTCATTATTTTTATTTTTACCTTATATTGAAACCTCTTATTCATTGCAATAGTCTTAAAATAAGTCATCAAATCTGCATCCACCACTGACAAGTTTAAACTACATCTCAGTCCCGTTGACTAAACTTAATCAACTCACACTAAGTAATGTTGATCTTCCCGGTTTGCGACTTTTTATTTATACCACTGCTATGACATTTGTGTTATGAAGGTACTGAATTTTAAACACACGTTTATGCTACTCTGCAGTTTTGTTGTTATATGTGGTGACATGAATGACTTTTAAAATGCATTGCATTAAGTCAGTTATACTTATTGCACACAGCCCATGAAGAGAAATAATAGCAGCAGTGGTACCATACAAATAAGTCTTGAGTTTGATGTCTCCAACGATACACCTTTGTATTATTCATAGTTAGGTCCTATATTTTACTTGTGCTTACTTCTTATTTCTGTTTGTCCCTGGTAAAATTGTAAATAACCTAAATAATAAGATATTTCAATGGTTTAATACAAGTACAGACACTATTGTGTGCAATAATATATTTAAACACAATATAGGACCTTTTATGTGGCATTACATTACTTTTAGATTAAATATTTTCCTTTGTACAGTAGTTAGTTTTGACTACCTCACATTTTTAAACAAGTATTAGCCTTTAAAGTATAAAGTGTGTACATATTGTGTGGGTATATTTGTTTATGTCTTAAACAATATCTTAAAAACATAGTGCTTCTTTGTCGGCATTGTTGTCTAGTTCTATAGATTCACACTGTTCATACAAAGTATCTGAGTTTTGAAATAAATTCAAATCATATATTATGGGGATAATGATTAAAGAATATGTTTCTTTGTCAACCAAAATGATCCACTTTGGATGTTGAAATTAGTATCAGCCATTAATGTCGGTCAGTCTACTGTATAATAATTTAGTTATAATTAAGTTCAATTAAAAACAAATTCACCTGGGAAGGACACACGCACGGCACAAACTTACTTCTATTAGGATCACCTTATTATCTTTTAATGGCCTGTTTACTCTGCATTTAAATCTGATTAACTGTAAATGTATTTGGGATACTGATTGCGTTTACACTCTGATGTTGTCCCATTCTCAGGTGGGAATGATATATCTATTGTACAAAACCACACCAAGTCATTTTTGTGTATTATTTATTCAGTGTGCTGCCTGTTTTATGTTTCTGAAGTATGAAGTTTCTCCTATAGCCATGTTAACGTAATCTAATAGCATGTCTGTATGTCATGTATATTGAGCCTTTAGAATTTAACTTTAGAATTAGCAACAAGTTCTCTCTCTTCACCCGGACCCCAAAACAGGCGAGGTAAGACCCTTAGAGGCTTTTATGGTCTGCCAGTGCTTTTGGTGGCAGCATATGCTTGCTTGGGTATAAAGGCATATAGTAAAATAGTGCTTTTCATGCGCCTTGTTAGTCAAGATTTTACTGTTTTGGGACTATCTCATACACTGCAAAAAAATCTTGGTTGAAAATCTTGTTCTAGTTGTTTGTGAAGTGGGACTAATGTACTGGAAAAATATGTTTTAAAATCTACATCATTTGATGTTGAATGTACAATTTTATTTTGCGTATGAATCAATTATTCATGAAGTCATTATATATTCACTCTTAACAAAACCAGTCTGTGAAGAAAAGTATGAAATAAATTAAATGTTGTATAGTATAGATATGCTGAGATTTAGATTTTATCCAAAGATTGTATCGATTTACAACACACAGGGGAAAAAAGAACATGACATTTTACATTTTTATACAACCTTTTTTTTGCAGTGTAACAATCAATAATAAAAAGCGGTTTGGTTTTCTTCCACCTTTTTTATTCTGGGCTTTGCGGTTCTTGGGGTTATAATAGTCATTTGCATATCAGTGCTTTTCCTGCGTTGGATGTCTTCTGTTTGAATGACTAAGTTCTTTGAGGGATACTGAAGGTCAAATGGCACTAAAAGAAAAGAAAAATCAAATGTATCACCTGGAGCAGACTTCCCAGCTTCCTGTCTCCATGTTTGGTGGGCTGAATCATGCATCCTTCATGTTGGAAATATTCACTCATGACTCATTATCTGCCGTTTTCAGATGTGCTCCAGGATACTATGGAAACCCGCAGCTTGGACAGAGGTGCTCCCGGGACAATTCGCTCAATGGTACAATGACTCTTCTTCCTTTCTTTCTTACAATGAAAAAAAAAATATATATATACTTTAATGAATACACATTCTACAAAACAGACTTTATTACTGCTTAGCTTTCTCATAAAAAACAAAGCTTGAGGAGTGTTTTCTTTTATCTGCACATCCTTGCTACTAAATTCCTCCCCTACCCCTTCTGCTCTAGGTTGAATCTGACTTATCTGTGATGTCATAGACAGAGCTTCATCTTTTTAGATCTTTTAATTTTCTGCAATTGACTTGTATTTACAAATGCTTTACTGTGTTTATGTTGGCTGTCAAATTTAAAGATTTTCTTGTGTTTATTCTTTTGACAGGTAACTGCTACAACTGTGACCAAGGTGGAAGTGAAGGCTGCAGTGGTAGCGTTTGCCGCTGCAAGGTAAAATTATAATTGATTTTGAATGACCTGTTGTTTGATACTGAATCATGAATTAGCATTGAATTCACTTGTAATGGTCAGCTCAGATGTTGTTTTTAATTAGACGGTCCACAGTTAAAGTTGTCATTGTGCTTGTATACACTTTTGCATGTGAAATGTATGTTACCTTGTTGGAAAACACTGCTTTGTTTTATGTAATTGACATTGCGTTGATTTATTGTTAAGAATCCTTGAATGTTGCAGATGAACGTTGAAGGGCAGTCCTGCTCCAGCTGTAAACAGGGTACTTTCCACCTCAGCCCACAGAACAAAGATGGCTGCCTGTCCTGTTTCTGCATGGGAGTCACCCAGCAGTGCTACAGCTCCAACTACTACAGGGACTTGGTAACTTCTCCTCTGATATGTTCAGGAGACAAGTAATAAATCAAGCAGTACATACTATTTTAAAACTAAGCTGAGTTGAGGACATTTATATATAGCTCATATAGTGAATGTATGTGTCCAATAATGAGGGAGACTGAAAGAGACTTTAGAACAAAGTAAAAAACAAAGCAAAGTAAAATTCAGGATGCTGACTTTTGAGCTATGTTCTAGATTAGCTTTTGTCAATGTGATAAAAAAAAAAACCTTCGTCCTATAGGTGACCTCTGAGTTCACTCCGGGAAACTTCCAAGGTTACGCGTTGGTGAATCGTCAGCGCACGGCTCGTATCACTACAGGCTTCACGGTGGAGATCTCCACGTCTGGAACTCAGCTTTCCTACAGCAACTTTGACAATGTGTTACAAGAGCCTCACTTCTGGCAGCTTCCAGGATCCTATCAAGGAGACAAGGTAACACAGGCAATTCTTGGAGGGCAAATGAAAGCCTCTGTACCTACGGTTTATGTGTGTGTGTTGTAAATGTAGACATTGTAAATGTAGACATTTTTGACAAAGGTGAGTCAACTACATATTAGGGATGTAAATCGGCGACCGGTTAACCGGTGGTTGACCGTCACAGCGTTAACCGGTCAAAGCTGTCGGTTAAAAAAGAGAAAAAGGGGAGAGGGGAGGTCTCTTAATAACGCTATTTTAAGCCCTATTTGCACGGTGTGACGAGCGGGTCTGTATCTAGCTGTGTGCGCCCATGTATTATAAACTCCGGGACGACTCTCACGCCGCACGAGCCACATATGCACACGCACGCGCGCACACACACACACACACACACACACACTTTCCCCCTCTCCATACGTAACATCCACACGCATCATCTCTCCCCTCTGTTACCGTCAAAGTTGCACACTGGCGCGGGTCAGAACTACATTGGAGCTTACATTTACACACACACACATATACATACACACACACACACATATACATACACACACACATACCGGTCTGTCGCGCTCCTCTGTGTCACGGAGCCCAAAGGATTCGCACAAATACGCGGCTTCAGTCAAACCACATGGAACATGTTTGTGTTTATGGTCCTCGGGATCAGCTCCACACACATCACTTGTATTTAAACTTTTGTGAAGACCTGTGAGACGCGTCACTCGCTGCTCTGACCATGTGAACGAGCCGTCGTTTGCTGCTAGAAAGTTTTGGTATTAACCCGCAGCACAGCAGAATGGGAAGATTAAAAAAGCAGTTCTCTGTGCGCAAAGGTGCCGGAGCTGTTGCGGGTTTGGGCGCCGCTGTCTCGGCTCTGATCCAGTAGAACGCAGAGCTGCACTTATGAAAAGTACGGGGCTCGAAAAGGCTGTTATTTCAAAGAACGTGGACTATTTTAAACTACGCGGTTAACCGGTTTCAACCGGTTAATGAGGCTCGGTGGTCGGTCATGAAAATTCATAGTTTTTTACATCCCTACTACATATTGTCTTCATAGAAAACATAACTACTACATTTGTAAGGAAGAGCCACATGAGTCACTATCAGACTCTTTGGGATGGGTGCAGACATTTCATATCAGGCGTCTTTCTAGTATGGTCATTTTTTTGTTTTTTGTTTTATTAGATTTTTTCTCAGAGGTCACAATTGTATTCCAAAACTCACATAAATGGATGGTGAAGACTGAAAAGATTATGGTGGTTGAAAGTCATCAACCACACCAAACCTGATGGTTTTATCATGTTGGTTTCTACTGGTATTGTGTGGGAGCTACAAATCTATAGTAGTACATGTATTATTTTGACTTCATCAGACAAGTTCGTTATACTTAAACAGTGACATTTTCTCATTTGTATTTACTCTTCCTAAGGAGAGGGTGATATGGTAATTTATCATATTAACATAGCTAGCTTCTTCATCTAAAATGTCTTACATCACATTTCACTGTCACTCACAAACAGGAGAACCTAACAAATAGAAAATCTGAACAAAGCCCGTCTTAACATAAATAGTTTAACATATTTTTTTATACAGCCATCTTGCCTCTATGCATGCTCTCTGCTACATGTTCCTGTTTTACTGCCGCTTTCCAGGTTTCAAAATTACTGCAGTGAATTTACATGGTGAACCTATAAAATTACCATCTGAAATATTTCCACTTTTTCACTCCCCCTTTAGAAACGATCTATCATTTCTCGTGCAAAGCGAGCAGAGCAGGTACAGTAAAGCCAGCCGCTGTATCATTGGATGTCAAGTTGTTGTGGTGATTCAAAGCCCCACGCCGGTCACGCTGGCTGGGCTAACTTCTCATAACCCCTACCTCATATTTATACGGTCATATTTATTCCCTATGCGTGCATATTGTGGTGGATGTCTCTTGGAGTTTATTGCATTATTTCATTTAAACTTTTAAAGCATGCCCATTTTGTCCTGGAGTGGTCATTAAATGTCTTTGCAGTCTCATCAATCATGTCTGAACTTAAATGCAAAGCTATTTCTTTCTTTTGCTTCACTTCCTTGGGCATGGACGTGTAAACATTTGGATCATTAATAGGCCATTACGAAACTACGTACCTCCACTAAAATGCTCGCCCAAATGCCGCGGGCTCGGTGAAAAGGAAAGTGATCAAAGTATGCTTTATCCACACCACCAGAGTGATTCAGTTTCGCCAGATGAGCAGCTAAAGAAGGACACTTCTGTCTGGGACCTAATGGATTCCGAGCGCAAAGGCCGACGGAAATCCAAGCGAGCTGCGCAGGTATTTGACAAATGTAGTGTTGAAAGCAGCTCTCACCAACTAACAAGGAAGTGGACCGTGAGTGATTTAACACGTCTAATCAACGCTTATTTTACACTGCTCAAATAGATATCCACATAAGCTAATATTACTTCAATGCTTACTTGCATTAGAAGTGTGGCAGTGGACTTAACAAGCCATTTCATTGTCAAAGTGTTGTAAAAATATGTTTTTAATATACCATACTACTTTACTATACTATACTATTTTTTTATAATCAAGTATCATTCAAATTCTTTGCACATGTTCAGTTTGCAAGTCTTCATGTGATCGTCACTCATTCAAGTATTATTCAATATTGTAAAAGCAGTATTCTTTATTTTATTTATAAGCAAAACATTTGATTCATGCCCTAAATTAAAACCCCTACTTTCAGTTATTATCAACAGATCAATCATAAACCTAGATTTGAGATGTTTTATTATTTCAGTCCATCACATCGTCAAACATTTTCAAAGTGCTGCACTCAATGAAGGAAAAATTTAAAGTAAAGAAACAAATTGTTTGTTTCTTAATCCCATGAAATGTTCACTTACAAAGAAAAACATCAAATTAATATGAAAAATTATAGATCACATCGCTGAACAGAACTTCACTGAGAGTGACAAGAATTCAATGGTAATAGTTAAATTGGAGTCTTTGAAACAAACTGAATAATAAGCTTACAACCCTTGCAGATAATAATGTATCCGTAAAACCTCATCAGTTAAAGGTGTTGGAGCTTGAAGCAGAGCAGTGCAGACCCTGAATCCGCACTGGGATGATGATGCATGAGCGTGTGGTGAGAAATGTTCTCCATAAATGTCTCCAATACAAAAGGCTGTGTGCCGCAGTTAAAGCCTTTGTGACGGAGGAATTACTATGTTTAAGTTGTCCCGCTGCATGTTGCACGTCAGCATTAGATGTAAGCATTATTCAACTGGAACCTCAGGACTCGCCACAACCTTTGCCAAGAAAAAAACATAATTCACGCAATATACAGTATTATGTCTGACTTGATCAAATGTCAAAGAGATGGTATGTAAGATTCTAATTCAAAATATTACATTTGTACATATTTTTTCTACATCCCAAGATTAACATGTACAGCCTGTTTATTTTTGAAATCCGGCTGGTTTGGTCAAAGCCTAAACCTCAGCAGTCTACTCAACATAGAGATAAGACATTAAACGTAGTCATTATAAGTTTCACAATTATGACTAAACTTGCTCTCATCTATAATTTGCGGAAAGTAATTATAAAACGCCCTACGGTGAATAATTAGGATGTATACAAATGTGTGAGAAAGTGTGACCAAATAACGCACTTCGTTTTTCAACCAAAAAGGGCAATGAATGATGAAGATGAATAGTTGAATTCAAGCAAGACCACTTTACGAAGCAATTATTTTTTGTTTATTCTATTTTTATATTACAAAAACTCCATGGCGAAGGTATCAAACTTGCTTATTTCTAAACCACCATTTTGGCACACTGCTCTGCTCACCAGCCTCCGCACTGGGACCTGGATGACGAAGTTTGGGCTCTCATGAATAACTTCTCCCATGGTGGAAATGGCCGCTCTGCATTCCTCATCCCCTCCTCCGCTTCTAAAACCTCATATTTCTCTTCCTCCTCCTCTTCCTCTTCATCTCGAGTACCGACCACCTCTTCTTCCTCGGCTCGATGGTCTTTGCGAAACTTAAGTCCTCCCTCCCCCTCGTCTGGCTCGCTCTCTGCAGTCAGGCCCACTCGACCTCAGTCCTCCTCCCCTGGCCATCGTGATCAGGTACAAAAGTGCCGTATAGATGGATGCATGGACAAACATAATAAGCATACATAAACATAACATAATAAACATAATAAGATAGAAGTCTATTCACAATTTCACATTAACAAAACTTGATAAATACATGAAAATGATGTTTTATATTTCACACCCTTCATTTTTTGTTTTTTTGTAAAGGCTTGTTTTTTATTATTATCAATGAACAGAATTAATTGTTCTTGAGGGTCATACAGTTTCATACGGTATTCACAGCCCACACAGTTAGATAAAAGTTGTTATTTAAGAGGTGAACAGCTGAATCCTTGTTGTTGGATTTCCTCAGAGTAAGAACGCAGTGAGCAAGACCGTGGTTAGTTCATCTGGAGACCAGGTAGAATGTTGGCATGACGAGTGATGTGTATATTTTTGGGTGAAGTATTCTGAATATTATGTCACATGCTGAATCAGATAACATTCATTTGAAAAAAACAGTTTTAGAGAAAGAAAAAAAAAAGGTTTGAGAAGTCGGTAAGACATAATTGGCGGTGACTTCAAAGTCCCATGCTGTAGTTTCAAGCATTGAAAGATGTTGCATTAAATTAGATGGCCTTTGCAACCCCTTCCAGACTTCTCAGTATAATGGACTGAAATAGTTCTCTTCCATCCATGTGTTCCACAGGAGAGGACTTCATTTAGATTTAAATTAATTTAAATTAAATCTTGTTAGTTAGGTTTCATTTCCAGCTGCTAATATTATTTCATGGATAAAAAATACTGAATGCATGAGACTAGGTTCTCTATCTGTTTCCTTTTTAGACATTTTAGTGTCCCTAACTTTTGTCAAACTGACTTGATTGGAACTTGAATGTGTGTTTTGACTAAAGCACTAACCTTATGCAGTTTTTAAACATGACAATGTTAAGTTTCCATTATTTAAATTTTTGAGGGTGGTGTTTCTCTTTTGTTTAACATGTACCACCCACTTAGCGCTGTCACACCAAAGACAATAAGTGTCCCCTGTAACTGAGTGTAGCGGGCAATACAATAGCCTATCATTACATGGCACTCTGTCACATCTTAAACTGTCATTTTCCAATTATTGAGAGCTGGAGCAGTTGTTGTGGTTGTCAGACAGACCAGTACGCTGTCGTCAACTTGTCAAGAGCAGAATACAAACTCTAATATAGTGCCATGGTTCTAGGCTCGTTGCTAGAGATGCGATAACCAAGGCCTATAGGCTTTAATATGGTCCGGTGAAACCATGACAACACTGCTACTCCATTTTGTCAGTAAACGTCTAATTTTAAAATATGTAGTTACTCAATACGTAATACCTGCATCAAAATATAGATCATTAATATTTTTATATCCAATGCTGATTATTTTTGTTTTTGTAATATTTTCCAATGGAGTTGTCTCCATGATTACGTTTTTGTTGCTCAACCATGACATGGGTGATTTTTTTGGAGTAACAACACATCATACTTTTATAGCACTTTTTTGGCCACTCAAAGACGCTTGAGTCTGTGAGTGTCAACATTTCAAATATTTTTTATTATATTAAAGTCCTGCATTCATCCACTGGGAACAAAGCTGATTTTCAGCATGCGTTTCAGCCCACATAGAAGTCCATGCTCTCATAGTCATCACCATAACCCAAGTACACTTGCATCTCTTCTCCCCTTGCCTGCCTTTTTGCCTTTTTGCTTTTTTGCCTCTTTGAACTATTTCTCTGTCCTTGGATTTAATCTCTCTTCCCTTACTCCTTATTTCCTCTCCGTCTCAGTACTCTCTGGTCTACAAAGGTTTCAGCTCAAACCAGAACGAGCCGCTCTTCTGGCAGCTCCCAGAACAGTTCACTGGGGACAAGGTAAGTCAACCTCTGGCTGACCCGAGGAGGGCAACTCAAATATGCAAACTTTATTATACCCAACAGCCTGCTTTATGGTGTGTGCTCTGCACACATGATTCAATACTTTTTAAGCAGCTTATTTTTTCTGTATGTGTTTGTTTATACATGTACAGTGCCATTTTGTCACATTTCAGGCTTCAAACATAAAGATATACAATTTTAATTTTTTGTCATGAATCAACAACAAGTGGGACACAATCGTGAAGTGGAATTAAATTTATTGGATAAGTAGCTCAGTCGGTAGAGCATTGGGCTTAGAGCCTGAAGGTCGTGGGTTCGATCTCACCGTAAGACCTACTTCACGACTCCCACTGATGTCTGCTGTCATTGTGTCCTTGGGCAAGACACTTAACCCCACTTTGCCTGAAGCCCCCACTGAAAGATCTCAGCTCCTGTGGACTCACCACCTGGAGGAGGATCAGTGAGAGTGGATGAATTTAAACTATTTTAACAAATAAAATACTGAAAAGTGGGGCGTGCAATATTATTCGGCCCCTTTACTTTCAGTGCAGCAAACTCACTCCAGAAGTTCAGTGAGGACCTTTGAATGATCCAATGTTGTCCTAAATGACTGATGACGATAAATAGAATGCACCTGTGTGTAATCAAGTCTCCGTATAAATGCACCTGCTCTTTGATAGTCTCAGGGTTCTGTTTAAAGCGCAGAGAGAACCATGAAGACAAAGGAACACACCAGGCAGGTCCGAGATACTGTTGTGGAGAAGTTTAAAGCCGGATTTGGATACAAAAAGATTTTCCAAGCTTTAAACATCTCAAGGAGCACTCTGCAAGCAATTATATTGAAATGGAAGGAGTATCAGACCACTGCAAATCTACCAAGACCCGGCCGTCCCTCCAAACTTTCATCTCAAACAAGGAGAAGACTGATCAGAGATGCAGCCAAGAGGCCCATGATCACTCTGGATGAACTGCAGATAACTACAGCTGAGGTGGGAGAGTCTGTCCATAGGACAACAATCAGTCGTGCACTGCACAAATCTGGCCTTTATGGAAGAGTGGCAAGAAGAAAGCCATTTCTCAAAGATGTCCATAAAAAGTCTCGTTTATAGTTTGCCACAAGCCACCTGGGAGACACACCAAACATGTGGAAGAAGGTGCTCTGGTCAGATGAAACCAAAATCGAACTTTTTGGCCACAATGCAAAACTATATGTTTGGAGTAAAAGCAACACAGCTCATCACCCTGAACACACCATCCCCACTGTCAAACATGGTGGTGGCAGCATCATGCTTTGGGCCTGCTTTTCTTCAGCAGGGACAGGGAAGATGGCTAAAATTGATGGGAAGATGGATGGAGCCAAATACAGGACCATTCTGGAAGAAAACCTGTTGGAGTCTGCAAAAGACCTGAGACTGGGACGGAGATTTATCTTCCAACAGGACAATGATCCAAAACATAAAGCCAAATCTACAATGGAATGGTTCACAAATAGACGTATCCAGGTGTTAGAATGGCCAAGTCAAAGTCCAGACCTGAATCCATTTGAGAATCTGTGGAAAGAGCTGAAGACTGCTGTTCACAAACGCTCTCCATCCAACCTCACTGAGCTCGAGCTGTTTTGCAAGGAAGAATGGGAAAGAATTCCAGTCTCTCGATGTGCAAAACTGATAGAGACGGCACGGTGGCTGAGTGGATAGCACTCTCGCCTCTCAGCAAGAAGGTCCTGGGTTCGAATCCCGGCCGGACCAGGGCCTTTCTGAGTGGAGTTTGCATGTTCTCCCCGTGTCTGCGTAGGTTTCCTCCGGGTACTCCGGTTTCCCCTACCACTAAAAATATGTCCAATAGTTCTGGCATGTGCCTCCTGTACTGGCCCCGCTCCCATCTCTGTGTGGAGTGAGAGACAAATGCCCAAAATTAACAATTGTAAACCGCTTTGAGACTCAGATCTGCAGTGAAAAGGCGGTATATAAATAATAACTTACTTACTTACTTACTTACTAGAGACATACCCCAAGCAACTGGCAGCTGTAATTGCAGCAAAAGGTGGCGCTACAAAGTATTAGCACAAGGGGGCCGAATAATATTGCACGGCCGGACTTTTCAGTTTTTTATTTGTTAAAAAAGTTTAAATTATCCAATAAATTTTGTTCCACTTCATGGGTTAGGGTTAGGGTTAGGGTGACTCTTGACAAAAAAATTAATTGATTGATTAATTTGAAGCCTGAAATGTGGCAAAATGTTGAAAGGTTCAACGGGGCCAAATACTTTCGCAAGGCACTGTATATTATTATTCTACATTTTTTGCTATTCAATATGAATCCAAATTATCTTATAGGTTGCGTTCATGTAACATCACAGCATTCCAAAGAGCCTATAGTTTAAATGTTGGTGGAGGGCACCTGAAAAATCCTTGGCTGTAAATACTTTTATATGTACTTTGTCAATACAAATCATCTAAGATTAAAGATTGTATGCTTGTTGGTTTGTGAATCTTTTATCTATCAAATCATGATCTCAGAGAATAATTGAACTTTTTACTTTTCAAGTAAAATTTGAGACATTTCCTTCAAAAAATTTAAGATTTCTTTTTCCCATAGAGTTGTAATAGCACCTTCTACTGAAATACTATTCTAGACCATTAAGCCAAATGGTTTCCTCAACCATTTGGTTGATCACCTCACTGTATCTACTTGAAGCTTGGAACTCTCTTGGTACATCTTTGGGACATCTCACTTGGTTTTAGGCACGTTTACCATCAAACTGCAACACAACCATTTAGTAAAGGCCTTAAACCTAGTGGTGTTAGTGCTCTTACATTTTGGAAATCCAAAGATTCATTTAATCAGAAATGAAACTTTAGGTAAGATGAAAACGGGAATGTACAGAAATATTATTACTCTGTAAAAAGTCTGTTCGACATCTTACAGCTCTCATTGGAAAAGTCTGACAGTCCAAAAGACGTGTCTCACTCTGGCTATAGGTCTATCGCAGCCGCTGTATATAACCTCTATTATCCTTCCACATCTTTCTTGCCTCAGTGTGAATAAAAACCCTGTGTGCACGATGCCTCTGACCTGAAACATTGAGTCTGAAACACCAGAAAATGTCTGTGTACTTGTTTGTTTGTGGTTGGCATTCCCTCAGGAGTTTCTATTTCAGTTCAGAACATTCAAAGTGTCAAAGTCGCTTAAGGTTGTACCCAGGGCAAAGGTAAATAAATATATATTTCTCCTCAGTTTCTTAGTCTGTTAGCGCTTTTATTTCAATAGTAATAACTGAAAGTGAGTGATAATAAACTTTTTTTTTTCTATGTAGACAGACCAGTTCCACTGTTTTATTCAGTCAGAAGATCACAGGTTTGATTTTGTCCTGTCAGATCTCAGAAACTAAGCCGGACAGGGCCGAGTTATTACTGTGATGGGAGACCTCTGGGAAAATAGACAATGCTACAGCTGTGGCTATTAGGTGCCAAACTGTTGTTGTGTCCTTAGGCAAGACACTTTGCCTACTATGAGTATCCTTGTTTCTGACAGTCTGCACCGGAGTGAATTGAGTGTCATTAAAAGCGGGAATAAATGTTATTATGATTATGATATGATCGGCTATGATATGCAATTGTATATCCTTGTATCATTTGTGCCATTCTTAATAGTTTACAAGCAATGAGAATCTTAGTTATAATTATTTTATGTCGTGAAAATGAGCTGTTCTATGTGTATCTACTTATGTGACATCTACAATTACTATTTTGTTTTTCAAGTAGAGCCATAACTACATATGAAATGTTTACGTTGAGACACAATGGTTCGGTTGTAAATGAAATGTTTGAAAGCAGATTGTACTTTTGTTACTTACTTGATCTTTTTAAACCTCTTACTTATGAGTACTTCCTGTTTTATCATATGTTTTTTATCTATGGGTTTCTCTGAGTCTGCATACACGCAAAGACACGCACACAAACTGGCTGCATGTCGACATATGGTATTGATTTTTTTCTCTCCTCCATCTGATGTTTGTCTCATTGAGGGAATTGCTGTGTTTTCATGTTTTGGCAGCAGATCTGAGCGTGTCTGTGCCTCTCTATGTGACAGGTGGGTTCATATGGCGGCAAACTCAAGTACACCATCTCCTATGTGGCCGGGCCCCGAGGAACCTTGCTGGATGACGCCGATGTGCAGATTATCGTAAGTACAAATCCATGTGATTGTATTGAGTGTAAAGTAAGACAGAGGCCTGAATATTCATTCAGATGCAAAAGCGTAACTGAAAAGTCCAGGTTTATGTGGTTTTCGTTTTGAGGTCTGTTTTCCAGCGAGCTAAAAAGAAAGCGTTTATTCAACATCTCTAAACTTGTGATTTCTTACCAAACAGTGATATCTCCTCACTTATCCTCCTCCAGGCATGCTCTTGTTTAATTTATTCTTAATCTAGAATGTTGACTGCAAACAGCTTGGGGCCAAAGCACACAAGCACAATCTGTTTGTCCATTTTGAATAAAGTTACTGGTGTACAGTTGTGCTCTTCAAATGTTGCATTGTTCTGCCAGCGTACCAACTGCTGAATGTACATTTTCTTTATCAGACAATTCTTTGACTGATTAAACATAAAATCAAACCTACTCAAGCCCTCAGCTATATTCCTAATACTTGAACGTAGCTATTTTTGTAGGTTTTTGAACCATACTTACCAGTCCTCGTTGTTCCCCCAGGGCAATGACATAACGCTGGTTGCGCGAAAGCCTTGGAGCAGCAGGCAGCCTGGGAGCAAAGAGACTCAACCGTTCGAGATTGTCTTCAGAGAGGTGGGTAAACAACAAAAGCTCATAATACAAACCCAACTGGTCTGCTCACACAAGGAATTTATGCACAATGTTGCATCAAACAATAATATACTAAAATAAATTATATCCCTAAAATCACTTCCCTGATTCTCCACGGATCACTTTAGTTTTCATCTAAATTAACATATCAAGCCCAAATTAATACATATTTGTTGAAAGATGAGAAGACGGAGCAGAAGGTCATTGGATCAAATTGCCATCTCTGTTTTAGCCTTACAGCTGGAGTGAGTAAGTGATTAGTCATAAAACGGGTGTAGCTAATGTGTTGTTGTGGGTGGAGGGTGAGCTTGTTAAAAATGAGGGTCATGCACTTTTTAATAGGCAATACTGAGCACAATGATCTGTATCGCCATAATTAAAATGCACTGGCCATAGACAATTATCCCACTCTGCCTTTTTACTAGAACTAACTGGTTCTCAAGCAGTGTGTATATCTGCTGAGCTGGATACACATGTGACCTTGTAGTTTGATGTATGTGAGCTGCATGTTTGGTTTCATATGATCTTATGTTCCTGTAATTACTTCATTATGCAGGATGTGAATACATTTATATTGTTTGGGGGTTTATGGGATCTTTAAACCGTTAGGTCAGCAGTTCAATCCAACCTCAGGGTTATTGTGTCCTTGGGCAACACATTTCACATTCACCAACCTTATTTCGGCATAGATGTGGTCTGTGAGTGACTTAACACTTGTCTATTCTGAATAAGTCTATATTATTACAAGAATATTATACAAAATTAAGTTTTAAAATTGATTCTTTTTAAAAACCATGACATGATGTGACATTGCAACTCTGAGTGTGATTATAAATGAATTGATAAAATGCACTACTTGAATAGAAATTGTTTGCTACCCAATGGATTGTCTCGTCATCAATGGGTCATGTCATTCAACAATATAGTATATTTAGAATGATCTACTCCACATATTCACAATGCTGGGGGGATGTTTTCTGCAGAAGAGCATTTGACCCAATGTGAATTTTTAAATATTATAAAGACACTGTAGTATATGTTTGTGTGTGTATTAAATTCATTTTTAAATGTTATGTAAAGGGAAAAAACAATTCTTGAAACGGAAATAAATGCACCAAACGTACTTTGATAAGTCTCAATTGACTGACATGTGTGCATCAGTTAGCTACCGAAAACGTAAGTCAAAAGATTCAACAATCACGTAACAACAAAATAAATGATTTATAATACAAAACCATCAATAAATCCTGTTAATATTTATAATATCAACCCCTTGTCGTAATAGTAGTAGCAGTTAATTTTTTTGTATCATACAGGAACACTGGAGTCGCCCTGATGGACTGCCCGCCACTCGAGAGCACTTGATGATGGTTCTGGCCGACCTGGACGACATTTTGATCCGCGCCTCATATTCCACAGAGATGCGCTCGTCCAGCATCTCTGGCGTCAGCATGGAGGTTGCGGTGCCCAACTACACTGGACTGGCCCAGGCCCTGGAAGTCGAGCAGTGCCGCTGCCCAGCCGGGTACCAGGGACTGTCCTGTCAGGTATAGAGACCTGTTTGTTGATAGCTGATTTTAATTCTACAGTAAACCTCTGCAAAATGCCAGTCAATTAGTTTGACTTATTCATCAAACATGTTCTAAAGTCCATTGGATTAGGGACAAGGTTAGAGATGCACTTATCACTATCAACCTGTAGCAATAAAACACAATCAAAAGCTGTGAAAAGTTGATGACACATTCGTTGTCCTGTTTAACATAAACTCTTAGAAAATATATATAATGAGGAGACAGCCACAGAAACAAGCACACATGTACAAACATTCAATTTTCTTCAATATTCTTACAGGATATTGATCTGCAATGTTTTGATTTTTCTCTAGATCTGAATCATTACCAGCAGCCAAAATTGGCTTATTGTTGTTGTATATTGTAGATGCATCCCTTTTTAGTATGGCCCAAAACTGAACTCCATGTTAAATATAATGCAGGAATATAACACAATTTCGTTTGGAAAATGTGTGATGATTTTTTAATTTTTTTTGTGCTAATGTTTGTTCTTTGCTCTAGGACTGTGCCTCTGGATACACTCGTACAGGAGGAGGTCTGTACTTGGGTCACTGTGAACTGTGTGAATGCAACGGACACTCGGACTCCTGCCACCCAGAAACCGGGATGTGCTCCGTAAGTACTTCACCACGCATTACTAATATGGTTAAAATATGCATATGCTCTGAACTGCAAGGACGGATCATTTAGTAGCATAGTTAACAGTAAAATGTTTCTTCTAAATCTCTGCATGCTCACTTTTCTACACTGGGTATTTAATGAAAGTAACATTTAGTCTTGGGTACATCCTCCCGGTCAGCGGTCTGATGCGGTCTGTCCTTTTCAGAGCTGTCTGCACCACACTCAGGGCGAGATGTGTGAGCAGTGTGCCCCCGGCTTCTTTGGAGACCCCACTGTCGGAACACCTGAGGACTGTCAGACCTGTGCCTGTCCCCACACTGACCCAGAGTACCAGTGAGTCCTGCGACACACACACACACCGCTATTTACAGAATCCACCGCTGTAACTACTAACAGCATGACTCATAATGAGACTTGAACGTGTACAACTTGTAGTTTTGACTTGTTAAAGCTCTGGTACATGATTTTAAAACAGTAAAATGGAACTATAAATCATTTTAATTCAATTCTGTCTCTGCCTAGTCGTACCAGTTGGAAACAGTTTAGGTCCATTCATTAACATTTCCTTTTCTGTCACAAAGGCTTTGGCTCATAATTAGTATTCACAATGAGCTCTCAGCCCAAAAATTCATACTGAGCTCTTACTTACACATATTCAAATATTTTCTATTCTTTAATCCAGGTGCTGGCAATTATTTTCTCTGAGCGGCCACATTGGGATATGGGTACAGTGCCTGGATTCTTTTTTATGTGGTTACTAAGTTACATTGGAACAACATATTGGAATATAGGCTACTTGGATAAAACATATATATTTACAGAAGAAAAGGAGAGGGAAAGTGTTTCAGCAATATGGGTTCCTTAGTAGATACAGATTATATGTTCTAGTTTCAATCCTTGCTTGGTACTAAATGGAACAAAATCTGGACTAAAACTAAAGAAGGCAAAGTATTGGTTGCAGATGAATGTTTTGATAAATTATTATGAGGTTTATTATTTCATTGTACTCATGAAGTTGCAAACCTTCATTTGGAAGTTATAAAACAAGGTTCGAGGGCCACATGGACCCCTTTGGGCCGCACTTTGCCCAGGTCTACTTTCATCTTTGATAAATATCGTTGTGCTTACGGCAGTAGTTTCAGTAGCAGAAAGCAGAAGGTTTGTGGTTTGAATACTGCTCCCGACATAAACATCATCATAAACAGCGGTCACTGTACACTGGTGTATGAATGTGTGAGTGGGTGATTGGTTCCTTTATGTAAAGCACTTTGACGCTTTGAGAGCTTAGAAAAGGTAGAATGTGGTTCATACATTTCTTTTCTATTCATATTTTGAGCACAGTTTGTGAGTAATTTAGAATAATATGGGAAAAGATTGCAGACCAAAACACTCTGGCAATTTGGGGCATTTTTGATAGAATTATTATAATACAGAAAGTCCTTAAAGCAAACGTGTAGACTCTTATTACTTTACCTAACTTTAAATGGTATTTTTGACCCAGCAGCGCTCTACTTCCTCCTTCTGTTTACACTAAATGTGACTTTAATAAAGTCTATTTTTTATTATATTATTAGCTGTATTCACCCCTTTTATTTTGACCACTGGACTCATAAACCATTAATGTGTTAATGTGTATGGCACATAGACAGGAAGGATTATATGTAATAATAACTATAATCTATTCAATGTATATCTGATAATGATGTATATATTACACTTGCAGAATAGAATACTCTAGTTTCCGTCAAGTTTCTCTGTACTGCACAAATTCTACAGAAAATCTTCAGAATGGTAATGTAAAAACATTAGAACATAAAAAAAAATTGTGGAAGAACCTTTCTGATATTTTCAGGAAGATTTTTTAAAGGTTTTAGTTGAAATAATTTGTATAGAACAATTTACAACTCCAGAAGATGCATGTCATTGTTTTCACGTGTTAATTCATGTTCCTCACCGCATCAAAATGGTCCATCTGGAAACAATTTCTTATGTTTCTTATTGTTTGAAAGTCACGGGATATTGCCACAAGCCGGTTTTATTTATTTTTTATTTTTTCAGAGGCATTTGTATTAAATTGTACCACTTTTTTGCCCATCAGATTCTCTCCCACCTGCGAAAGCCTTGGAAACGGAGGTTATCAGTGCACTGCGTGTCAGCATGGATACACCGGCCAGTACTGCGAGCGGTGAGCTGCTCTTCGTGTTGTTGACCAAAACAATGAATATGTCACAAGAGCAGGAAGCATCATAAGTCATGTCTCTATTGGACAGAGCTGAAATCTTGTTTCTCTTATGCTTTTTCTCTCAGCTGTGCTCCTGGATACGTTGGCAACCCGCAGGCCAGAGAGAAGTGCCGGCTCAGTGATGGTAAGAATTCACATCATCTGCAAATAGAGTCACATCATCTGCAAATTTGTTGCAGCATTTGTGTTTGTTTTCACAAGCATCATTACTGTACTTTCTTGTTATGAGCAAATCCATCTTCTACAGCTCAAAATCTGTCAATATTAATTGGATTTGAAAACATATTGCCTGAAAATGGTCTGAAATTAAATATTAAGCCCCAAATATTTATTTGTTCTAATAATTTGTTCTAATTATTTATTGAATGATAAGTAATTATTGTGACAAGCCTAGTATTGACTGATCTCCTCTTGCAGAGGCTGCCTCTCTGGTGGTGAAGGTGTATCCAGAGCGCGTGCAGGCGACTTCAGGGGCCTCTGTGACTCTCAGGTGTCAGGGCTCTGGTCCATCTCCACATTACTTCTACTGGTCCAGAGAAGACGGACGTCCCATCTCCTACAGCGCAGAGAGACGCAGACAGGGTGGGCTTTATAAATGGAGAATAAAAGGAGAATACAGAGAATACAGATCTTTATTACCATTGGTTATATACTGTGGTATTGAAAAGGCGTATTATGTATTTATTGTCTTCATTTATGTTATATATTCTTATAAATTCAAAGCCTCTAATGATTGATCGTTGATGGTTGGAGATGCTGCTCATGCCGATTGGCAGCTATTTCAATATTAATAATTAGGCAAGGGAAATGAGGATGAGTCTCAGAGGAGATTCAGGACATTTAAATGTGACACAGAGCTAAAGTATCCCCCGTAAAATTTCAATCTGTAATTTGACAGTATAGTAATGTCCACATCAGACAGACATAGACAAGAATACAACTAAAAGTTATTGTCAGATCAATGAATGACGTACAATTGCTAGTAAGTAGAAGTTTTTGTATGACATTTATTTGGAATAGATTTTTTTTTAAGGCCCCGCGGAAGACCTAGGACACGCTGGAGGGACTATGTCTCTCAGCTGGCCTGGGAACGCCTTGGGGTCCCCCCGGATGAGCTGGAGGAAGTGTGTGTGGATAGGGAAGTCTGGGCGTCTCTGCTTAGACTGCTGCCCCCGCGACCCGGCAACGGATAAAGCGGAAGAAAATGGATGGATGGATAGATTTTTTTTTTACTATATATTTTAGAGGACTCACAGAATGTCCTAAGAAGTCAAATTAAATAGATCTGCCATTGGCCGAAGTACAATGGCCTACCATATTTTTGTTCTTGGTTCAGTGCTTTGCATTTTGTCTTCACAGGAGCAGAGTTGTACTTTGGGAGTGTGAGCCCGAGTGACGCTGGCGTTTACATTTGCACCTGCAGAGACCAGAGAAGCACCAACAGAAGCCGTGCTGAAATCATCGTCACAAGTGCGAAGGATGACTTTTACATTCCTCCTCTGTATTTCAACACTGCTGATCTCTCTCTAGCTCAACACATGGGAAAACTCAGAGCAGATTGTGAAAGTTCATGCTTTAATTTATGACTTGTTGCAGTACATTCTTCTGATTAAAGTCATGCTATTTCTAAACATTTGTGATTCCCAGGCCCTCCATCCAAACCCATTGAAGTGACTGTAGAGGAGCCCACGTCCCAGACTGTGAGAGTCGGTGCAACAATAAGCTTCATCTGTACTGCAAAGAGCAAGGTAACATGCTCTTATGGTAATGTGGTCATATGGTTTGTTCAAGCCTTAAAGGTACTTTTAGCCATGTGAAAAATTATTCACATTAACATTAACAAATCTACAATAGTTACAAAATACAATGTGTTCTCTGATCTCTCTCATTTGTTTTGCCATAGACAGAGCTGCACAGAACCTCTTTTTTCCCTTTAAAAAGATTACATAAACTTAATTTATCTCACAATGAAGAAATGAACATGTCACATTTAGCATAAATAGGATCACTCACTTGTGCAAAAGACAGGAAATTTTTGAAACGGAACATTTTTCAGCACTTTAAAAGATCTCTCTTGTGCCCGATATATGTCATGTGCTATTAAATTACTTTCTTACATAAATATATATTGCTGCAATTCTACTAGTCCCTTTTCATTATGTCACATCTAAAACCTGCCCTTTCTCTGCCCGCAGTCCCCTGCCTACACTTTGGTCTGGACTCGTCAAGGGAACGGCAAACTCCCCAACCGCGCCATGGACTTTAACGGCATCCTGACCATCCACAGCGTGCAGCCGGAGGACGCGGGGGTCTACGTCTGCACCGGCTCCAACATGTTTGCTATGGACGAGGGCAGCGCCATCCTCTACGTGCCAGGTTCGTGATCCCTGGCACCGTGTTCGCCGCGCCCCCATATCCCCTCCCGCCTCACACTACTCCTCCACCAGCGCTGCAATCAATATCTACATGAGTTAAAATGACTTGGATTCAGAATATCTTGCATACTGGTTGGAGTAAATGTAGTATTAGTGGAAGTAGCATAAGCAACCATTATAGCAGTAGCAGGAGTAGTAGTTCTAGTAGTAATAGTAGTTCAGGCTACTGTAGATGGGAATTGGGTCTCCAGGGACAAACAGCCTGATAAAGATTTGTTGGTGTGATGAAAGCATATCAATCAAGCTGCAGAATGTTTTTTATAGTTTCTACAAAAATAACTTCATCAACGCTTTGTAGCTCTTCATATTTCCCACAACTCCAAAAACTGATATAGATAGATGGATAGATTTCCTTTCATTTCAATTGTTCAAATTCAGGGAAAAAGAAAGGGAAGTGCTAATGTATGTTGTTCAGTCAAAACTAGTTAATTAAACAACATACACAAATATTCTGAATTCAATTGTTTTTGCCACATGTGGACATAGATTTGCAGTGCAGTCCCACAGATGTCCAAACGTCAGCTTGGTGCATGCTGCTGTCTGCGCACTGTGAAAGCTGAAGTCTGGTTAACAGCCTAATAAGCTTGCATTCTCTAACTGCTAATGCTTGTGGCTGCTGCTTGCTACTCCTGTTGTGTCTAGCCAATGTCTTTCTTTTTATGTTACTTGCTCGCTCTGTACGTCTCTAATCAAACAAATACAGCTTGTGGGTTTTTGAAAGCTCTCTTACTGATAACAAATGGTTTAAAAGGTGTATTATTGTTGATGAGCTCTCTTAAGTTTCATTTGGGGGATAATTGTCTTCCATTAAAATAATTTCTTGCTGTTGACTGATTCAATGGTGGTGGCTTTTGGTGATTCTGGGTCAATATGGAGCTAAACAGCAAATTCCTGTTTTGAAAGTAACTTTCCCATTCATTTTACCCATTGAATAAATTATTCAATGCACCCATTGTGTATGAATGACATCTAATATGCAACAAAATTAGCTAGTTAGTTTATTTCAGTCTCTTCATGACTGAAAAGGGGTTTGGCTGAAGTCAAATACTTCTTGAAGCCAAACCCTATACAAATTCATTACAATTTAAAGACAGATAGCACCAAGCATACAGCATTTGAGACGACAATAATTGGTTTACAAAGTATATTCGCAGTAAATGTCACATACACATAAGTCACTTACTTCTTTTTCAGCTTAGCAACCAGTGCATTATTAATAACAACATGACCTGCAGTTGTTTTTAGATCCATCCACACTAATATCAGGGACTTCAGACACAAACATGTAACCCCATCTCTTCTGTTAAATGCTCCTCAGTTATCTGCCTTTTAAAACACAGGTATTACCCATATTTTAGTTTTGGCAATCACGTGGCTGTGTTTGCAGCTGGTAAGTTTTTAAATTTGGAAAAAAAAGATAAATGGATTTACTCTCTGGTGGTAGCATAGGAGATGCAGACAGCATGTTTTACCCTTCATACTTTCACCATACGTTCTAAAACATAAAACTACAAAGTAAATAGTCCCATTATCATTTTTAATGGCTTGAAATAATGGGTATTTTTTCTTATTTAATGTACAAATCTGAAATAATATGTTGTTCTATTACAATCTACTTAAAGCTGCACTAACTGACTTTGGGATTTTGAAGCCGCAGACCCGCTGGCCTCTCTCTTTCTGCTCCCCTCCCCGCACCCACGAAGCTATCGCCCCCCACACACACACAGTGTTGAGACGGAGTTAGCGTCTCCCAATATGGATAATACATGGATATGGATTTGCATGTGGATGGCGTGACCATAGAACGATAGAACCGGGAAGCGCGGAGGAACGGGACTTTCTTTTGGATGGCTGTCTCGCTGTGTAAGCAGTAACCGGTGACGAAGACATGAAGCTTCAGGTTAGCTCCGCCGCTTGTTGTGCTAACTCAGCTGTCTGTGCTAACGGACCTGTAGATTTCTCACAAAAGTGGGGGCCAGTGGTCCGCTGTGATTGGTCACAATCCGCGACCCGAAACACATTCTCTTCCTTGTTTCATCAAAACTCGATCTAAAATATAATGTCACGCCAGCACAAATCTGCGCTACTTTTTCTTCAAAATGATGTATATCCCAATGCACTACATGGACATGGATAGCATTTTCGTAATGAATACAAAAATAAAGTCAGTTAGTGCAGCTTTAATATAAAACCCTAAATAAAGCTGTTCTGATATAAAATTGCGTAACTCTCAGAATCAGTTTCAATCTCATTCTAGAACTTAATCAGAATAACCGTATCTAGTCTACATCATCTCTGTTATTATCATTTTTGGTTAAACATTTATGTCAAATGTATCACCTAAAAACTACACAATCAAAATTGCAACAGATTAGTCTAAAATCCAGTAATTTATGAAAAAGTCAAATAAAAACTATGCGTAACTACAAACAAATATTGACTTAGTTTTGGTCATGTGTTTCCAAAGCTGACAGCATTGTTAGAATGTAATAAACAAGTCAATGGGGAATATGAATGGGAAACATACTTCTAAAACCATGCGTTGGGATGATACTGTGCCACTAAAGCTGGTGTTGGATTCTGGGACCTGCCCTTTCAATGCCCAAGCTGAGCCAAAAAGCAACAATAAAATAAACAGTAATTCTGGAGAACTGGACTTCAAAAGGTGCTTAACCACTCACTGCAAGAGGATACAACCATCAGCTACTGTCATTCAAAGTTTGGTTTGTACTTCATGGTGCTACTACCATATCTGCTTAAAAACAGTATGTATTATTATTTTTTGTAACACTTTAGTTAATATCCAGGTTTATACTATCAAGTTACACACATGTATGTACATTTTGACTTGAAATCCAATTTGGGAATCAGCTAAATTTATTCTGTAACTGTTAAATTTGTTCCTCCATTTGCCTGTTTCATTGTCAAATTTCTGATTGTACGCAATAATCAGCAGTATTGTTTTAAAAAATCTTTGTATGCAATATGACTGTATGTGTTTCTATTTAATCAGATGTTTTTAAGTATATATTTTTATAGAACACAAAATTTCACCTCCAATTTCAACTTTTAACATGCTTTTCTATGACTACTTTCATATTGTATTGGATTATGCATATGTAAAAATATTTCATGTAACCCAAATGAGCAACAAGTTGTACACATGTCTTTGTATTGTATTTAAATGTGAACTATTTTGTGAAAAAAATATTGATTAAAATGACTCTGGTTTAATATGTTTTTGACAATTTATGTTTGTAACCACAAGCTGTATAGCAGCTGTTTAACCTCTCCTTAACTCAATGCAAATGATGTTGAAATGTGCTTGTTTTCCCACTAACCTGCATGTCGTGTGTGTCCACTGCTTCATGTGCACAGCTCCTTTATCAATCTTTCAACTTGCATCAACCAAATGTGTGCATTTTCTTTAAAATGCATCTATTGTGTGTCTCTGTGGGTAAGAAGGTATTGTGTCTTTTTGAGGCAAAGGTATAAATACATTGAGAGGATAATGTTATTCTATACAATTTTTTTAGGTCAGTACATTGAGATTATTTATCTCCTTACGGCTTATGGCTCCACTCAAATACATTTTGTTTATACTTACATCATGAATAACTTGGAACCTAACCAAACCTTATCTCATGGTGTGTACATTCCACTTTCTCGTAACGCAGTTCTGCCAAGCCCAGACCTGTTCTAAGCTCAACAGAATTAACAGTTATAAAACCGAAACACCAGTTCTTGATCCTATTCCAAATTGAGTAAGAGCATGTTCTTTAAAACATATTTTACTATGTGCTAATTCATGGCTTTCAACTTCCTGTTTTATGCAAATCCTCCCAAGATGAAAAGCTGCCACATGCAACTTTTTTATGAGATCCACCACTCGCTGCAAAAGTGTACGATAGTACCAGTGTTTTATGGATTACAGTGAATAGATTCAATTTTCCACAGACATAACAGATGTGTGACTTTGACTAGTGGTTTGTGTTCAGCCATAGTTGGGAAAACAATCATACTTAGTCACAAACAAGTGGCAGACCTTTCATGAGAAATATTTTTCTTATTTATCTCTTTGACAAAATGGCCTTGCACATAGTAAATTGAGTTCAGTTTGAGTAGTTCATACATTGATACATTATTGGCATTGCGTTTGGGGGAGATATGTGGTGGACAAGAGAGAGCCAACTAGGTAAGTTAAATGACTGGATTATAACATTTTAGAATTCCTACTTTATGTATTGTTTGTGTGAAGTGGTGTTTGGTGTCTGTGGAGAATCCCACTCTGCCCAATGCAGTAGTGGGTGAACCGCTGCTGTTGGTTGACTGACCTGTCAGTTGTGCTCCTCCCTCTGCAGAGGCCTCTCAGACTCAGATGTTTTACACAGCCTATGAAATGTTTGAAGGACACAGAAAGCGTAAGTCCACATGGGCACAGACTTTTCCCTCCAGGGCGTCAGCTCCTCCTCTTTCTATGACGTCATGCATGTGATCATCCTTCGGCACGGACCATCGGAGAAACTGTCTATGTACAACCATAGTGTCACGCCTGAAATAGTTGGTTAGAATTACACATTCATCATCACATTATATATACTTAAATATGTTTACAGTGGCTCAGTAAGTCAGTACTGAGAAGGTTTTTAGAGAACCTTTCATGGATATATCCTTTTTTCATTCATTCCATATATGGTGGCGGGAAACTACCAGTGTAGCCACAGCCGCCCTGGAAAAGATTGACAAAAGACTGCCTCCTCCATCCACCACCAACCAATCATTCATCACACACCAGAGATGTATAATTTTCTGTAATGAGTAGATTTCTACTTGACTAGTTACTACTGAACTGTTAACAATCCACAAAGTGTGTTTGGTGGTATACTTATTCAGCTTTATAATCTTTCTAAATTAATGTAAACAACATTGCTACTACAAATGAGTTACATTTTGAAAGCTTTAGTTCGAACACTTTACTGCAACATAGATAAGTAAATACAATGGTCATAATGACAGAATCTTCCTCCACACATGTAGACTGATATCTCATAGTGTACGTTACATATAGCACTCATTTACATCATCCCTAACTCAGTTCAATTTATGATCAACTTGATAATTGGTGAGGGCATTATAACTGGTTGTACATGGGCAGTGTACAGCTCCTCCAAATTCTAAGGGCTCTTTCTACTTCATCACTGGAGAAAAACGCATGATCTTGTTAAGGACGACTCCCTGTGAATGTTGAGTTATATTATTTCAGCAGCACCAACTTAATAGCCTTCATTAATGGAGCTATACACTGCAAAAATGTATTTTATGAGCTACATGGTGTGAATTCACAATATAAATCTTTATTTATCATGTGGTGAAGATTGCTGACTAACTTAAATTGTTAAAAAGACATAGAAAAATACAATCCCACAAAAGATATATGTATTCTTGAACAGGTACATGTACAGTAGTAGAGCCCTTTTTAAACGGTTTAATAAAGTCTGTGTCATTCTAATTAAATGATAATGAAAGCAACATTGTGAATTCAAACCATTTCAACCCATGTACATAATTTTTGCAGTGTCACCCATTTAGAATAGTAATCTCCACATTCAAAGCGATGTCCCCTCTTTCTCCACACCACCCTGTCTATTCTTTTCCATTTCTCTTCAAAAGAGAGTTTTTTTCTGGATTGTATCTGTCATCTGGTCTTCAAACATCATACTGTGCTTAATACATCCTGTTAGAGCTCCTATTATTCTATTCAAATGTGGTCAGCCGACATTCATTTATATAGTAGAACTGAACTGGGATAATGGAGGGTAAACCTTTATAAGAATTAGACAATATCCACCCAAACAATACAGCAAATACAGTACTACACCTTGAATTACTAGTGCAACACATAGGCTTGAATTTTTTTTATCTATCTCATCATTGCAACATTCACAGAAGAAAAACGACTATAAATGTGTAATTATTGACAGAGTTTAGTGGGTCTTTTCAGTGTGGAAGCTGCTCCCACATGCTTCATCCTTGTGAATAGAGTCTTTCTTTGGCTCTGTCACTCTGGGATCATAAGGGATTGAGTATGAATCTGCTGGACTGGCTCAAACGCCCAGTGCCCGGAGGCTGTGCCAAGGCCCCAGTGCCACGTCCACTTTGTTTTGTCTGGACTGGAGGGGCACTGGACACTGCCAAAGGATCAGGGCGGAGCGGGTCATCACATTCACTCCATTCAAATCATAGGCATTTCACACTGTCGCTCCCGCACTTCTCAAGCTGATGTTTTTCTCAAGGTGTTCACTGCAAAAATGAACTTCAATTCAAAATGGTGGGCTTGATTTGAGGCGGTGTGACTACTTTTGATTTAGGTACTGTATATGAATATGAAACAACAAACCAAGATTAGTTGTACAACTCCATGTTGAAAAGGTGTAGGAGCATGTGACAAAAAGGAGAAAAACATGAAAACCAATGCATTATTAATTGATACTAGAGCGTAGCGGAGTGCCAAAATATACTGCAATATTTTGTTTCACGAGTGCTTTATAGATTATAGATGTGCTAATTGAAATCATCCATGTGATTAGCCTCTTAATACTCGCGAGACCCACCAACATTAAATCACTAGGAGTCCAAACCCAATGAGGTGTTGCAACTTCAAGTATGGGCTGCCATGGTGTGCTATCTTCATAAAGCTCATTCTCTCAGGAAAACAATCACATCATTTATCGTTCTCTAAAGAAAGAAGCCTAAAGTCAATTGGTAATAATTACAAAACCCAGCCTTCTCCAGTACTGTTGCACTCACTTTTATATTCAGAAAAAAAACGAAAAAAAAAAAAAAAAACAATCACATACACAAAGCAATAAACAATCCTTTGGAAATATATCATTGTCACTTATGTGAGCAATGGATCTCAGTATCGCCATATCATGAACCATGCACTGCATTCATGGCTCATGAATTGTATCTTGAGGGATCTAGAGATTCCCCGTCCGACTGGAAAGATTGCCTTGGTAACCGATTGCAGAAAACATCTAGTTCCGCCTCCATGTTGTGATTGTGAAATTCAGTTAAGTTTTGTGTAAGACACATTTTGTGATAACATTTTAATGTGTTTCCTTTCCTTTATCATACTCAAATGAATATGTTCTGCCAAAGTGAAACTAAACCAGGATAATTATCAGGAGTTGACTGCAAGAGTTAAATATTCTGAATGCATGATTCAGAATCTGTTTATTGGGATATTATGCCATTATTTTATATATTCAGAGATAAATGTGTTGACATTATTAAGAACTCAAATAAACCAATACATGTAGATTCCATGACAATGTTTTTTTTGTTCTCCATTCGCTCCATGGCTTCCACATTTGCCAATGGACTCTGATCGCTCTCTAGTACTTTAGTAATAATGCATTGATCAAAGTGAATTGTCTGATTCTATATTAAATTAACCTGAACTAATCAAGCTCAAATCATAATTGAATGGCAAGTCATTTTTGCTCTCAGAACCTTTTTAAGTGTTGCGTAACTGTTGTGTGATTCCATGTAGCAGCAGATGGGGTGCAGCCGGTGGCCTCGGTCAGTCCATCCGTGCTGAACGTGCAGCCGGGACAGAGCGCCGAGTTCCGCTGCACTGGGAGCGGCAGCCCCACACCGGCCGTCGAATGGATCGGTATGAACATGGACAACATTAAGACTTTTTTGCAATTAGAGATCCAGTTGCATCAGTTTTTAAATTAGATTTATTTGGACAGATTTGGTGTTCACCAGGGTGATAAAGTCTTAAAGCTGGGGTACCTAACCTGTTATGTTTCATAAACAATAATAATAATGCATCGGTTTTATATAGCGCAGTTTTAGACACTCAAAGATGCTTCACATGTCATTATTCTTTTACTCCATATATGGTGGTTATAAACAACTATTGTGGCCACAGCTGCCCTAGGGCACACTGTCAGAAGCGAGGCAACCAGTATGTGCCATCGGCCCCACCGACCACCACCAGGCATTCACACACACCAGCCTCATTCTAGGCAATGTGGGTGAAGTGTCTTGCCTAAGGACACTCTACAGCCGCACCTGCCCCACTGTGGCACCTGGTGGTCCCAAAAATCTATAATAAAATTAATTATTATTAATTAAATGAATGTGTAGTTTGTCCTAACAGAGTCTTGTAGGTGTAAGATTTTGTGAAAAAATCGGACCACACCATGCTGTCTTTAACACATTGCCACACTTGCCAGATTGATCCCTGTGAGTCACTATTTGTCGCCTTGGGCTGAGCACTGATTGAGGATTTTTCACTTTTCTGTCAGAAAATACTTGCACGTGAAAACTAGTGATAGAAACCATGTTTTTGAGAGCTAGGAACAAGGTAGATTTTCTTTCGTTTGAAAGTCACCCCAAAGGTACATAACTGAATCATAACTTTTGCCAAGTAGGTCTTCTTATAAACAACATCATGAAATCACTACTTCCTCCTGGTGTGGGGAAGAATTTATATGATTATAATTATGTGTGATATTCCCACAGTTGCCCCAGGGAGCAGGCTGAGTTTGCGGGCACAGGTCCAAGGTGGGCTGTTGTCCTTCTCTGCTGTGGACGTGTCTGACCAGGGCGAGTTCATCTGCAAGGCCCTCAACACTCATGGGGAGCACACAGCGAGAGCCTCACTCATCGTACAGCGTAAGTGTGAACAGGAGGCATGATGCAGCTGCAATATAAAACAGCCTTTGTCTCAACAATTCATGTTTGTTCTTTGTCCGTGCTGCCTCGTTTTAATCCAGTTCAGCTAATTGTTAATTGAGTTCCTTCTGATTACATAAATATATAAAATGTTGAGGTTTATTTTAGGATATGTGGTGGACATGGCAACATACAAAACAAAATACAATGCTGAAGAACAATATCCTAATAAACCCAAAGCAGCAATGACTTCCAAGGCCTAAATTTAGTCACTGGTTCATTTTATTAAGAAGATAAAGAAGTACATACTTTCCCCCCTCCAGAGTCCAATCCGAGTGGTTTAGGTTCCCAGCCTCAGGTACAGATCAGTCCACAGTCGGCTGAGGTCCATGAAGGAGATAGTCTGAGGCTGTACTGCAGAGCGACCGGATCTCCCACCCCCAAACTCACTTGGCTGAAAAACGGAGGACCAGTGCCCCCCCAGGTGAGACATACACATTCCGCATCACTGTCTGAAGCCTAAAAAACAGGTTGTGTTCATGTAAAGCAGGGGTCCCTCCAAAGAAAAAAAGGGCCACTGTGAGACGCTCCTCAAACAATCGTACTTTGACAAAATCCAGTTTGTTTTTACAATACTTGTTGACATGGGAACTATTACAATAGACCTATTCAGCAGATTATGTTTAGGGGATTCTTGGAAAGGGGAGGTGTGCTACCGGTAGCTGACCCCTGACCTAAAGGTATTACTGATGACCTGTAAGACGGTGATTATATGATCTGTTACATCATTTTGTAATAATTTAATGAATTTGTTTAAATTTGTATTATTTATTTATGGTTTACATGTGTTATGTGCTATTTAAAAAATACCGTGGTAAGGTATCATGCAAATTGAAGTGATTGAGCTTTTAACCACACCATTAAAACCAGTAGGCTATACCCTACCTTTTTGAATGGTTTTAGATTTAATTGTTGCCACTAAAATTATCATTATTATTATTATTATTATTAAATCTAATTTATTATTACATTTTTAATATGAATCACCGATACATTCTTTTTCAAATGACAATGTTTAAATCCAAATGTAAGTAAACAATACAACAGTCAATATTTATGGACCTTCTGTTTAGCATCTCTCTTTCTAAAGACATGACACATGCCCTTCATATGAACAATGTGACCCCAACATTTAAACTTGAACACAACCTATTTGACTGCTCTTGATTCATATCATTTTGCAGATAATCTATTAAACAAGACAATTCCCAAAAGCTGTATACATTGTGATGCCTGTTTCATTTTGACTCTGTTCTTCCTCTGGCTCATCTCTGCTGTGACGTTTTTGCTCAGGCCATTCCCTCTCACGGTTTCCATCAGTTTAAAAGCAACAGTCTCGATGTGTTACAGAGACGTATTGGAGAATTGCAGGTCTGTTCATCTGTCTGTCTCTGTCTCTGTCTCTGTCCAGCAGTGAACTAATCATCCATCATGTCCTCGTGTCCACTAAACGCATGATTGCCTGGGCGCGCTCGAAACAATCATATGTTGGCTTTAGATAAATGTATCGCTTTGTCTTTCCATTTAGGTCTTTGTTAAAGCGTACTATTTATGTAGGCTATTCAAAGGCCACGATTTGATGGAATATGACAGATGGGAAATGTGACATACCATATTTATTAAAAGTCAACATTTGATTAATTTGAGTTTCTGTCTGGTGACACTTAGCTCTAACTCTCTAGACTTCTTTTTGTGCTACTTTCCGCTCTATGTCTTTAAACAAATCAACTGTTTGTTTGTAATGCGACAAAGGGAGAGTACAGGGAAATGAATAAAAGGCTTTTTGAGGGAGTCGAGAAGCCTGTTGTGATTGGTTGATGGGGACAGAAACAAAGTATAATGTCTTACTTATCTAATTGACTCATTATCAAAAAAAATATTCAGTAAATACAAAAATCACTGTATTAACTGATTAAAACCATGTGTGACTGCACTTGCCTGCTGCTCCTTGTCCTGTGTTATGGTGATAATCTTAGTGTCCCATGCATCGTTATTTTGTCCACATCGTCATCGCTGACCTCTGCCTAATATTCATCAGAAATATTAACAGTGCAAAGTCAGGACTGTACTTTTTTTTTTTTTACATTCTTGAGGCCTCGCTCAATGTTGTCCATAATTCTGCACTGTGGATTACTGGTTTAGATAGATAGATGGATACTTTATTGATCTTCCGTAGGAGAAACTCAGGTGTCCAGCCGCGGAAGACTCATCTAGGTTTGTTGTACAGTCCGAAGGCCGAAGGAGCGAAGCCTGTTGCTATTATTACTCCTCTGAGCTGGTATAGAGTCATGCAGAGGGTGTCTGGAGTTACCCAGGATGCCCTGCAACGTAGACTTGATGGTTTAGCTGTTATTTATACAATCTGACCTATAGATGGTCTGGGCTGCTTTATGTTGTCCAGTCTTAGACATCACATTCAAATGGGGATACATTTTTAACATGGATTCAATACAGATTTTTGTAATATTTATATTCTATTTCAATAATTTGATTTAATGGTATTTTGATATATTTGACGCTGACAAGATTTTTCAACCCACAATCTTCAATAAATGGAAGATAAATGCACCAGTAATCTATACTTTTATTCACATTAGGTAAGGGGCCAAAGGAGCCAAACGTTTTGTTTTTTTTACTGAAATTGCATCAAATCCCTTTGAAATATTGAATTATATTTAATTGGAAATGCCTAGTATTGTCACCTAGACATTTCTGTGGTGCCTATGCCATGTGTAAATAACTGAAACCAAGACTACATTCTTAACTAAACTAGTCCCGAGATCACGACTAAACAAGAACTACAACAGAACCAAAACTAGTCATTATCAACCTCAGGACGTCCTCACTCGTTTTGGTCTGGAGGACTCGGTTGACTTCTGAAACAGGTGCACCGGTCCTCATGACCTGTGACCTGACTGAGGTCACCAGTGGGTCGGACTCTATTTCATCGATTGGTTTAAAAACATTTCTAGAATGTACTAGAATAACAACTAACTAATAACGTGTGGTCCTAGACTAAATTACACTGATGGGTAAAAGTGGTTCTGAAGTATTCAGGAGAGTCTATAGACGGCCATGTGTACTGGCCTGTGGCTCTGGCCCGCTGCCCTGTGTACAGTGCTCCTCGGGCCTGTTTAGTTCTGCCTGATGGAGCCGCTGCGTTGAGTTAGCCTTTCCCAGGGGCAGACGTGCGACCAGGCAGAAACTCTGTGTGCTCTGGTCATCGGCGCCTTTGAAAACTCATCACAGGCTTTGGGACGAGCACTGATCCGCGCACGGTGCTCCCTCCTCACGCTTCAACGGGCCCGGGCTAAACAGCTTTGTCCCTCATGCCCCGCCACCGCCCCCGGATACAGTAATCCACCCCTGTGCCCTCAAGAGGTGTTTACAAACTTTATCAGATCCCATTTTCAGCCCAACTGCATCTTTAAACAACACACAGACACATGTTAATTTGTTGCAATGAGTTGAAATGAATTTTTTAATCTTGATTTGAGTAGTCATTTTTTCGACCTGTCAAATACGCCGCCCGTCTGTGAATAATAATTTGCTCCTTTAGCAGTTCGTCTGACATACAATACATGTTTTATTATTTAAATTAATACATCTTGTCAGAACTGTTTGAATGAAGTCTTTAATGCAGTGCAATGTGCTTCTAGCTTTTTGCGATATGTGATTTCTCAAAATGCGGTTAATATTCTGATATAATGATATTTAGCACACGCTTTTGCAGCAGTGTGCTAGCATGGTAAGATGATGAGAAAGGCATGGGGAACTAATTGTGGTGGCTGAAAATAAAGGGATGCATTTGTTATTCTACTTTGGTTCATGATGATATTATAAATCCTAAACCTGTATTTGACAACTGTACGCCATTTTGATAATAATGCCAAACATTTATCCAGTATTTGGGATTCTATTTAGCTTGACACCCTGTCCTTTTTGCAGTAAAGTGGTGAGTGCCCATTGGCTAAATTCTTGTCATAGTTAGAAATTAAAGCCGTACTCTTCCTCTCAAGGTGATAGGTGAAAACATCTTTAATCGATTCTCCAACTCATGGCTTCTTACATATTAACACTTGTCATTGTGGAAAGTGGGTCCTTGCTTTGGGCGCACATTTGTGTACAAATGTGTGACAGCTTTTTAATCTAGAATAGAAATCATTGAAGTCTGAGCAGTAGTTTTAACAAGCCCTGTCTCGTCCTACAGTTCTTCGCCGACGTAGAGCTTTTTGTGTCGCTTCTAGCTAGTGATTTATCAAGTGATTTATCAATGGTATAATGTCAGATGTTCTGAGAATCTTATGGGCGTGAGTGACAATTTAGAGCCAAATACTACAATACTACAACTAATACAGAAAACTCTGTTCATCTCCAAAATGAAAAAAAAAAGCAATACATTTAAATAAAAGTTCAACTCCAATTTTTGATATCTTTTTTTGAGTGTCTTTTAAAGAGTATTTACATTTAGATATTGTAGATTATAACCTTAAAATTGGTTAGTGTAACCCCTGTGTCCATTGTCCTGCCTGGAATGTCCCATGGTCAAAAGTGCATTTAAGTACAAAACTTAGTGACTACAACTATTTTTTGTTTCATTCGGTTTGCACACACAAAAAATAGTGGCATTCCAGTGAGATAACTTATTTCTATGGGATAGTTGTTCCTTTTGGCTGTAATCTACAGTATAGTTTATGATCTTTATTATCTACCGTTCCACAATATAGTTTCCAGTTCAAGTGTTGCTTTCATTTATCTTGGACAAAGTAAACAAAAATCTTGAAACAAGTGAACAACTGTACATTAGGATGTGATGGGGGCCGACTATTGAGTAGAAAAGTTTAATTGTTCACCTTAAGAGATTGAAACGCTTACTGGTACAACAAAAGAAGTCTAATTTGACTTGATAAACTTCTCAGCAGTAGAGCTTCCAAAAGGTCACTTACGCCTTTTAGATTATTATCTGTGTGTGCACAAACCAACAGGTAAGTTACAGCTTTTTTGGGGGAATTTTATGAAATTGTTTGTTCTAATTGTGGACTTGTATTGGATTGCTTGTGTCCTCAGGCTCGTCTGGACCGCACTGACATCGGCACTCTGCTCATCCCAAACATCCGCCTGTCGGACTCTGGCGCGTACACGTGTGTGGGCAGCAACATCCATGGCTCCAACAGCGCGCCCATCAAAGTCACAGTGCTCAGAGGTGAGACCTGCTCCAGAGCCTCAGTAAGACTCCTTCAAACATGTCACCTTCAAAAGCCTGTTTAGTAAATATGATGTCATTTGTTATTTCTTGGTCTTTCTTGAGTGTTACTTTTTATATATGACTCCTTGTTTTGAATTTGTTCCTTTAAATCTGGAGTGGCCATTTTGTTCATATCTAACCACAAATTAATGTTTGTTGTCTGTCCAACCCTCTAGTGATATTTTCTATAATGTATATTCTGTAAATAATAACTGTGTTTTATGATTTGAACATATTTTTGTGGCAAAGAATGACTCTGGGTGATATTCGAAGTTTTCTTTTGTTTTGAATTATAATTTGAAGGTTTTCCTGTAAGAGTAGTCTAAGGCCAATGACTATTTTATAGTATATTTGTTATTTCATGTTTTTTATTCATCTTCCTGTATTTTTTCCAGCGGACCACGTGTCCACTGGCGTCACAATCCAGCCGTCTGTGGCAGATGTTCAGGAAGGGCAGAGTCTGGATCTAACCTGCTTCTTTCATGGAGTCCCTCCTTCGCAGGTCACATGGACCAGAGCCAGCGGCCGTCTCTCCTCCAATCACCAGGTATGACAAAAGCTCCTTGGAAGACATGATGATGATTCTTGATCTTGAAGTTACTCCTTCAAGATCAAGAACCACCCTTTGAAACTCATCCTTTGATTTCTGCACATAATATTGTCTGGGTTCTCAGTTTTTACCTGAGGTTAAATCTATAATCAACTATATTTTTAAATGAAGATTAACCAGGAGGAGGGAATATATACAATACAATAACACAAATTCTCACTGAAAAGATAAAAAACTATAGATTCGCTAGAGTAACTATGTCTGGACTGGGAATGCCTTGGGATTCCCCTGGATGAGCTGGAGGAAGTGCTGCCTTTGTAACGCGGACATTGAATAAAGTAGATAAAATAGATAAATTATTTGTTGAAAATTCATCATGCTTGTATTACAGTAAAATATCTGTGATTTGGAACAAGTTTGATATATAATGGTTTGAACATAGTCCATTTCTGAATATTGGCCCAAAGCCGATAAATAATAATGTGGCAAATAATCAGCTGCTCCTGACATCAATACCAATTTATTGTCCACTTTTGGTATGCAAGCATTATTGGATGAATAAGGAAGGATATATTTATTTATTTAACATGGACACATAATACAAGTCTTTTATATATAAAAGATCCTTGATAGTAGCTTATATTTCCATCACTGTCATCACTGAAATTGTTTGGTACATATTATAGTTTCTCTTTATATGTCCTTGGTTTTTTGCATGTGCAGATTTTGGGAAACCAGCTGCGTATCCTGTCCGCAACCCCTGAGGACTCAGGGGAATATATCTGTCAAGTGCAGGGCCCCTACGGAAGCCCGGGAGGTCAAATCCGCCAGTCCTCAGTCTCTGTGTCAGTGACCTCATCAGGCTCACGTAAGTCTGGGTTTTTTCCATAACGTAGGTTAAAACAGTCATTCATTTTCAACCACAAAAAGAAAAACTACTATGTGTACTCTGGAACTGTCAATTGGTTGAAGTAAAAAAATAAATAATACGAATTATATTAAAACAGGCAAAAACGCCACATGTAAGAGGAAACTGAAACATATATGAATATTAAGCTCTACATAGAGAAAGTTTGAAAAGTCATAATCTGAAAAGCGCCTGACTATTTGATATAATTGATTATAATTTGTTTCATTGTTTTTGTCAGCGGTGTCCACAGGTGTTACGATCCAGCCGTCTGTGGCAGACGTTCAGGAAGGGCAGAGTCTGGATCTAACCTGCTTCTTTCATGGAGTCCCCGCTTCACAAGTCACATGGACCGGACCATGGACTGGAGTCAGTGGGCGCCTCTCCTCCAATCACCAGGTATGACTTTCGAGTTCTGTTATAGAGTATCTCACCAGGTCTAAAACAAGACTTATCGGGATCTAATTTAACACAAAACCATGGCTTAAAAGCACTATGGTGAGATCCATAAAGTTTATCTCATCATATCTTATTTTACTCATATCCAGTAATAGTTGTACAGTAATAGTATTGTGGCATAAACACGTTTTTGTTCCTATAATTATACTGACCTCTCTTCCAGTTACTTATTCATTGCAATTTTTGTGAATATTTATTTAAATTTTGGTAAGTGATAAAACAATTTGCAAATTTAAACAGGATTTTGTCTAAAAAATGTCCAGATGAGACCCTAGCCCTGTTATTGCAAATATGTATACATTTAGAGTTGCTAATTTCTTTATTTTATTTGGTATGTATACATCTAATTAAAGTGTAGATTATGAAGTGAGAGTAATCAATAATAACCTATCTTTTAGAATTACAATCGTATTTTTGTTATCACTATTTTTACACTTTTTATAGTTTCCCTTCACATTTTCTTGTTTTGTGTGAGCAGATTTTGGGAAATCAGCTGCGTATCCTGTCCGCCACCCCGGAGGACTCTGGGGAGTATATCTGTCAAGTCCAGGCCCCCTACGGAAGCCCAGGAGGTCAAATCCGCCAGTCCTCTGTCTCTGTGTCTGTGACCTCAACGAGCTCACGTAAGTCTGGGGTTTCGTCATAATGCAATTTTGAAACACCGAGCCAAAGTTTCAACACCACATAAAGATGAATGTGTGTATAAATCTGTCTATGTAGCTCTTCCAAACCTTTTTGCCAATTTGCCTTTAGTTGGAATGTATTTCTAGTTTTTTCAGACAGAGAAGTAGGGTGGACCACCAGTGGAGAGCCAAATGCTGTAGCTGTCCTCCCAAACAGTCAAACAGTGACAAACATGGTTATATAATTATATGCAGATGTGTGCAGTGGCCTGATCTTTGTCAAAAGCATCTGAACACAGAACAACCATAATGTGCCTTACTTAGAAGAACAGTTGTTGATTCAGCCCTAACAGATTGTATGAAATATAATGGTTTTATTGTATTTGTTGTGGAAAACACGATTGTTGTAAACCATACTGATTATTCTAATGAGATGTAAGTAAATACGTGATGTATTCATGTGTTCTTCACTTAAAGTAACACGAAATGTAGTTGCATATTTCTGCAAATCTGGAGTTGTTTTGAGATCCATCCATGGGAATAACTTCTGGCACAAACAGTCCCTCCCTATAATAATATGTTCCTTCTCATAGTTTTTAATGGTCAATAATAAGGGCACCACTCGTATCACATATCGCTTCTTAAAAACGTAACATGTTGCCACATTAAAATGGAATCGGTTTGTGTGTGCAACTATTCTAAATTGTAGTCTGATATTTAACTTTTTTCTGTTTGGCCTAATAGCTTCTTTTTTTTCTTTTTTTTCACACAGTGTTGCCACTTTTCATAGTTGGATTGGTGCAGTCAACGAGACAACACCAGCTTTATTGTCACATTTTCCAGGGCAGCGTTGCAGTGTCTATTTATTTGATTAAATATGGCAGCGTAGGAAATGAAAGAGGCTCAGTCATCCGGAGAGGAGTGCCGCTGCAGCATGGGAGGATGTTTTTCTCACACTTAGTTTCTTCTGCATACTCGCTCTGTCATAGCCCAATGTGACCCCACTAATGCTTCTCCGTGCTACTGTCCCATGATCTCATGCACATCTCTCTGTAATGTAGAGAGATGTGTGTAATGTTTTCACACTGAGGGTTCTCTGTCACACGTGTCAGGTTCTCATGTTCCTGTCTCGTAGGTCTCCAGAGTCCTATCATCGGCACAGAGCCGCACTCTGCTGCAGTGCATGTCGGGGAAACGGTCAGCTTCAGGTGTAAAGTTTACAGTGGGGCTGAACCGGTGAGGATGGAGTGGAAGACCACTGATAACCAGCCTCTGCCAGGTACACATGACATGATCATAGTGGTTGGTCCAAGTTCTTGAATAAAGCATTCTACAGAAGTCTCTAACTCAATCTCAACCAGTAATGAAGCTCCTGCTGCACGCACAGCTGCTGTGGGTGCAATCTGAGGGAGCTGTCTGAATCTTCTTTGATAATGTGCACATATTTGCAGTTAAAGTGTCAGTGTGAATGAACCTTTGTCAAACTATGTCTTACTGAGATTGGATTTTACCATGTGTGCTCCTACTTTGTACAATCGATCATTTAGATTTGAGTAACATTTACCTCAATACATATGTTGCTGTGCAGCACTTCTAAAAGCGAGTGCAGTATGTCAACCGTTGTAACTCTCTTATATGTATATTTTACAGAAAATACCAAAGTCAGCCCTGATGGTTCAGTTCTTACCATTGTGAGCGCTCGTCCTAGTAACCATGGAGCTTATCGTTGTGTAGCCAGTAACCCCTTCGGCATCACCCAAACCATCGTGTCTTTGATCGTCAGAGGTAACATGTCATATCTTTAAAGAATTTGTTCTACCTTCAAGGCCCTCAAAGGACCTAATGAAAGTATTTGTATACACAGAGTTTATACATTATGGAAAGTTAGGTTTTATGAGCCCACAACAATTGGGGCCTGTTATTCAATTTTGAAATTTTCTCTCTTTCATAACATATTCATGAGGACAATCAGAGTCACAAATGGCATTGCAACTCATGTTTACATTCACAACTTTGTCCCAGTGTTGGAGTAGGGCTCCCTCTTATGGTGAGTCTCAGCACTGTTTTATTTCCTTTTATCTGCTGTGTGACCCCAGGTTCCACAGACCACCCAGTAATCACTGTGAGTCCGGCGGGTCCTGTGCGCGTCAGAGAGGGAGAGCCCATAACCCTGGATTGCCAGAGCTCCGGAGAATCCCAGGTCTTAGTGTCCTGGCACCGACTGGACAGGAACATGAGAATGATGAAAAGCAGCCAGATCCCCATGGAGTCCAACGCTGTCCTGCAGGTAAGGAAGAGATGATACAGGATTCACATGGGCATCAATGTCAGTGCAGGTATATAAATTCAGAATTAAAAGTACTCCATGTAAAAGTTTTATGGGGCGATGGTTGAAAAGAGAAGATATAGTTAGTTAGCTAGTTTTTAGGTGAACCATTGTGTGGAGTGAGAGGACAAGTGCCCAAAAAAATAAAATAACAATTGTAAAGCGCTTTGTGACTCTGGTCTGTGAAAGGCGGCATATAAATAAAGCTTAGCTTACTTACTTACATTACTGCTTTGGTTGTTTTAGCCAAATAATCAGAACCTAAAAATGAACTACTTCAAGATTAAAACCATGGTAAATCCAAATTCTCTCTATCCCCTCAATATTCTATTTAGTTTAGCCATTTTTGGTGATATTATATAAAATACCACGTACAGCCTGCATTCTCAGACGTCAATATCTAACTTTTTCTTCTCCCCAGATCCTGGCTGCTCGTCCTGAAGACACTGGGATGTATGTGTGTGTGGCTCAGTACGGTGAAGTCACCACAGAGACTAGGGTGCGAGTGTTTGTGGAGGGGGGTTCCGCACTTCCCACAGTGCCTCGCGTCTCTGCTCCTGAACCCCTGATGATTGTGGTGGAGGGACAGGCGGCCACTCTGCGTTGTGACGGATACGGTAGGTAACACCACAGCACTAATAGCACTAATTCAATCTGGAGAGACTCAAACAGAAAAATAGGGGCTTTATTATGTATATTGGTTGGTAATTATCTGACACTGCATAAAGTAGTAAATACGACTCTGAAGTCAATATTTGCAAGATTACATTCATCGTTGTTGTACGAGAAATGTGGTTACGATTTGGAGCTTAGACCCCGGAAGAGCACAGCCTGATGATTGCTGAAGGGGAAATGAAGATAGAGATTATGAGATGAAATCCCCCGGGGCCTAGACCCTGATGGTGGTAGCTGGAGAAGGGAGAAGAGCTGACCGGCTGATGAGGCGGAGATGGGGAGGAGGAGGGTTGCTGCATGAATGAAAGCTGCTGCTTGAATGAATCTTTGGGATATGAAGCTTGATGCAGGGTGATGCTTGATTACTGCCTGGTGAGCATTGGGACTGTAGCGCTGCAGCTGAGTGTGATTGACTGATGCTGTTGCCGTGAAGCAACAGGGGGGAGGACTTACTTCTTCCAGTCTGAATTTCCGCCATAGCTCCACTAGGCCTCTAGATCTCTGTCTCAAGATGTTCTCAGACGCTAAGTCTGACTTAGATGTGTCTCAACTTTAAATGTATGGTGCATTGTCTTTGTTAAGCACATTGAGCTGTAGTTGAAGTATGAAATGTGAATACATGTTCTTCCTTTTTTACTTTTCTTTAAACTTACACTAATTTCATACACACACAGAAGTGGCACCACCAGGTTAAGTTGCAAGTTATGACAAAAAAGCTAATCGTACAAATGCAAAATAGTCTTTGATACGCCAGGTGTTCCACATCCCACTGTGGAGTGAATGGAAATGATCAGTACATAGAAACTGTGTGATCTTGGTTTGTGAATTGTACTTATAAATACAGATTACTCACTTACTGACTTTTTATGACACATCGTATCTTGGCTTGTGTCAAGATATTGATTCATTTATTTGTCTTTCTTTATATAATTGCAGGTGTCCCAGCTCCAACCATCTCCTGGTCGAAGAGGCGCGCCCCCATGCCCTGGGGACACAAGCTGGTGGGCAACGTGCTGATCCTCCCGGCTGTGGGACGTCAGGACTCTGGAGAATATGTTTGCACAGCATCCAACCGGATGGGCACCACTGAGGCCATCGTCACCCTAGAAGTGGAGAGTGAGTTTTCCAGGGTGCACTCACACTATAGCACAAGGATGGGCCCCAAAGCTCAATTCTATTTGCCAGTGGGAATGCAATTAAAACCTGATCAAATGTAATAGGTTTATTGGTGAAACTAAATTAGAATATTGTTCAAAAATGTATTTCTATAATTCAACTTAAAATGTGAAACCAATGCATGCTTTAGACTCATTGCATCCAAGCCTTTATTATAATTATGATGATTATGGCTTACAGTCTATTTTTGAAATAAATTAATTCTTGTTTTAGTTGGATAAAGCTGTGAGTCAACATCAGAACAACTCTCACTTTGCATATTATAAGTCTATTGTATATCATTGTGCATTGTAATTCACAAAAGTAAATTGCTTTTTAACAATATTCTAATTCGAGTTTGACCTATATAACTCTGCTAGTCCCATACCTATTCAAACTCAAACTTCCCATGCGGATTTATCAATTTGGTGCCCTCTATTTTGTTAGAACTATTTAGTGTTAAAATTGTTATATTCCCTCCCAGGTCCGCCACACACAACCTCAACCCTGGACGACGTGGCAGTGCGTGTGGGTGAGGTGATCAGGCTGCAGTGTCTGGCTCACGGCACTCCTCCGCTCAGCTACACCTGGACTAAAGTGGGGGGAGACCTGCCGTCCAGAGCCACGGCCGAAGACGGAGATCTGCAAATCAATCTGGCAACCGCTGAAGACGCCGGGAGCTACAAGTGCGTGGTCAGCAACCGAGTGGGCAGCAGCGAAGTGGTGCTCAACGTCAACGTGAGATGTACGTTGTCTTTTGCTTCTTAGTTTGTAATCGGGCTGGTTTTTATACAAAGTGGACGAAAAGTGAACAAAATAATACTCAAATATTATTTTGAGGTGTAGGGCTACAAAACACTGACTTGTCCGTACACACTTACTTATCTGTGTCGTTACTTCTTACTTAATTACTTAACTACTATTAGGCTAATTAGACATACTTAGTAGACATAGATATTAGCACATGTTCATGGACAATGCTGCGACAACAACAAATAATCATGGATCGATTGGGAATGAGAAAGAGTATTGCAAGGAACACAAATGTTCAAAGGGTTTTGGTCGTGCAGAGCCTTCATAGTGACCTTACTATGTCTGAAAATGTTATTGTAATCAAGTAAGTCAGTTGTCATCACTAAATACTTTTTGCTGAAATGAAAATGATCACTTGCAACGTGTAATGAACTTTTGTTTTTCTGTTGTTATATTTTCCACGTTCGCAGCCCCACTCTCGGTGAAGGTGTCCCCGCAGGTGGAAGTGAAAGCTCAGGGCAGCGCAGTGGAGTTCACCTGTTCGGCTGCAGGGGGCGCTGATACACAGATCGAGTGGTTGAAGGAGGGAGGAGTCCTGCCTCTGAACCACCACGTCAAGGAGGGAGTGCTCAGGTAACGCGCTCTGGACACAGGGAAGAGACAAATCAGTAACTCATTGGGGATTAATAGTTAGCTACTCATTTACAAAGCATTTGAAATGACTAATAGTAATGACTTTACATTTGACCACAATTTCCTAATTCAGTCACAAACACTGCTATGCTAGATTTACCTTTAAAACTGCAAACAAAATTGTGGATTAAGAACAGGTTAATGTTTTAATTTTGTACCATTAAACACTGATTATTGTCTTTCCTTTCCCACTTTTATTCAGGATTGAGAATCTAGAGCAGAGCAATGAAGGTGTTTACATCTGCAGAGCCACAAGTGCCTACGGTCAAGCGCAGGACACGGCCAGACTGACCATCCAGGGTGAGTGACATCTGAACTTTCTGCTGTAAAAATAAGTAATTGAGAGAATGTAGAAAACAACAGTAGAGATTGAGTAGACCAGAGACAGCGAGAAGGTGTTCTATTCACCTGGGTTCTATTCCACCACCAGGCCTATCCGCTGTTTGCATGTTCTCCCTGTGTCTGTGTAGGTTTACTCCGGGTGCTCCAGTTTCCGCTACCACCAAAAACATGTGAAAGGCGCTATATAAATAAACATTACTGACTTACTTACTACATATAAAGATAAGAACTGTTTTTGTTTATGTTTTTTATTATTATTTATACTATTATTATTATTTTTGTATTCATTTATTTATGTTTGTTCTGTTCTGGGGTTGTACTTTTTTGTTTTTGTTTTATGGTGTGTTATTTATGCGTTCTTGTTGAAGGTTGTGTTTGTCCATTTTGTTGTCTTTAATGAAAAAGATGAGAACCGTTATTCTTCCCATATTGAGGACATAACCGTGTTACAGTGGATATTACTGTAGGAATATAAGGAGTGCTCAAAACAAGATAAGTAGGGAGTAAACAACGAGGAGCAGTGTGGTTGTTTTATTTAAATCCTCGATCTTGAGTCTCTATTTTGAAGAGATGTCAACGTTCATCAGTGCGGTCTCTCCTTTTCTCTCCGCAGCTCTGCCCAAAGTTATGATAAACGTGCGCACCTCGGTCCAGACGGTGATGATTGGAAACTCGGTGGAGTTTGAGTGCCAGGCGGTGGGGGACCCTCAGCCCACAGTCAGGTGGAGTAAAGTGGGCGGAGCTCTGCCCTCTCACATCGTGGTGAAGGGCGGTATGTTGAAGATCGAGCAGGTGACGGAGGCCGACGCTGGACAGTACCGCTGCACCGCCACCAACGATGTGGGCTCTGTGCAGTCTCAGGTGGTCCTCAACGTACAGTGTGAGTGATTTATACCATATTATTACAAAGGAGGCCTATTAAACCCAACCCAGATTATTAAGTTCCAGGCGGCACGGTGGCTGAGTGGATAGCACTCTCGCCTCTCAGCAAGAAGGTCCTGGGTTCGAATCCTGGTTGGACCAGGGCCTTTCTGAGTGGAGTTTGCATGTTCTCCTGGGGCTGCGTAGGTTTCCCCCGGGTGCTCCGGTTTCCCCTACCACTAAAAATATGTACAATAGGCCTGGCTTGCGCCTCCTGTACTGGCGACCCCGCTCCCATCTCTGTGTGGAGTGAGAGACAAATGCCCAAAAATAACAATTGTAAACCGCTTTGTGACTCTGGTCTGCAGTGAAAAGGCGGTATATAAATAAAGATTACTTACTTACTTACAGTTTTATTACCATCACTATGTTTGATCACTACACTGCTGATGTTTTTCTAAGACATCTTAATAATAGAAACATGTTTCCGGTAATTGACTTATTTTTCAAAACAGCTCAACGACTAAGCCCCATCTTCTCAGAGCGGCTTGTGTTTATCATTTTATATCCAGCATGTTTGGTCGATAGTCTGAAGGTTTGCTGTTGGGTGAAATAGACATTTTCTCAACTTCTTTTTGTTAGATAATAACAAGAGAACATTGTTATAACATGTTTCAAAGAACATAAGAAAGAGTCGTTTTTTTATCGAACATGTACCCTTTTAATTATTTAGCACGTATGGTAATACATTTGTTATGGACAATTTAAAGAGTAAAACTTGTTGTATAAATGTATTCTTTTTTTTTTTTTTTAGATGAGTTCTTCCTGTTTATCAGTGTTTGTCCAATTAGTATCAATATCATAACTATGTTAACTAATTGTAAAAGGCATTTTTGTCTTGAATGATCTTGTTTTATTACCCCAATCCTTTTAAAAATATTCATTATGCAAAATAAAAATCACAAAATGGTATAGAATATCATATATATTTTAAAATCCTATATATTGAAATGATCATTTCCAATAAATGTTTATTGAGCCTCACACTTTCTCACAAACAGATGTTAAATGTTTTTTCTGTGTTGGAACAGCTTTGCCTCAGATCACTGCTCTGCCCGAAACCAAAGAGGTGAACGTTGGTTCTGATGCGGTCTTACCCTGTGTGGCGTCCGGATACCCACAGCCTGAGATCAAATGGTCCAAGGTAAATCATGTGTCGCCTACACTTTAGAGAAATACAATAAACCCAATTTGGCAATTCATTGAGAATGAGTAGTTGAATTTTTGATCATTTTACGCCTTATGGCCTAAAACTTTCATTTGGGATCAATGATTTAAGCGTTTTATCGAGTGGTCCTCTTGTCTCTGCTGTAGCTGTTTGGAAATCTGCCCGTGAAGTGTTCCCAGGAGGGCCATGTTCTAACCGTTCCTCGAGTTTCTCATGAAGACTCTGGCACCTACGTCTGCACGGCCTCCAACAAGCAGGGCAAAGTGGAGGCCTTCACCTCTCTGCAGGTCCACGGTGAGGACACAAACTATTGACTAATTCATTTAATCCTTTTGCATGTAGTACGGTCATTCACCAATGTGTTGCTTCACAACTGTCTGAATACTGTGCTTCTTTCAGAGAGAGTGATGCCGTACTTCGCCCAGGATCCTTTGTCCTTCCTCACGTTGCCAACCATCAAGAACGCTTACAAGTCATTCAGCATCAAGATCAACTTCAGACCCGACAATGTTGACGGTGAGAGGCGTTTTATTGGCTGCACTTCACTTTACCGCACAAGATTTGGCAAAGCAACTGAATGTATAATGAAGGATATAAAATGTTGCTGCATTTAAATGAATGATAAAACGTGAAGCAAAGTGAAATCAACTAAAGCATAACTAATGATCAGCCACATGTTTCATTGTATACAGTATACGTTTGTCCTTCTATCACTTTTACTCTCCCATTTATAAATGAAAACTCAAATTTTTTTGCGTTTTCAGAACTAACTTGATGCGGCAAAACATGTTTTTATAGTCTCTAGATTACTAAGACAGTACAATAATATTGGAGTATCAAAAATCCCATTATTGTCTAAAATCGGGCTTGTCTCATGGTCAGTTTGAAATCAATCTGACCCTGATGTTGACCATCTATCCACTGCTATTTCTCTCTTGTTTTAATGTGAATATTCTGTAAGTAAGTAATTTTTATTTAGATTAGAATATTCTGCAGTCAATTGAAGTGCTACTTTTACAGTCAAAGGTCAATCTTACCGTGTGTATTTTTGTACATCCTATACATGATTGTGTTGATATTTCTGTCTAAAAGTCTGCTCTCTTCCTCACTCATGTGGTGGGAAGGTCTCATATTGTACGCTGGTGAGTTTTAGTCTGTTTGCGAACCCTCTGTAAAGTGCAGTTGTGCTGAGTGGCTGAAAAGACTACATCCTGCACACTGCTGATTTTGGGGCATTTAAAAAAACTACAAATGCCCAAACATTCTCCAGGAATATTTTGTTTATGTTGTTAGCACTGCAAAAAGTGAACTATACAATTTAAGAGCACTTGAATTCAAAATTTTTGAGACGTTTTGAATAATATTTCTGATATCAAGTTGCATGTTTTTTATTTTTTTATTCTACTTTTTATTCATTGTTTTTTCTTAAGGTTTATTTCTTCTTATGATACATAATAATGCACACAAAAGCACGTAAAAAAATCCAATCCTGAAATATTTTTTTACATTACTAAAAAAAAATCTAGATGTAAATTTAGCTGAACACATGATCTGTTAAATCACCTGGATATAATTATATTAGATCTTGCACTGGGTAGCTGTTATAATATAACTTTTCTTTTTTCCTGTGCATACAACTAAAGAATTTTATCTTTTTAACACACCTTGTTATTTATTGTTGTAACTTTTTGTGTTTTTAACTATTTTATTGTTTTTAATTACTTGTGTGATTCTTATGTTTTTAAATTACTTATGTGATTTTAATGCTTTTTAATTACATATGTGTTTTTAATTGTATTTTAATGGTGATGATTTGTGCATTGTGTGGTGTGGACTGTGAGGCGCTTTGTGTTGCCCTGTGCAGGAAAAGCGCCCTATAAATAAAGATTGATTGATTGATTGATTGATTGATTGATTGATTGATTGATTGATTGATTGATAATGTCAAAACACAATTAATAGTACAATAATACCACATACAACTGTTAAAATCAATACTAAAACCAATAATATGTTGAAATAATGACATACATTTTTAATTCTGAGTTCAAGTCCTTTTAAGTAATGTTCTTTTTTGCAGTGCTCCATGTGTTATCTAATCAAGCATAAACAACTTTGTAAAAATCAGTGCTGTGTTTTGGCCTTCATTCAGCTAGTTTCATTGAGTCATGTTATGATATTGCGTGCATGTTTGTCTGGCCTCAGCGTCCCTGGCATGTGGACAAGCTGCCAAATGCATCTGCTGTTCAAAGAATAAGGACTTCAGCTTTGGTTGGCTTTAAACCTGCCTCACCATAGCATGCTGCTTTACCATCAGCTCTTGAACAAGGTTGTACTGTGTGGTAAAACTGTCTAAGTCCATCACAGCTAGTTCATTTTCCTTGGCCAGCATCAGAAAATCTAAATGGATTGCTGCGATAATTGCGGATGTGAGTTTGCTGATTTTGTCTGTCTGTGGTGCAGGTATGATTCTTTACAATGGACAGAAGAGGAGCACAGGAGCGGACTTTGTCTCTCTTGGACTTGTGGGAGGTCGCCTGGAATTCAGGTTCATATTCTAGATAAGATTTTTTATATTATAGTTTTATTTGCCTGTTTTATTAAAACTTATTCAAAATGTATTATTTACTTTCTTGTGCATACTAATGTTCTAATTATTCACAGTGATGATTGAAAGTATAAATAACATCCATGAATTTGATCAAGTTTTTAACAAGACCAATTTCTGTTCTTTTCTAGTTTGTGTCTGTCTGGTTCTCTATATATGCTCTACTGCAATGGAGAAAAACGACTAAATTACAAATAATGAATACAAAAGTACAACATTATGGATAATTTAGGATCAAAGCACATTAATGTGTGTGTGAAACCCTGGATTTACAAATTATCTTAACAAAAAAGACTCGTAGCTTTCTCATGGAACTGTTTCCTTTACCAACAAAGCATATTGATTACAATCATTTGCCATGTTTCCACTCATAAACATTGCTTCATCTTAAAGGAATGTGAATCACCAAGATATAATCTGTGCTAATATTTTCCTTGTGTTTTCAGGTTTGACGTGGGTTCAGGCATGGCAACTATTCGTGACCCTAATCCAATCAAAGTAGGCGAGTTTCACACTGTGGAGTTTTACCGAAATCTGACCCTGGGTTACATCAGCGTGGACGAAGGAGAGCTCATTAACGGCACCTCACAGGTCAGCATGACTAAACTACTGCACTTTACTTTTATTATAGTTCAATGGATTCACTTTTTGTTTTTTTATGTCCTATTCACAAAGTAAAGCAATTTCCTTCTTGTATTTTTTTATAATGTTAAAACAGCACAGAACAAAACAATACAATTTAGTCTTGTATAGCCCTAAATCACAACAACAGTCATCAGAGAGGACTTAACAAAACCATTGAAATCACCAACACAGATCAGAGAATCAACAGTAAAGAGACAAAAATATATACAAAAAAAGCACAAAAGGCACAAAAAATATAATAATTTACTTTTTTCTCAGGGTAAATTCCAAGGCCTGGATCTGAATGAAGAGCTTTATTTGGGCGGTTACCCCAACTACACACTGCTCACCAAGACCGCAGGGATCAAGACTGGGTTTGTGGGTAAGGGTTTTATTTGTAAATCAACACTAATTTCCATCCATCCATCCATTTTCTTTCTCTTCATCCATTGCCGGGTCACGACAACACTAATGTCCACTAATGTAAACTAATTGTTGAATTGATTGGTGTTTTTCAGGTTGTATCCGTCAGCTGATCATCCAGGGAGAGGAGGTTATCTTCAAAGACCTGGACCGAAGCTCCACTGGGGTCACAAACTGCCCCACATGCAAAGACGATCCATGCCAGGTTAGCTTAGGTGCTAGTATAGGATAGAAAAAGTTAAGTGTCCTGGCTTTTTCTCCAAGGCTTGAATAATGAAACACAGATCGAGTAGTGAAATAATTAAACCTCTGCTGCTGCTGCTGCTACTTACTTTCTTTAGGCTTTAGAGCTTCAATAAGTCATTCCATGTGCTTGATGTTGGGCATAAAAGGTAGATTTCTTAAACTGAGTGTCTCGGCAGAACGCTGGCAGATGTGAGGACTCAGAGGCCAGTCTTTACAAGTGCAGCTGTGCTCGAGGCTTCACCGGCAGCAACTGTCAGCACCACGTGTCTCTGCACTGTCACACTGGTTTGTACTTTACTATTACTATGGGAACAGAAGATAGTGCATGAAACAGTGGTTTTATCTGTGTTTTCTGCCTTGCTCACTGAACAAGATTGGAAAGTGTATCATTTTACTTTTAGCTGCTTAGCTCGCACTGCTACAGTCACTTTTAATTGAATTGTACATGATATATCTTGGACAAAAGAGACTAGCTTTTCACTTTTTTAACATGTTCACACTTTTGCTGTTTGCACATTTCCTGTCTTTTCCAACACCTGAGTGATCCTATTCATGGCAAATGTGACATGTACTGTACATTTATCTATTGTAAGATCAATAAAGTTTATCTTATCTTAAATATCATATGGATTTGTCCCATTTCTCAGAGGCCTGTGGACCAGATGCCACCTGTATCAATCGTCCAACTGGTTTGTTTTATGACTGTCGCTGTCATTTGGGAAAGTTTGGAGACAAATGCATGGGAGGTAAGTGAAACTATAATATGAAAAGCTCTTCTGACCCAGCCTGGTTTAAAATATAGAAAGATAGTCTGTTGCTGCCCCCCACAGTGGCATTGAAAGTTCAAACACAGAAGACAAGGCTGGATTACCTGATTTTCAAATAATGAAAAGAGGAGGAGGAAATCTACTTATGTTTGATGTAATTATATTATGAGCTATTATGAGCTACTGTGCCCAAGTAATGTCCCGGTGGATCAATACAGTTTGTCCAAGTTTAAGAGGGAGTAGATATAAGAAATAATATCAAACTATCAAACACATATTCATGTCTATCACAACCTTTTTGTAGTCTCTCTTTCATACACATATTCAATATTTAGATGAAATCACATGTAGATTAACATATTTATCTCACAAATCTGTATAATTTTTTTTTTCTATAATTCTGGAAGGAAAAAAAATGAATTTACCAAACTAAAAGACAAAACTTGCGTAATTAGGGTATGAAATCATAGATGTGCCTCTCATTGTTCCTTATCAGGAGAGCTGGTGACCACTCCTCTGTTTGATGGGAAGTCCTCGTTCATCACGTATCCTCCTCTGACAAACATCCACGACGATCTACGCGTTGAGCTGGAGTTTAAACCTCAGAGCCCCAACGGCCTCATGTTCTTCTCCGGAGGCAAAAAGATGAAGGTGGAGGACTTTGTTTCCATCTCTGTGGTGAACGGACACGTGGAGTTCAGATATGAGCTGGGCACAGGTGAGGGACCATCACTGCCAGAAATATGTGTTTGTTTTGTTTGTTTTGTGCAAAATTATTCGCACATTGCAAGTTATTGGAGCGGAGTCTTTGATGTGATCACATTCAGGGCCTTTCTGAGGGAAGTTTGCATGTTCTCCCCGTGTATGCATAGGTTTCATAGGCACTAGTGAACTCTCCTCCTGACAGTGGCAGTGCCTGATGGGTCAAATGCAGAGGACAAATTTCCCTATGGAGACAATAATGTATACCTTACCTTACCTTCACTGACGTTGCATTTAGGGGCAGTCAGAAAAGGCAGTTTACACAAAAGGAAGTGCCCGGGCGCCGTCTTTATATAAATTGTTTCATAGATGATCATATACAGAGGACAGAATCTTGTTTCGCCTTTAAAAAAAAAGGAAGAATAAAAAGAAAACATAACACAGAGAAAACACAGTTTCTGAAACCATAAACTTTTCTTTTCCTTTTGACATGCAACTTTCAGACCCAGCAGAAAATCTTGATAATAACTATTGAATTGCACTGTTTGATTCCAGGCCAAGCCGTCCTGCTGAGCCCTGAGCCCGTGTCCATCGGGCAGTGGCATCGGGTGGTGGCGGAGCGTGTGAGGAAGGACGGGTACCTGCAGGTGGATCAGGGCCCTGTGGAGAAGCTCTCGTCTCCGGGTAAAGCCCAAGGTCTGAACATCCACACGCCCATGTATCTCGGAGGAGTTCCCAACATGGAGATCCTGCCCAAACCTGCCAACATCAGCACCATGTTTAACGGCTGCATAGGAGAGGTCTGTTTGAGAGTTGGGGGAGTGAGACGCTTGTACCTACACTTGACTTATTACTTCTTGAAATCTTCAGTTTGTTTGAAGCATTTGCAGAGGTTTGCTATTTAGAAAACCCATTTGACTTGGGTTCAATATGTTTTTGCAGGTGCTCATCAACAACAAGACCGTGGACTTGTCGTACAGCTTCACTGAGAGCCATAGCATCAATAAATGTGTGGACACCAGCCCATGCGACCGGCGGCCATGTTTGAACGGGGGAGACTGCATGCCCAACGCAGAGTACGAGTACCAGTGTCTCTGCAAAGACGGATTCGAGGGTAAGCGCAACAGGCCGGCTGTTTTTATATTTGGGAACGTCATTGAGATTGGAGTTGAATCACCAAATCTAGATGAATAATGAATAATTTTACTTCAAATTGTACAAACATGAATTAACTCATCTTTCATTTGAATTAATATCAGCACTAGCAGCGAGGATGACTGCAAGAAAAACCCGCAGCAGAAACCCTACTTTAATGAAATAGACCACCTTGTCTGAAGAGGATTCATGAGCTAAAAAAGTTGATTTTTTTTCTTTTTCTTTCCGTCTTATCTATGGGAAGGAGATCCTTTAGTTTAGCAATGAAGCAGCTTCAGGTTTGCTTTTGATGATTGAAAATGATTGTATTATAATTAAAACTGGCATTCTCTCAGGGTGTCTAAGATTTTTTTTGTTATACATTAGTTTTATTTAAAGCTGAGGTACTTAACTTTCCCATGTTCACTCATCTTCACATGTATTTCTTTGTTTTGTCACAATAGAAAATATGCAAAAAAAATCCGGCCTCATACTTTAAACCAATGTAATGCAAATGTAAGTAAAGCAGCCATTTCTGTGCAGGTGAACGGTGTGAGGTGGTGAAGGACGTCTGCCAGACGGACGGTCAGTGTCTGAACGGGGGCAGCTGTGTGGGGGGGCAGTGTGTGTGCGCCCCTGGACACTCCGGCCCTACCTGCTCTGAGAGTAAGTCCTCTACTCACCGTAAGTACAGTAACTTTGCACTCAACTGCGGTTTAGCAAAGCGGCCAGAGCAGAGGCTGAATTGAGTCCATATGATTCACATTCCCTTCTGTCAGACAGCCGACCCCCAGCGCTGCAGTGCACTCTGGGAAAGTTTAGTGTCCTATTAAAGTGTACACCCCCCTCATGGCTGTATGCTACACACAGGCTCCCCCGAGGCCCTTTGGAGTTTGGAAGGTAGCGGCCCCAATGGTACAGTATTATATCAGTGGCATAATCAGTCTGCACCGTGACTAACAGGGGCCCTTGATGAGCTGAGGGCCCCATGTCTTTGGCCTAACACTACGCACATCTGCAAACATGCTCCTCTGAGGCGCCTGGTTCCCGGACGAGGTTTTGGGGTAAAAGGAACTCTGCATTTACGTACTTGAGACATATGGGTCTAAGCTATGCCCATATGTGACTAAGTACAGTACCTGTGGGACTCCTGTTGTTTCTAAACCCGGCACAGCTTCGTACTTACAGAAATACAATCTTATTGACAAATTCTTTTCCAAACAACCAAGCCAGAGCTGCACAATATTGTAAACAATAATATTACTAATGTAAATGAGTCATTGCCAACTTTTTACAATCAACCAATGTTGTTTTAGGCAGCATGTAGATTATAAGCCTCAAATAAAAGAAATACAAAAAATTTAAAGTTGGGGAAACTATTGAGGCAGACGAGTAATGTTAAGATGACTTTGATTTACATAATGACCTTTTACTAAATTGCAACAATAGTACATATTTTGTCAGATATTGTGCAGACCGGCAGACTTTCTCCACAAAAAAAATTTCTGTGAACCAAAGTCAGAGCAATCTGATGCTGATGAAAACCTTGCTCTTACTAACACGATGTTGATGAAATGTTGTTGTATGTTATTGTATTGTTTGCATGAGCGACAGAGCTGCTGAGTTATGACTGCTTTACAGATGCTTTGAGGCTTTGTAAGAACGACTGGTAAAGTCATACTTGACTGGTATTTCTTTTTGTAATTTCTGAAATGAGAATTGTATTCGTTTTCTTCAAATACTGCATAAATACAGGTGTAATTGTACACAGAGGATTTCTGAAGTGATTATGGGCTATTGAGAAAGTGTTACCACGAGAGAGAATTGAACATGCAGTAAGTTTTTGTATATAGATTTGCCTGTTTGCATTAGAGCCTGATTTTTTTTTAGCATTTTGTAATTTGATAATTTGTTTTGATTGTGCATTTTGATTAGGCTTTGTGAAGACACTGGATGAATAAGCGTATAAAAGCTAGATAAAGATCAAGGCAAATGGTCTCAAAGTGAAGTTTCCAGGGTTCTTATCTGCCATTAAAGGATGCAAGAACATTGCTTTAGATGAAACTATTGCACCATAGGCAGTGCCAGAAAATCTACTCATTCCATACATTAATATGCATGTTTCTTATTTGAAAGTATGCCTTCAAAAAAAAATATCTTTATACATTTGACCATAGAAAAGCTCCAGTGATGACCCTTTACAGAGATGACTTCTTACACATTGGGTTGTTTGATTCTGCAGTATTATAGAATTATCTTAATCATAAAACCTCCTCAAAAATATATATATCTATTACTAAATTAGTTCAAGTAACTGATTAGTTGAGATTAATCAATGAACTTGATTTTTCACCCTAGTGCGTGAGTTTCAAGTTTGAGACCCTTTAAGAACCCACTGCTCTCTTCTATGACCCATCTACAGTTTTTCCTCTAGATGGCGACAAAGCTGCAAGAAGATGAACCTATTCGGTGTGTTAAAATGTGACGTTTGCACTTTTCTAGATTCACCCTATCATTACGCAGCTCACTTTGACAACAATGGATTCATCACTCTTCCTAAAGCTGTCTTCCCAAGAAGGTAAACACAAAGACTCATCATTTCATCTTTCAGTGGAATCACACTAAAAATATATTTTGCTTTACTCAACACAAATATCATTTTAATGAAGTCAACTTAATTCACAGAAGTGTATGTCAAACAGAATACTTATTTTATTAATGTGTGATTGCTTCATGGGACACACACATGTTCTGGGGCATTGAGTGTGTTTATGGTCTGGTTCAGCCTCCGGGACTTGAATTTGTATTAGTGGACCAAACAATAAATGCACTTCAGTCAAAAAAAGCTGACAGGACATGCTTTCAGTTTAGTAAGCGTATGTAACTTTTGATCTTGTTATCATCTGACGTTGACAATAGTTATGACACAAGGTCAAAAATGGATCAAACGTTGTGTCATAACTATTGGCTTTAAAATATCTCATCCTGAAGATCAGAAGTTTGCTTTCAAGATTTTAGACTTCAATTTAGTTAGGTTCATCTTGTCTTCTTGGTAGAAATAAAGGTATTTGGTTCTTCTATACCAGTGTCAAGAAATGAAGAAAGAGACAGCAGCGTAACACGGTTTATTTTCGAGTCCATTCAGATTGAACAAAAAGAGACAAAGCTTTTTATATGACTTGTGCAAATGTACATAAGAACAGAAACGTCATCACTTGAGATATTGACACATGCTCTAGATATAGATACTGTAGCAATGTGGGTCAGAAAAAATACCTTCAGATAATTATATTTAGCAGTCATACAGATATAACATGGGTCCACAGTACACAATATGCAGGTGAGATAGCAATAGTGACTAATGTCTAACTTACTATTGTCTAGTATAGAAGAACCAAAATCATTCAAGATTTTACACTGTCTGCTCAGTAGCGCTCACTCTTCTCGCCTTTTTAGCTGTGTATTTACTAATAATACAATGTTTATTTCATTTTTAACTAATCACATATAATTAGTCATTTATTATGTGTTTTCCAGCGCCCCAGACTCCCCAGAGACCATTGAACTGGACATCAACACCAGTTCATCTGAAGGTCTAATCCTGTGGCAGGGAGTGGTATGTGTCTGCTCTGAGTGTCTTCAGTTTCCCTAATGCAATGTTGAATTCATTAATGCTGTATCCGTCAACTCCATGTAACCATCATATTAATGTCCAAATATTCATCTTTGCATTTTGTTTCTCCCTGAACGCTTTCTTCTATGTTTAAATGTGACTATTGACGCATGTTTGTCCGGCACTACTAAAGAATCGCATGTTCTAACCCCACCTGCATTCCCCCAGGAGACCTCAGGCTCACGCAACCTGAGGAAAGTGCATGCTAATAAAAAGGTATTCACAATATTGTTTATCGTTTACATGCTGTGTGTGTATTTCAGTCCATAATCACATCGCTCTGAGCATGAGGCCTGTCTTGCCTTTTGTTTACAGCCTATTATTTCATTCAACAAAAATTGACTTTTCATTTCTTCAGACAAAAAGTTTGATCTATACACTGCAAAACGAATCCCTCACCAAAAAGATACACTTTTAAACAAATAAGGAAATGTATTATTCAGCTTATGGATCTTTTTATAACACAAAAGTCTTCTGTACTGCTGATCTTACAGTTAGAATGATGAGTTCAACTTTAACCACAGTTGCTTCAAAAGTGTTTTAAAATATCCATAAGCTAGCTATTTAAGAACTATTTTGGAAGATACTATTATTGAACATTTGGATCATAAACATTCCATATCCACCTGTTTTAAATTACTGCACAACGCACCACATTCAGAAGCTACTGCGTGTGAAAATGTTTTTATTTCCTACATGGATAGACCCAAAGATTACACTTCAAGCGTCTTTGATTTCCTGAAACAGTAGACTTTCCTTTAGACAGTAGACAGAGACTAAAAGTTTGCTTGACAGGAGCAGGGAGATCACGGCAAAGGCCAAGACTTCATCAGCCTGGGACTACACAAAGGATACCTCGTTTTCAGGTAACCACAGAAAATATATAGTTACTGTACTTTAAATACTCTTACTACAACTATTACTATTCGACTCCTATCTCTACTATTACTGATGTGCCATGTTTGTGCTGCAGTTATCAGTTGGGCAGTGGAGAGGCACAGCTCCGGTCCAGGAGACCCATCAATGACGGACAGTGGCACAAAATTACTGCAGTCAGGTAATGTGGAGAAGTATTGTGGATGTATAGTATTATTACAACAAATAAAACAACATTCAGGCCTTGTCCACATGGAGACAAAAAAAACTCATTGTTTTGAAAAAGTATTATGTACAGAAAGAGACGGCTCTGTAAATGTATCCGTCCTCACAGAGCTGAACATTGATCCAATTCATCTCGGAGCAGTGTCATGGACACCTACCTCCCCTCCCTCCAATCTCTGTGCTAATGCAGGGCTAACAGCTTAAACCCTATATACAGAAGAGGAGTGAGTAGAAGAGGAGGCTTTTTCTTCAGATTTGACTAAAAGGAGGAGGAACATTTGCATGAACTCATTCTTCAAGGAGAGATTTGAATAGCAGACCACATTGTTCTCCAGAAGCACATTCACATCTCAGTTTGAAGGAAATAACTCCATGCACCTTCTATTTCATTCAGGACCGGGAAAGACGGCTACATCCAGATCGACGGAGAACCAGCGCTGCATGGACAGTCCAAAGGCAAAAGCCTGATGGTCAACACTAAAGGCAGTATATACTTAGGTGAGTGTTGGTGGTACCATCGATCACACTTAAAAACCACTTTGAGTGACAGGGTTTTGATTTCTTTTTTTATTTGTTGCCTTGTTATGTTTTTGAATTATGAAATGTTGACCAATCCAACTCTAAAGGCATAGTATACAGAAAAAGATTGTATTATGTGCAATATATCCATCCATCCATTTTCTTCCGCTTTATCCGTTGCCGGGTCTGGCTCCGATCATACAGGGATCGGACGGCCCTCAGCAGAGGACCTCCGACCCCGTACTCCCGGGGAACCCCCCAAAGGACACCCCGGGGAACACAGCCGAACGCCTTCTCCAAATCCACAAAGTACATGTGGACAGGTTGGGCGAACTCCCATGAACCCTCGAGTATCCGATGGAGAGTATAGAGCTGGTCCAGTGTTCCGCGGCCAGGATGAAAACTACATTGCTCCTCCTGAATCCGAGATTCGACCATCGGCCGTAGCCTCCTCTCCAGTACCTTGGAGTAGACCTTACCGGGGAGGCTGAGGAGTGTGATCCCACGATAATTGGAACACACCCTCCGGTCCCCCTTCTTGTAGAGAGGGACCACCACCCCGGTCTGCCACTCCATTGGCACTGCCCCCGATCGCCACGCGATGCTGCAGAGACGTGTCAGCCAAGACAGTCCTACAACATCCAGAGACTTTAGATAATCAGGACGGATCTCATCCACACCCGGAGCCTTGCCACCATGGAGGCTGCCAACCACCTTGGTGACCTCAGCCAGGGAGATGGATGTATCCGCCCCAACATCCTCAGCCTCTGTAACGGAGGACGTGATGGGGGGATTGAGGAGAACCTCAAAGTATTCCTTCCACCGCCCGACAATATCCCCAGTCGAGGTCAGCAGCTCTCCACCCGCACCATACATGGTGTTGGCAAAGAACTGCTTCCCCCTCCTGAGGCGCCGGACGGTTTGCCAGAATCTCTTCGAGGCCGAGCGATAGTCATGCTCCATGAACTCCTCCCGGTCCCGGTTTTTTGCCTCTGCAACAGCCCGGGCCCCGGCACGTCTGGCCTGCCGGTACTGGACAGCTGCCTCAGGAGTCCCCCTGTGCAATATACTGTACCTGAATCTGACTTGACACCATCTCTTCTCTTCCCTGCCTCCAGGTGGCGCTCCAGACATGCCGAAACTCACCGGGGGCAAGTTCTCCTCTGGGATCAGCGGCTGCGTGAGAAACCTGTCCATGATGAACGGCAAACCTGGACAAACCCCGGCTCAGTCTATCGAGCTCCAATCTCACCACGCGGTCAACGTACAGCCCTGCTCTTTATCATCATAGACTGGAGGAAACACTACTACTACTACTACTACTACTACTACTACTACTACTACTACTACTACTACTACCACACACTACTTGGTGCTTTGCTGCTGCCAAAAAATAAAAAAGATAACAGGATTTTTCTTTCCGTGTGCAGCCAAAAACCAAAAGAGGAGCGATTTTTTTGAGATTTTACCTACTCTTCCTCAGTGTTGAATTCACAATGAAGGACAATTAACACAGGAGACGAGTTTACATACTTCAAGCCGTTTTTAGTTTTAGAAATTCAAAACTTTTAGGGCTTCTGCATTTGGGTCAGATCCTATGGAGATACAAGACGAGTTTTTTACAGCACTGAATTTTTATTTATACATATGATTATATAAATAGATATTATATTTGTGGGGAAAACATGCAAACTAACAATACAATCATCAGCTTTCTCGGATTCTAGGGATAGGAATGAATGTCTACAAAATATTAAATCACATGAATTTGCAAACAATAGACATAATTAATTACACGTCATTTCAATGATTAAAGTCACTTCTAAAGAAACAGTTACATTTTGAACAAATTGTTTACCAAATTCATGCTATTTTAACTTGTAGATATTCTGGCCTGGTCCGGCTTTACCCCTGGTGTGAGCATGCTTCAAATCACTGCTAAAGAGAGGCATGTGGTCACAGCCTCACTACTCAACAACACATTCTGTATGCGTTTTTTCTGTTACTTTTCTATGTATTTTTCACTTGCATGGTGCCGAACACAAACGAAGGAAAACGTGACGAGTGGAGGAGTCATGTTTGATATTGACGAGCCACACACATAACTATTACTGATGGAGTCAACCTCAACCGACATGTCACGGTGTCCTCAAAGTCATGAGCCGCGTTCAGTCATTCTACAGACATTGCTTTTGTTTTAAAATGCCCAGGTTTGATGCTCCCCAAACATCGTATTTGTCTCTTCCCACTACCTGCTGGTGTCCATGGAGATGTTGTTGCAATGTACAGTATGTAAGCAATAAAAGTACTCATTGTTTTTTTTTTTTTTCTTTGAATCCTGGGTTTTTCCAGCTCTAATCCACACGTGTTTTCAATTCTTACAATAATGGTTGTTTTGGTTTTTGTTTTTGTTTCCTCAACTGTGTACCTTACAGAACAGGAAAACATGTTTTATTGTTGTTGCCACCTCCATTGACTCAATAGATGTGGCTGTGATATGATCTGTGTTACAAAAGTTCAGCATTTCTCTCTCAAAAATGCCAAAAAAACCTTCATATTCATTTTTTTTTCTTTTTTTGAGAGAATCTACGTGACAGATTTTTTCTTTTTTTTATTGTTAGATTTATTCATTTATTGATGCGTAACCCAGGCCTTTAAATCGCTGTGACCATTGCCTCCTCTGACAAAAGCACACCCCAAAAACCATCTGGAATGGCACAATCGTGTTTGGTTTCCATCTTTATTCATATTCACCCTGTACTTTTTCAACCTGAGCACTAAACTTTCACTTAGAATTAATTATTTATGTTGTGTTTTTATTTTATTTTTGTGTTTAAGTGCTTGATTTAGAGTAATCACTACCAGCTTTCCCCCTGTTTTTTGGTAACAATGTAATTCCTCCCTGCGCCCCTTCTTCCAATGTCAGACGGTATCATTGCCTCATGATGAAATGCAGATGATCCTGGGGTCATTCATAACTGGTCTTAGTCGCTATAATAAACCAAGTCTTAGCTCTAAATGGCTGTTAATGTGGAAGGACGCCATCTTGTGATTGTAAATATATAACAAGAGCAAAAGGAGAAACATGTTTGCGTCATACTTGCTCTGTGATTGTTTGGGAACGTGCCACTGCTGAGGTTGACTACTGTCTGTCAACTCTAGGTGGCGCTCTGATGGTTAAAATCTCCCCTCTGACAAATACTTGCAACATAATTCATTGTTTAAAGACGATATGACTGTACAATTTCCCCGCTTTTGGTGTTTCTTAAAATAAAATCAAAATTCATGTGCTCTTTGTAAATTGTTGGTTTGTCATTTTTCTCACAAATATTATGGGAATATTGTGTGATTAAATGCTGTGTTGTGGAGTAACGGAATACTGGAGAATACAGATCAAGGATACTATTATTGATTAACTGCATTTAGTTACTTTTTAATTTGCGGGTATTAAAAATAGACTTACTTTTCAAGAATTTAAGGAATACATTAGATAGGATACGTTAAAAAAAAAAACAAAAAAAAACGTTTCTATTGGAAAACAACATAACATCCCTGACTAATGGGCTCGACACACGGGAGGCGACAAATGAGAGCGATCAGCGAAACTCAACGCTGTCGCTCAGATAACATGACAGACGGGGCGCGATGCGGCTTGACGACAGCGTCAAAAAGTTGAGCCGATTTCAACTTTCTGGGATCGCGTCGCTGACCTGCGCGTGCACGATACATGCACGAGCGGGAGGATTTCACACGCACGTTTTTCGCCCGTCGCTGAGCAGGAGGCTCGCTAGCGATTGACGCTATGTCGCGCACGTCCCATTGAAATGAATGGAGGCGATGCGATGTCGCCTCCCGTGTGTCTAGCCCATAACAGTGCAAAAAAGTCCTGTAATGCATATGTATTAATATTAGTACTCTGATGGGACATTTGAAAACACAATTGAATGTTTTTCTATTTTATGAAACATGTGCAAAGTATTCTCCCAACACTGATGTGACTTAATATTATTTCAATTAAAGTGAGAAAAGCGCCAGGACACTCAACCATGGGATTTCTGTGGAACTATATTGGTCAATAGATACAATCTTATAAAGTGGCATATGGCAGATTACAGAAGACATGTTTGAGACTGTAAAATTTTCCATGCAAGGGTGCAAGGGTTCAGTGAACAGACCATAAAGAGTGACAGCTATTTCCACAAGGCTTCCAGTGATTCTGCAGTAGTTTAGTGTTTTTGTATTTCTAGACTCAGTTCAAGGACTTTCCCATGAACATCCTCCACAAACTGAAAAATTGACCAATAAGTGTATCAAGTTTCTATACCTCCTTGTGTACTGTGCTTTAAATAGTTTAATGCCTTTAAAGAATGTATTCAAAAGAGAAAGTTAGATTGTCTTTGTACATTGTTTTACTTTATTAGGATACATATTGAGAAGACAATCACGTTTATATGATATGATTAACTGAACTCTGAACATTGTAAAGCGCTTTGGGTGACCTTGGTCTGTAAAATGCGCTATATAAATAAACATTACTCACTTACTTACGTTTGGGAGTCTTAGATTGTGTAAATAGTACATGCTCTGAGATCCAGCTCTGAGAAGGATTCAAACACTCAGGCCCGTATGTGTTTTGTTTTGTTGTTTTTTCCACTCAGGTCAGTGTGTGGCGGAGGCAGGGCTCTGTGCGTCACTTCCGCTAGAATATTCTGGTGCGTATTCTCTCCTCGCGCGCACTATAAGAACGCGCTCAGAGCTTCCGCAGGTGACCGCGGCTGTCACCCAGAGACCACTGCACACTCCCTCATCCTGACACTGACCCTGACTCTAACTCTGACCACGAGACGACCACCTCTGGACCTCCTCTGGGCCGCTCCATCACCGCTGACTACAGCATTTGTGTCCTCCACGCACTTTGTGCAGGTAGGAACGATGGCTTCAGATTGAACACAAATCCTTCATCGCTACAGTGATGCTAATCTCTTGAATGGGTAAAAAAAGTTTTCCTCTTTGTAATGGAGGAACTCCGTTCGGATTAATTTGTTGTTATTGTTATTATTATTATATTTGATGCGCACGCAGTGACGCAGATGGAGAAAACACAAACTTGAATTGGTGCTGACTGAGGAGTGTGCGCACCAGGGCGTATGGAGAAATAATATAAACACAATGTGTCTACAATTATTTGACTTACTCATAATCGGGCTTGGGCCACTTACATATAATCATATTGTGTTTTGAATGCCTGTTATTACGGTCATATGTGTATTTTATTAAAAACACCTAAATTATGTCCTTAACCTGCAGGTTTCTGCCCCTGCTGTTCAGACAAGATCATGATCCTGCTGACTCCCTCTGGTAGGCATTTCTTTAGCATTTATCATATCAACTTGTATTTTTGCTTTTGGATAATGTTAATAATTGCAATGTTTGTGTATTTGTGTTGGACACTGCAAATGATGTATGTTGTATGTTTAATCCATACATCCAAAAAACATTGAATAGTGATGTATAGTTTAAAAGTGCTATTGTGGCCCAGAATAAAACAGTCTAATATCGAGGTGAGATGATAACCCCAGAATGTTGCAACTACATGGTAAAAGTTTATTTAGTCTGATTTCATTTTTTTTAAAGAAAAAATGTGAAAAACGCAGCATGTTGTTTTAGGTAAGTAAGCATAATTACTGTATATTAGTAGTGACATTTCAAATTAATTCACAAAAGTGCAGTTAGTTATACAGGCTCAATGAGCTCTTTAAGCAGCACTGGCATTATAAATACAATTGTTAACATGATCTTTTTCATTCTCTATTCTCATATAATAACAATAAACAACAGTGACACATGTGCTGCATGTAAATGTGTTTGAGTTTATTGTTGACTGTTAGATGTAAATCTCACTCAAACATTTGAGGACCCTGGTGCAGTTATGAATGTAAATCAAGTGGATTGTATTAGAGCGGAACACAAGAGTCTGAAACATGCTTTGTTTGTCATTAACTTGGCTCATTGTTACCAGGTAACTAAGCAGAGCTGTTATGTAACACTCTGCTCCCATCATGCTTTGCACTAATTGGGCATCAGTCCAGAACCAGAGAGCTGCTTTTAACTGACTTTGTGTGGCATCTGCTTTGGGGCTGACCTGAGTGAAGTGTCCGCCTCACACCACTGCTGCCTCTGCTCAGTCTGCTGGAGCTAAAGGTGCTCTCTGAAGAGGCTGTGGAGGATGTATTCAGTTACAAAATACTGATACCTGCTTCAAAATGTATTCTATTACCAGGTTCAATTAGGTCAAGGGGTGCTTTATCGTCCTCAATGACCATCATGTAAATTACACTTGGGCCAAAGTCAGGAGCAGTGGCCACTAGTGCAGAACCTGGGGAGGTCAGGTCTCCCAGAGCTGGAGGATTTTCCCTATTGTTTTAATGGTAGGGGAACCCGGAGCTCCTGGAGGAAACCTACACAGACATAGGGAGAACATGCGAACTCCACTCAGAAAGGCCCTGTTTCGATCGTAATTCAAACACACTGCTTTCTTGCTGAGGAGTAGGAAGGCAAACCACTCTGCCAAATGCGCTTGTCCTTCACTGAGCACAATTTGTGGGACAATGCAACGGAATGAGAGAAAATCATGAAGTCAAATCAGCAGAAAACAAGGATTTCTTTGTTGATTTGATTGGAATCGCTTTGTCTTTGGAGCAGAGGCTTGTCGAGCTTTGTAACGGCTGATTGTCGTCACAAAACTGCATTGAAAAAGTTGTGTTTAGTGCCTTGTTACTGTATAAATGCCAAAAAAGGAGGTTTCAATATTGATATGTTTTGTATTTTTGTCCATGTGTTCTTGTAGTTTGCCAATGAATAACTTTACTTTTGTTGCAAATTTGGGACAAGTTAGAGACTCCAGGAACCATGGTCTCATAGACAAATGGATTATGCAACCATTGTAACTAATTATGTTTTATTTAGCAGTATAAAAGCTTACTTGAATCATCTTTTAGACCACATTATCTACATTGAGACACATGATATATCAAACTGTATAGTGCTTTTTTTGGAAACTCAAAGACGCTTTACAAAACATACATAAATAAACATTGAAGAACAAAATTAAGGAAAGGCAAGGTGAAACAGGTGGGTTTTGAGAAGTGATTTCAAGTTCTGTAGTCCTCTTTCACAGACTGACTGAGCCGTGTGCTTTAGGGGTGTTTCAGTGTGAAAACAAGCTGGGCCTGAGTGAGCGCGCTGGGGTACATCTCAAAGAGTTTGCCCGAAAGAACGCGGCCAATGCCCTCTCCGTGGCCAACATGGTGATGGGCATGACCTCCATCCTCTGCAGCCTCAGCGGGTGAGTCTGTGCCTGCAACAGGGAACGACGACTTTCATCAGAACAATGGTTTTTATAGATCTGTTAGAGTCTGTGCCTGAATATTAGTGATGTTTTGAATACTATAGTGCAGTGCCTATAGATAGTACGAGAAAGCAAGGAACATTGTTTTACTTACTTCTGTACTACACACAGACTTAATCCATATGTGGTGTAAGTGTCCCCAGCGACCCGTTTCATGGTTATAACATGTAATAACTTCCATGTTGTTGATCTTATGAGAACGAGGCTTAATGACATCCTCCACAACACGTACATAAACACAACAAAACTATGTTTTAAGATTTTGACATTTCTGAAAGTATCGGCAGAAAGAAAGTTACGTCTTTGGTGTTTGGGTCATTTTTGACCCGGCAAGGTAAAACTACACAAAACAGGTAAAACTACACAAAATTCATACATTATTTGATCCCACCTCCTTCCTCCAAGAGAACAAATCTTTTCTCACATCAAAGTATGTGACCCCCCCCCCCCCCCCCCCCTCCTCCTAAACATTTACTTGAGTACAATACAGGTGTGACCCCACATTCATCCCCTTTCTCCACGAGAACAAAGCTTGTCTCACAGAACAGTATGTGACCCACGCGTGTGAGAACTGACATACAAACATTTTACACTTTGTGAAAAAAAAGATAAAATGTTGTACTCAAACTTTATAGACACTTTTTTGCGCACACATGCACAGACAACCCCTTACGTCTTATCAAGAAGATCCTGGGTTCGAATCCTGGACTGAACAGGGCCTTTTTAGGTATAGTTTCTACCTGTGCCTGTGTAGGTTTCTTCCAGGTGCTCCAGTTTCCCCTACCACTAAAAAAATTCGCAATAGGTAAAATACTCCAGCTCTGGTCCTGACCAAGCCGAGCATCAACATCTGAAGTTGGGTAATAGGTGCAGTACTGCGGCGACTATTGCTCCTGACAAAGGCCCTAGTAGCATCAAGATGGGTCAAATGCAGAGGAGGAATTGCCGTTTGGGCAATTTCGTGATGTTCTTGATCACATCCTTGTGGAGGAAGAGTCTTTGGAGGAGACAGATGTGCACATTATTGTCCCGTAGGAAAATTTGACCTCTGCATTTGACCCATCCTGCAAGTGCTAGGTTCTCTATCAGGATCAGAGGTCGCTGTGTTATACAGTGTCTTTGGACCCATCTCTAGATGTTGATGCTTGACTTGATCAGGACCAGAACTGGAGATTTTTACCTATTGCCCATGTTTTTAGTGGTAGGGGGAACCGGGGCACCTGGAGGAAACCAATGCATACACAGTGAGAACATGCAAACTCCACTCAGAAAGGGACTTGTTCTGACCAGGATGTGAACCCAGAACCTTCTTGCTGAGAAGCAGCAGTGCTATTCTCTCAGCCACAATGCCACCAGATCAGGCTGAAATAGAGGAAGATGTGGATGATCCACGTCAAGATGAAGAAACATCAGATTCAGATGAAGAAGAACAGGGCTTTGTTTCAAAGAATGGGAAGGTTTGGTCTCAAACCCGTATGAAAATGAAGGCAGAGCAAGATCAGCAAACATCACAAAAATGAGCCCTGGACCCTCTCGATTTGCAAAGTCACAGATCCAAGACATAAAGACTGCATTAGAGCTTTTCAGACCAAACTCCAGAAAACTTTAAGAAAACTCTTGTTTTCTGAAGAACAAAGGCCCGTTTTACTAACAAATCTATGCAGGTCAAATTTGACCCCAACACCACCAACGTAACTATAATTAATATATTCATAGATAGGGTTAGGGTTAGAAGGTATATTCTATTATTGTTCTATCATAGTCAGACAATATTATTATCTATGGATTTTACATTTAGTATGTTATGATTGAAAAAACCTTATTTCCAGCTTAAAAATAAGGGACAAGATCTGTCTCAAGGGCCATAAAATCAAATTAAAAATATATGTTTTGACTTTGAATGCATATAATGTTAGTTAAGATGTAGTACTAACTATATCGAGTGATAATTCTTTCTTTTTAGTGGTCAGGACTGAGTTAGAGCCCGCGTCAAAATTGACCCGCTAACAACGGTCAGTGGTGCCGGTTCCTAACACAACATGAGGGTTAAACATCTTTAGATAAGATAAGAGATCCTTTATTCGTTCCACAGTGGGAACATTTCAAACCAGACGTCTCAAACTTTGGCTGAAATCGGTTTGTACATTGATTAATGAATTGTACATTTTGTTTTTTATAGTTGTAAATATTAAATGTGTGCTGAAAATGTTGAAAATGAGCATTTTCTTGCTCTAGCACTAAAGGCAGTGCATCTGGTCTGACCAATGTAACTGTTCTGTCCGTTTCAACAAATAAAAGCTATACATTACTTTCATATTGTGAGTGGCTTAGCAAATGCAAATGTACTTTTGAACAATTTTCTAACTTTCACCTGTAAATGGAGCAGACTTCCCGTGTATTCCCCATGTGTGCATTCCATTCATGAAATCAAGTTCTTTTGTTAAGACCCATAGAATCTCTATGGTTGTGTTTTGCAGGCAGCATCACGCAGCCTGTTGGCTCGTTCTGATTGGCTACATGCTGGACTTGGCCGATGGCGCCGTGGCCCGGAGGCTGGACGCCTGCTCTGCTCTGGGTGAGGGGGAAAGACCTGTTTGTGTCCACACATCTAGAAAGAGGATTTATGAAAACTCTCCTACATGTATGGTTAGAGAGGATCAAAAAGAATTCAATTTCAAACATAGACCACTATGTTCAAAGATTGATAACATTTAAGTTTATAATTATTTGGATCAAGTCGTTTTATTTATTTTATCTTAATTTGAGTACATTCTGACTGTTTAAACAAAACAAGATTGGTCATTTAATCTTATTTCAAGAACTGTTGCTTTATTTTCTCATTCCAAGGGAGACATTTCTCGTATCTTTTTAAAACAAGATATTTGTGCTTGTCCCTTTGGCAAATCTTGTTTTAAGGCACTCAAAATGTGGTCAAATTAAGATATATTTTGCTTATTTTATTTATTAATGCTTATACTTATTAATGCAGGTTATTGTATTGTTGGAAAAATAATTCATACCACTCCTTTTTTGAAGTTTATTATATCTAAATTGCTACTTTACTCAAATGTACAAGAGTGAATAACATATCTCTATGTGTGTACTAAAAAACAACATTGACATTTACCAGTAGGTCTGACGTTATTCCATGACCTCAATACATAGACATAGGAACAGGGAGCAACCTGAAATAATAAATAAACAGTGATGTCTGCAAGTGTACATTTTTCTGGTGCCTAAAATAGCCCCACAAACACAGCAGCTCTTTGTCCAGAGTTTTTCTGCATGACTTTGCAGGTAAATGTTGTTGTGGCCTCATGTATACTGTCACATGAACAATCACTTTCTGATTAAGCAGCCTCATTCCACAGGACCACACTTCAATTGTCCATGTGATCCCGCGGCCTTTGGACCTCCGCATGTCTGAAATTGTTAAAATGGTTGACCTTGGGCTGTGGAATTCAGCTCGTTGGTTTGGCCTGAGTCACCTGGTCCTCATCGGTGAAAACAGGGCAGAAGAATGTGTTTATAGTCACATTTACACCGAGTCTTTATCAGCAAACTGTAGTGATCTCTTCATCAATGACACAAATTGTGTTTTTTAAATGTTATACATTCAACACCTGCCTCTGGTGGAATAAGTGGGTATTGCAGGCAGTGAGCATGTTTTATCCTTAGTACGTAGCAATGATTAAGATTAAGATTAAGAGATCCTTTATTTGTCCCACAGTGGGGAAATTTCGGTGTTGCATCACAGGTTATAGGACAGTAGGAAAGAGGAGCACACAGCACACGTTAAGTGAAAAATAGCTATACTAAACAAAAATAAAAATAATGTAACTCTAGCATCAATAATAAGTATAAAATCTCTATCTTGAAAATATAATAGATGTAAAAAAATTAAATTGACAAAATAAGAGGCAAGTATAAAGTACTGTGTAATCTAGTGCAAGTAAAGTGTAGTTATATGTTTACATCTGTACATTAGCAGCAGTAGTATGTTTACGACATTATCAGCAGTATGTTTACATCTGTACATTAGCAGCAGTATGTTTACAACTGTACATTGGCAGCTGTGTATTGCTCATTCTGGTATAAGGTAAGGTGCGAGGATGACGATGGAATCAAGTTGGCAGTGTTCATTAGTCCTTATTGGTCCTTATTGGTCCTTATTGTTTGTTGTACAGTCTGACAACAGCAGGAAGGAAAGACTTGCGGAACCTCTCCTTCACACATCGAGGGTGAATAAGTCTATCACTGAAGCTGCTCTCCAGAGCAGAGAGACTGTCATGCAGGGGGTGACAGTCATGGTCCAGCATAGATGTTAGTTTGTCCAGGACCCTCCTGTCCCCCACCTGCTGCACTGTGTCCAGGGAACAGCCCAGGACTGAGCTGGACTTCCTGATGACCTTGTCCAGCTTCTTCCTGTCCCTCTCTGTGATGCTGCTCCAGCAGACCACACCGTACAAGATGGCGGATGCCACCACAGAGTCATAGAAGGTCTTCAGGAGTGGCCCCTGCACTCCAAAAGACCTGAGCCTCCTCAGCAGGTAGAGTCGGCTCTGGCCCTTCTTGAAGAGAGCGTCTGTGTTATGAGTCCAGTCCAGTTTGTGGTTCAGATGAACACCCAGGTACTTGTAAGATTAAGTATTAGGAGGAGAGGCCTGTATAGCCAAATGTATAAGAATTTATTGGAAGTGCGACGTTTCGGCGTTATGCCTTCATCAAGCAAATATATTTACACATTTCCTTGATGAAGGCATAACACCAAGATGTTGCACTTCCAATAAATTCTTTTTAATTTGCCAGACGGTGTGCGGGAATCATTCTCTCTATTACATTCTAAAATATTAAATCCACGTAAATAGTAAATCATTAATAATCGTTATAATGTTGAAGGACCAAAAATAATCAAACTTTCAAACACTACCCTTTTCATGAGACAAGCAGGTCTTGGATCCTCCACTGGAAAACTGATAATGCTGTTTCAACTACAGTTGAACCTGATGAAATCTCACACAACAAAGAGACAAAGTTAATCTTTTACTTGTTACATTGTACAAGGAGAATGTCTTGACAGAGGCAAGGCACAGACCCCAGCCTCTCTCAGGACAAGTCTGAAGATTCACAGATGGCAAGCCCCTTTTGGTTGAACAAGACACACCTTCGTATGCAGATGGGAAAGGAAGAAACCAACACAACAAAGACACTTAGCATATGAGTTCCCCAGACCTCCCGGTGTCTTCCTGAAGCTAAAGTGAATTACAATACAGAGCATTCAGCATATAGCCACATATGATTTACCAAAATGATAACTCAATATCCAATCATTCCCTCCTTTTTATCCTTTTGATAAATCAAACAATCTATGTTTAAACAAGGAGAACATGGATAACTGAAAATGAAAAAACACACATCCAAACTGAAAAAGAAAAAATGTTCATAGTATAATTTCACATTGTTGTTCCATAAACTATTCCCCCTGTTGAGACATAACATGGCTCAAAACTGAACAATGTATTAACTTTGAAATGTATTAACTTTGGTTATCAAATTCAACACCACGCACACGCCCAAAAGCCCGAAAACCCAAAGTCCGTTTTCACAGTCCATTTGACACGTCCTCTCGACCCCTCCTCATGTTTGGTTATGACCAGAAATGTCCACTCTGTTCCTGTTTTGAAACTCTTCTCTGTCTGCGTTTCCGACGCAAGACTAGCAGCAAGCCGTTCTCCAACAGCGACACAAAGCTGAACTTTCAAGTCGCAAATGTACCAAGATGTCACCTTCAATTCTCACGTCCATTTAACTTGAACAAATGGCCAGCAACCTCCGTGGGCCTGCGCGCTTTGATCCTTGCAAATCGGCCCGTGATTATTCGTCAGCAGCTTCCGGTGCGGGGGGGTTTGTGGAGGGTCGTTTTGTAGGTGTCGATGGCTGTATGGAGATGGCGATGGGGGTGGGTTTTCTGTCCCACAATGGAAAATAGGTGGATTTTGTTGCTTTGAAGCTTTGGCAGGGATGTGGCATTTTTCTCAAAAACAAGAAGCACATTTGTTAACACATTTCAGAATCAAAACATAAGGTGAAGGGTAATTCTAAACCAAGAAAACAGTTTCAAAGTTTCACAATGACTTTTAAAACAAGTATTCTAAACCTGGTGTTAAACTTTTCTATAATTCTTGCTAATTTTTTTAGACTTTCTTCACACATACTCAACTCGTTCTTGTAAAATCTCTTCCCAATGTATTTTTTTCCCTCTTATTCAACTTTCTCTTCCCCAGCTGAAAAACTAACTCCTATTTCTCTCTCTCTCTCTCTCTCTAAATTTTGTTCTAGTTAGTGAGTTTGTTTTGTCAGTTTAGTTTGAGCTTAAACAGACAAACACTTAAACACATAAAACACATGGACAAAGGAAGAACACACGAGACAAAGAAGGACGAAGACAAACAAAGAAAACACATGGACAGAGGACAAAGGACCACATGGCCACCCAAAATGGCCGCCCTACACAATGCTTGCAATTTAACTATTTTTTAGGTCTTTTTACAATGTCCAATTCAAAATTTTGAGTAATTAGAGGTCTTTAAACATCCAATTTTAATGTAGCTTATTTAGATGTCTATAAATGTCCAATTTAAATGACTGAATTACTTCAGTCTGAAGTAATTCAATTCTAACACATTCATCATACAGGCGTAACTCTGCGTTACCCTTTTGAATGAAACCCCGTTCATTCGAGCTCTGTAAAAGTCCTTGACTAACTACTCACACTACTTCCTGAATTACTTTTGGACATAATTTAGAGTGTTCAGAACTTGCCTTTTGTTGCGACCCTCATCAGGAAAAAACTGTAGTTCTCCCGTCGACTCAAACCTGGAGTTCCAATGCAGTTCCGAATGCAGAAGGCCTTGTTGTTGCTCCTGGAAGTCCATGTTTGAGACAAGCTCAGCTCCGTAAGAAGTGTTGGGATCCGGCTCGAAGGACCAACTGATAATGCTGTTTCAACTACAGTTGAACCTGATGCAATCTCACACAACAAAGAGACAAAGTTAATCTTTTACTTGTTACATTGTACAAGGAGAATGTCTTGACAGAGGCAAGGCACAGACCCTAGCCTCTCTCAGGACAAGTCTGAAGATTCACAGATGGCAAGCCCCTTTTGGTTGAACAAGACACACCTTCGTATGCAGATGGGAAAGGAAGAAACCAACACAACAAAGACACTTAGCATATGAGTTCCCCAGACCTCCCGGTGTCTTCCTGAAGCTAAAGTGAATTACAATACAGAGCATATAGCCACATATGATTTACCAAAATGATAACTTAATATCCAATTCCATTCCATTCCAATATCAAAAACGTACACATGCCATAATTGTTATCAAATTATATAATATAAAATAAAATATTGATTTTCTCATGTAACATTTTAAATAAAGCATAATTAAAGTGTGGCTAGTGATGTTTGTTTTTATTTCCTTCTCATGTCTTTGGATCACAGGAGCAAAGCTGGACGACTTTGCAGACTTCACCACTTTCGGCATTGCCACGTCGTTGCTGCTCAGGACCCCCGAGCTGCTGGACAACCTGCTGTGCATGTGCTACGTCCTGTCCGTGTTCGCACGCCTCTGCTTCTTCTCTAGTGGTAAGTTCACACCACATCCACTTTCTTCCGTTTCATCCATTACCGGGTCACAGAGGCAGCAGTCCGAGCAGAAACACCTATTCACCTCTCTCCAAACACGCGTCCAGAATCCCAAAGAGTACCCAGGCCAGCTGAGAGATACAGGCCCTCCATCATGTCCAAGGGTTTTTCAGCTGGTCCCTCTCGATGTGGAGGAGACTCGACTCTACTCCGAGCTCCCTCATGTGACTGAGCTCCTCACCCTGTTCTGTGGACGAAACTAATTTGCACCATTACCATCTCTGATCTTGTCTTTTGGTTCATTCAATTCAATTTCTTTTTGTATAGCCCTATATCACAACAGCAGTATCTGAGGACTTTACAAGGTTGTCAATTCACCAACAACAGATCAGAGAAGCAAACAGTTCGAACACAAAAGCCCAAGTTCATGACCGCAAAGTTGAAGATTGATCAGAAAATCAAACAAAAAAGATACGACGGCCGCATCACTACATAATGTACATTTGCAATTGCTATGGCTATTACTTCCATTCCTGTACTAAAAACATTGGTTCTTGCAGGGATCCCGTTCATGTACCGTGGTCTGCCGTGCATCTACGCGTCTGCCATCTTGGCTAGTGCGTCTCTGCTGTCGGGGGGAAACATGGCGCTGCTCCGGTTGATCGCGGTGCCCATGATCCTGTTCATGATCAGCCAAACCTTCTACCCACACGACCGCGTCCTGGAGTCTCAGGCCTGGAAGAAGGCTGTCTATGCAGGAGGTGCACACACATTTACTCGTCTCTATAGAGCATGGAATTCAAGATTGTATAGAATTGTTTTAAAAGTAGTCACCTTTGATTATTTTTCACCAATAGATTGTATCAGAACATGCCTATTCTGTTGCAATGTATGAAACTTGCGTACGGCCAAATCCAGGTGTAAATGAGGCGTATAAAAATTACACTTTTCGACTTTTATCAATCTGGACGTGAGCGTACCGTACGCACAGAATTTACACCAAGTCAGCAGGTGGTGCACATTTTACACCCATCTCAACCTTCATCACAACACGGCAAAACACGCATAAAATGCAAGATTCGGACAAAAATAAACATATTCCAACTCTGGCAAGATTATAGGCACACCTCTCACATTACAAATATGCAATTTTACGAAGTTATGTTAGGGCTAGTTTGTGTTATTAAATAACGTACGCTCTGGTACCTCCTACAAGTGTGCCAGATGATCCTGGCTCGGTTCTCCACAACAGGCACGGACAACGGTGTGCCACTGGAGGCACTGGTGGAGCAGCCCTGGGTGAGAGACCATAAGACCAGCACCGCCTTCGGCCTGTACAGCTCAGACAGGCTCTCATTCAACCATTTTAAAATAATAATCACATACATAACTTGAATTTAATTTTATTTCTTTATATTTTATTTTGGATGCTTTGGTCTGGCGGGCCTCCCCCTGGGCTTCTAAGCACTTCTTCTATGGGCTGCTAAACGCCTTTTTGTTACTGGTCGCTCAATTTTTTTTTCACCGTATAGGCATAAATTAATAAATTCTAACTAACTGTTCTAACAATATATCTGTCAGCTGTTTGACATAATACATATAGCGTATATTTCTTCGAACATGAATAAACTCACCTCTTCAGGAGTGCGTGTTGCAGGCCCCACGCTGTTTATAGATGCTGTAATCTCTTTCCATATTTTCTTTTTTTAGTCCCTTGATGCCACTTTTGAGGCTTCCAAATTGTAAGACTTTATTCTTTTTCCCCACTTTGTTCATAATGGTCTCAATCTCCTGCTCCAGGAAGTATTTTTCCTTAGCCGTTTACTCACTAACTTGTGGCAGACCCTGCGCCGTATTAACGGCTTATTAAATGAGCGCGAGGTTAATAAATGTTTTATTATATGACTATTTTTAATTTATGCAAATATCGATCCCCGACTTGGTTTTCCTAATTGTGTTATTACCGAGGAAAGATATCAAATCTGATACGCACTGCGGACCAATTGTCATGGTAACGGTCCGAGATCGGGAAAATATCAGACTGCAAATCAGCCAATCAGAGCGCACGTACGATCCAAGTCATATAATAAACGTAATTACGCATATGTTTTGCCTCATTCACCTCAATGTGGGTTTTCATTAGTTTTGTGCATAAAGCCCCATAAATGCACCTGATCTTGCTCAAAACTGTCTCAGCCACTGCCCTGTTCTCCGCAGCAGAGATAGGATGCAACGCGCATGTGGGAACTGGCTCACCAGCAGTATAGTTCATTAATTAATTTATTATTTATTTATTTACGTCGAAAATTCAGGAGAGATGAGTGCTGCAGTGGATCTAGACACTAGGGAAAAAAGTGTATATATAATAGAGCGTATATATATATATATATATTAGGGTGTTTCTTATTTTTGAAGATTCGATTTTTGCATGGGCCACCCTGCCATTTGGTTCATTATCACAAAAAAGTAATACCCTATTTTTGTTTTTTTTTTAGAATGATTTTTAGGGGTCGCTACCGACCCTACAGTATCATGTGCATGTGCTTTGATACTACTACTACTACTACTACCCAGCCAATACTGGGCCAAGAAATGGGGCTTGCATTCTTCTAGAGCAGAAGTTTGGGAAAGATATGTTGTGGTTGGCATGTCGTCATCACATTCTGGAAATTATTTTGGAAGCAGTAGTTTTGCTGTGTCTCGGCCCTTCAAGTGGACCTGACATACCACTCTTTAAACGATTTCAGAAAAGTTGGGTCTCAATTGATTCTACAAAGTACCACACAGCACAGTCTGATAAGAACGCTTCAAATGCTCTTACCGATATCACTGATGAAAGAATCGTCTTTTGCAAAGATCAACTACAAATCTTTCAACCTCGTGACGACTACCGAGAACTTTTGGAGTTGTCTATTGTTTATTTGGGAGGAGTACCTTTGAGGGGCATTTCATTTAGAGCTCCTGCCGGTCTACACCGTGCTCGCTGGATGGCGAAAGCTATTTATGCGTTGAAGATTTGGATGTTTAGAGACCAATTCAGGTTGACAATAAGAGAGCGAATGGGAACATGATGATGAGTTCCAGACTATAAAGTCCACTGTTCGAAGCATGAAGGTTGTCAACGACATTGCAGAACGTGGCGTAGCACTAATGGACGAATATAATAGACTACATACAAACAACAAAGAGCAAAAGCAGTTCCTGTTGTTGGTAGTTCACAAATATAGACAGAAATATCCTGACAGAAAAAAGACAACTCTCATGAGCGATTAATCTTAGTACAGTAACTATTGTCTTAAATAAACCTACAATCAAAGTAAAAAAGCATGTTAATTCTGTCTTTTAATAAATAAGTAGAAATGCAATGACAGAAAATGGATGTTTTTAATGCATGTAACAAGTAAATAAATGTGTACCAAGTAAATGAGTCATTATCACCAGTCTCCATCAGTTTTATGATTTTTTTTTCCTATGTTAATGACTACGAGCGCATAGTAAAATATGCCTTAAATTTCAATGACTGGTAGCACCCAGTAAAAATGTTTTTTTCCCCTTGAAATTTTTACACATTTATTTTCTCACCAAAATGAACTATTTCAGTGGGTGGCCCACTGAAAAACATTTTTTTTTTTTTAACCCCAAATCAGAAGCACCCTAATATATATATATATTTTTTTAACGTGAATAAACTCAGAAGTGCGTGCTTTTTGAGGCTTCCAAACAGTCTTCTTAGCCAACTTCCTGCTGACCTGTCGCAAAAACAGGGCGTGGAACAGGCAGTTTATGAATATTTCTAGGCGTGACTTTCATAAATACGCTGGTTTTGAGCACGGCATTTATTAAACAGCCGCAGGTGCGTACGCTCGAATCGGTGCAACTTTCATACATGAGGGCCAATGTATGTATATTAGTAAAACCAATAATATACAGTAAACATTAGTCCCGGAACAACCTGTTTGGACAGTTTTTCCACATGTTTGGCCTCCTTAGAGATCACTCTTATTTAGCATCAGTTTTGTCCTGTTTAGACCAGTTTTAGACCAGTGTTGGACCTTTTTTAGACCTATTTTAGACCTGTTTTTAGACATATTTTAGACCTGTTTTAGACCAGTGTTAGATTTATTTTAGAACAGTTTTAGACCAGTTTTAGACCAGTTCTAAACCTGTTAAATATATCCTGAATAACTAATACAACAGTTTTGAAAGCACACTTAGTCGGACTTTATTATTTAACATCTTGAAAACTGCTGTAATGACCCAATCCTATTATTTCCTATCATGTTGAATTGATTTACGTGCATTAGAAATACAGCGAGGACTTTGGTGTTGCAGGAGTGGTGATGGTGTTCTGCTCGTCCTTCCCTCCGGCCTGTGTGTACTACCTGCTCTGGTCCGTCTCCTACATCCTGTTCCCCACCTCACTCTGGAGCAGCAAAGTGTGATGACAACAACTGGGGAAGAACCACTTCTGCTGCTCCCTACTGCTGCTTTCCCATACTGCTGCTGCCCCCTACTGCTGCTGCTTTCCCTTTATAAGATATGTAGAAAGAGAGTGGATGGATTATGTGCTTGATTTTATTTATATTTGGTTTTTGGCAGACTACTTTTATGAAGCGAAGACGAGGTATATGATTTATTATTTCACTGTTCATTTTAAGGCGCTGTATGTGATTTTGGCTGTTTTCAATGATCAAAACCTATTCCACACCAACTCTTTCCTAGCATGATGATAATGCACAGTGAATTATTGAATGCTAACTACAACTGGCATGCTAACAGTGCCCCTAACAGCCTAATTTCTGCTTTTTCAAAAGAAAGATGTGAAAAATCGGGTACAGCGCCTTTAATTTTGTTATTGTAGAAAACCAGCAGCAGCTTTTTGGACTATTCTCATCCCTGTTTTATGATGATAACTTTATCAAATTTAATGTTTATTTTCATCAGTTTCAAAGTATTCTGAAATTAGCTATTTAATATTTGATATTCAACAGTAGAAACCACTTTTCAGATTGAAACTGAACTACCGCACTTTAGCAGTTCATCTGGACGTGAGACAGTGATTTCAATATTTGTGTTCATAATATAATAACAGTGTTTATATTAGATTGTTGTTAGAGAGCCTCTGTTTTAAGAGGAATTTTATTTTAATTCCATGTAAAAACTGCTTAGAAAGATTTTTGTTGTGTGGAGTTACCATGCTATGCTAGTGGGTCATTTCATATGGCAGGCTCTTTAAAGACACTAATATCTCAGTGTATTCATTTACCAGTATATTTTGATAAAATGTCCCTTAATCCTGAAGGTTTTCTTCCAGTCTCCCAGATCCCTGTAGAACTATCATAACTCATTTATTTGCACCAAGCTTTCACTGGACACGTTTGAATCCTTTTGACACTTTGACACTACTTGTTTATGTAGAAAGATACCCCTTATCATTGAAATAATATTCAAAATATATTCTAATTCTTGAATATTTCTTCACCATTCAAACATGCCATGTTTTTCTAAGAAAAACAAAACCCTTTACTGTTCTCTATGATTGAATCCAGAGGTGGTCAGGGGCCAAATAATAAAAAAATCGGAACTGGTCGGAATCCGGTTTTCCTTTTCTTATGATTGTTTTTCCATTATGAAGGTATTGTGGCATTACTTTGATTTAACATGAGTTTCACTATTATTTTCTGGTTAGATTTTTCTGAAATCAAAATGTGTTTGGATTCAACTAAAACTGGACCAGTTATAAAGTTAAACAATTTAACTTCTAAGGATGTGCTTGGTTAAAATAAACTCACATGACTAACAGCCTAAGGTAATAATAATTGAAAATAATTTTAGGGGCCACTAAATTGGTCTTGCAGGCCGGATTTTGACATACCTAATTCAACAATTCTTTTTTTAAATGCATTGTCTTCACTTTTTGTACAATTTGAACACTGTGATTGGCCAGTGAATGTACACATCTGCTTCATGAATGCTCGGATCTTATTGTAATAATCTCAGTCCTGTCAGATAACCCCCAAACACTGACCATAACTTCAAACAGTATTCACATGTCGAGGACTCAGATTTGTACATTTTGACAATAAAAGTCATAACAATGTGATGGATTCATATTTATTTAACAAAAACAAATCACGGCGTGAGCCCAGCGACAGTGTTGTAATGGCTTCTGTCCACAGTGTCTGGGACGCAGATGGGACGTGTGGACGCCAGATACAGAGACGAGTCCAGCAGCTTGATGATGGCAGAGAAAGTCGGTCTGTCCTTAAAACTCCACATCCAGCAGTATTTCATCAAGTCGTACCTGCACATAAAGTATACTGTAGACAAAGCTAAGGTCAACGCTAAAAGCAGAGATTGTGTACTTCTCTATTATGCTAATGTCAGATTTTTATTTATTTATTTAGTATAGAGTTATTGTTTATTTATCTTGTGCTGTGTGCTCCTCATTCCTACTGTTCTGTAACTGGTGATGCAACACTGAAATTTCCCCTCTGTGGGACAAATTAAGGATCTCTTAATCCTAATTATGTAAACAAAACAATTGCAATAATAGATTTTTGGATTTAACTTTGAAGATTTGTTTTAAAGGATTGTGCTCTCTCTGTGCAACTTCTTTACTCTTTCCTTTCTTTTACTGCGTTTGTCCTTTCAAGCAAATTAATTATACATTATTATAACTAGTTCCTGGCTCAAAAACAGTTTAGTCCTATGCAATGTGTATATTTTGACCTGTGTTACATCTTCACATCAGCTTTCTCAGATGGAAAAGTGAAAAAGAGAGCACCAGCCACGCTCAAAGAGTCAAATAGTGACGCACAGGGCTCTCACTCTTACAAGAATAAAATGTAAGAAATTAAAGGTTTTTGATACGGTGAGAAGACGATGGCATGTTTTAGTCCAATTTGTTCACACCGATTACTTTTACCAGACTCTTTGGGATGGGGGAAAAAGGTGAGGTACCCCAGCTTTAACCAACTGCTGTGTTGCTACGTTTAATTTCTTCATTTGTGAACTTACAGAGACGCCCCACTGTTGTTTGGCCTCTTCATCCGATACGACCGCTGCAGTTTGGGCAACACTGACAGCGGCTCCAGCTCAGGGTACGGAGGAGAGCCTGGGATACAGAAAATACATCCTAAAAGTGACCTTGGCAAATTATGTTTCATTTTTTTATTTAGCAATACAAAAGCTTTTCATGTCAAGTCATTTTTAAATGGCCATAATCTGTTAAAAGGCATTAATAAACCACGCTCTTTTCCAATACTTGTTTAACTGATAACTGTGGTTCAGCTGAGATATTTGAATTTCAAAATTAGTTTTACAGCCCCTAAATCTTGTTATTGTTTTCATTTCACATTGGCATAGTTAGAATCACTCAGGTATTGCAAAAAGACAGGAAGTGTGCAAAATGTTGAAAAGGTTCAAATATACTGTAGTCTCTTTTGTGCAAGATATGTCACGTACAATAAAATTATAATTGACTATAGCAGTGCAAGTTTTTAAATCCTAGTTCAGGCCAATAAAGTTAAAATAGCCCCTTCCCTATAAATGTGTATTTTTTCTTTTACATTTTAATTAGTATCTTTGTCATGTTGGGAACTGAAGGATTTTAACCATTAGAATTCTCAAGGCAAGAGGAGAGTGAAGAATAGTTAATGACAAGGGGCCTCAAGGATTTTGATTAGTTTCAACCAATCAGGAGGCTGAGGGGGGTCAGCATGGACAGATCTTCCAAAAGTTTCACTCTCTTCACAATTACAAAAGTAACTGAAAATTAAGCACTTAAAATGATGACATACTTTTACAAATTTGACTTGTGGGAACAATACAAAATTCTTATTATTATTTACATCAGACAGACTGAAAAAAATGACTTCATACATTACCTAAAGTGATCATTTCATACAACAAGATTCCAAATGACCAGCTGTGGGGGATAAGAAAGAAGCAATCAAGTTATGCGAAAACATTTATTAGTACATTTGTAAGAGATGTGTGTGTATGTACGTATTCTCTGTATCAGGGCATCTATATTAGAAACGTATTGACAAATAGCCAAGCTGTAATCGGTCATTTTAATATATTTTTTTGATTCTGAATAATTAACATGTTCAGTTCCCCAGGTCGCCTGCAGGGGACATCAGACACAAACACAATTGCTGAAATAGAAAATAAAGTGGCTGCAACACACACCAAACATTAAGAGGAAGTTCTTACACATCACTTCTGTCGATCTTGAGCTGCATCATGATCCTCTCGGGCGATTGCCATTTTATCGGTACCTGTGTTGTTTGTACGGTAATCGCTGACTCCGCCTTCCGTGCCCTGAAGGCCCCACCCAGCCCCCCCACCCGCGCTGTTAAACCAGGCCCCAGGAGGATGTTCCGGGCCGCCACGTCTCCATGGACCAGCCTGTGCTCAGACATCAGGTAATCCTATACAGGGACAGAGCAGAGAGGGGAGAGGGTTGATCCTGGAGTGACCCAAAATGTTACAATCAAAAGGGAATAAGGAAAAAAGCGGACTCACCAGACCAGCTGCTACCTGCTTGGCAACCACAAACACTGACCTCTCTGTGAAGTCCTGATCAGTCAGTGTAACATTGTTCTGAGGGTCAAAAGAATCAAATTGGTAACTCATTTGAGATTTGATATTACGTATTTTGATGTGTGTGTGTGTGTGTTATTCATTCACTCCAGTTTCGGCCTTTCAAAAAGCTTTCAGTATTACACAATCAAACAAGAAGAGAGGTGTATTGCTCAAGGACACAAGCGCACAGATCTCAGAAGCTAAGCAGGACATGGCCCGGTTGGTGCTGTGATGGGAGACGTCCGGGAACACCAAGTGCCACAGTGAGATGGATGTAAATTGCCAAATTTACATAGTGTTGTGCCCTTAGGCAAGACACTTCATACGCATTGTCTGAGTCTGTGTGTGAGTGAATTACTGGTGGTGATTGGAGGGAGGGGCCGATGGCACGGAGGAGTACTCTTGAACCAGTCTGCTCCGGGGCAACTGTGGCTATATTGCTTTGAGTGAATGAATAATGCCAAGGGCTTTTCACAAAACTAGTCGGTATAAGGCAAATTGTTGTATGTGTATGGTTTTGGTCATTGCGTTCTTAAACATTGGTGGATCATGAGAACACAAACACTTTACATTTCGGAGGCTCCAGAGGAAGTGCAGCAGGTTCCCAGGGACGCTCTTCTCCAGGATCAGGTACATGGGCAGACGAGAGGTTTGACAGAACAACATCTTCACCACGTTCTGGTGTCTGCTCACTCTGGAGTGAAACTGAAGCAGCTCCACAAACTCTCCAGCCTCAGGTTTCTCCGGCCCGTCTGCACATAAGATGAGAATACACATAAAGTATGCACTGCACAAAGGTATTGACACCAGACTTAAATCTGGGGAACCTAACTTTTGTCTTACAATTTTGTAGCTATTGCATAAACGTAAGGAAGCTATATACTGTATATGTGAGACATTTCGCTGAGAGCTGATTGGTTGCTGCAGGGACGTCATATACTTTAACAAATGATTACTGTTGTGATTTAGGGCCATACAAATTTTAATTTTAATTGAATCCTTCTGTTTATGTTAAACTTTGCTTTCCATTTTTTTCATAAATAATACATTTTATTTCTCTCAACAGAGGGGTCTTGTAATAGTCAAATTTGTGCAACAAAATCTTCATGTCATCTGAAAACATATTTTGCATAATTGTAAGAAAGAGCTCTGTGAGTCACTATTTGACACTTTAGACTGAGGGCGGATTGGCGGAGTAGCGGTAGTCCTCTCTTTTCATTTGTCTGAAAAAGCTGATCAACAGATGTGGCAAAGGGCCAAAAACATGTGAAAAATCTCTTACTACACTACAACAATTTACACGTTTGCAGTTCAAAAGTTAAGTACCGCAGCTTTAAATAGCAGGGCTCAAAGAAAATGTATTCAATATTTTATTCAGTATACATTTTGACACCTTCATTATTGCTCTGTAGTATCACAATCATCATCGCTTACCTCTGAGAGACTTGACCACCACAGACTGTGTGCTGCCCTCCTTCCTCCTCAGGGTCCCCTTACAGATGGGTCCATAGTGCCCTTTCTGCCAGAAGTCCAGCCCCTCCAGGACACACTCTGCAGGCATCTCCCAGGGACTCAGAGTCACATGCACTTTAGAAGGACCCCCTGAACCGTCACCCACGTCCATGCTCTGGCCTGGGACAATACAGGTAACAGGTCTGAATATTGGTGAAGACAATGAAGCTTCATCATTTTCATCTCTTTTCTAGATCTTGTTGGTACCTGTAAGTGGTCTTGTTGACCTTGATCGTTGCTTGTTTTTGTACAGACTATAGAAAAGCAGAAGCACCACTAAAAGTGTACTCAAAGTCAGAAGAGCAGGGATAACTATGACGGCGAGTGCATCAGACGACTCCTCATCTACGACAAAGAAACACACGTTAGAATACGCATGTCTTTTTGGTGAAGTATTCTTTGTGCTCAGACGCACCACTGAGACAGAAGATAGAGGAGTAATTGTGGTTACATCCTGAGTTCACATCCATAGCAGCTAAAAACAGAACGGCACACTGACTGTATTACGGTGGCTTGCAAAGGTATTCACACCCCCTGAACATTTCCACATCTTGCCACATCATGACCACAAACATAAGGTTTTTAGTTCAACTTCTTTGTGAGAGACCAACATAAAGTGGTGAACTTCAGTATACATATTTTATGATTCTTTAAATGGGACTTGCAAAAGCATTCAGCATGTGTGTCTCAATTGTCCAGTAGGTAAAGAATTGTACCTCAATTGGGCTCACACCACAATTGCCAAGTCATTGAAGAATTTATGAATTATTTTCTAGTTGAAGAAGTGTTTCCTCACCTGGCACCCAAACAGTCTCTTGTTCCAGTGTGACATTTTGATAATGAATCCTTGCTCCTCAGTGGATGATTTGAGTCCGATGTGTTTTTTCTGAATGGTGAGGAGTCTCATGTTCTTATGTGAGGACGCTAACCTGCTGTAAATCATTTACACAGAGGAATAGAACAGCTGCCGCCCTCGCTGTGCCATTCAAATACACAGTTAATGTTTTAAAAGATAATGAGACAAAAGAAAGGCAAAACATAACTAGACATGAATGGAATGTATGTATAGTGTGTATGAACCTACATGTACATTAGACTATAGGAGTACCATAATGTTGAACGTTTAAAGCACCGTGAGATAGAAAGCAGGACTTTATTAGGCCTAATTGTAAGTGAATGAAATCTGAAATGAGGGTAAAGACAGTTATTGATTTGTCTAAAAACTGAACAAAAACAACTCTAGTCTTCCTGAAGATGTGAGACAGGCCTCCTCTCTGTCAATGTTTAAAACCAGGTTAAAGACAGTTCTGTTTAGCTGTGCATACAACTGAGGGATTTTAAGTTTTTATCTTTCTTTTTAATGTTCTGTGATTATTTATGATTTTAATGCTTTCTTATTTTGTTCAGCACTTTGAATTGCCTTGTGTATGAATTGTGCTATATAAATAAACTTGGCTTGCCTAAAACAATTTAAGAAAGCACATTAAATGAACCATATTTCATTGTATCATAGTTGAAGTGGAAGTGACAGAAATAGACCAGAGTACAATCCTAAAAAAACATGTACGTGTCCAAATAGGTCAACGGTGATTTTCCCCGAATGAGTCACCTGCTTTGTCTGGATTGGGGCAGTAGGTACCAGTGCTCTCAGCGCAGTGCACTGGTGGGGATGGGGTTAGTGTGCCTCTGCTTTTTAAACAACTGTATATCATCGCTTCTGAATGATTGAGCTAAGGGGGAAAAAATGCTTCTACAGCAAATAGCTAAACTATTATAGTGAGCTCTTGTTATACACTTTGAAAGAATGTGTTGTGAAGTTAGGACAATGTTACGAGTCTATGTCGTCACATACTAATGCAAACATGTATGATAAACCTCTGACACACTCAAAGTAAAAAAAAAAAAACAACATTGAATTTGTCTGTGAACCCTTTGGAGTGCAACAAGAGGATGAATTCTTTGTGATGGTGAGGCACTGCAGTTTTAGCCTCTGATGACTCATTCACTCGTATTATAAGTGGGAACAACTTCTGCCCAGAAAAAGAGAAAACTCCAAAGTCCAACTATATTAAAGACAAGATTGTTCTTTGTTTCTTTAAAAATCTGGACCACCAACAGATCCCTCTGAATACACTTTTTAAAAAAAGAATTCTTTGACATTTTGTCCATGAAGTGCAAGTCATACCAGACCCACACTTTATGGAGGAGCGCCCAGAGTTGGAGATCGTGGCAGTGATAAGCCATGGTTTCAAGTAATAAGGATCAGAAATAGATAGATAAATACTTTATTGATCCCCCATAGGAGAAATTCAGGTGTCCAGCAGCAGAAGACTCTTTTCTTGTTGTTGTAATACAGTTAGTCAGGTTTGACAGTCAGTCAGGTTTCTTATACAGTCTGACAGCCGAAGGAACGAAGGATCTTTTGAAACGTTCCGTTCGACTCCTCTGAGCGGCCAAAGTGTTATGCAGAGGGTGTCTGGAGTTACCCAGGATGCCCTGCATTAGAGCCCTCATCCTTCTCTCCAGCACAGCTCCCACAGAGTCCACACAGAAAGGAACAAGAACAAAATAATATAGTGGATAAATGCAACTTGTCATGTCCCTTTATTAGTCCATTTCTGGGACGGGGGACTTGGCAATTAAAGCTGCCACCTAGTCCTCAAAGCACCAGCCACAGCCTTGGTCTTTCCACAGGAGCTTCAGGCAAAGTGGGGTTAAATGTCTTGCCCAGGGAGGGACACAACTGCAGCAGACATCAGTAGGAGCAGATGACCAAAATCTACCAGCTTTTGTGTTTCCTGTAATTAAAGTATACTTAACTGAAAGTAACAGTAACTACATTACTATTTGCGCCCAAAGAAAAAACGACTTTATCTATCAATTTGATATTATATGCAGTGTCCAAGTATTGCCACCAGAGGGCAGGGCGGTGCAAGCTATGGCAAACATCAACAATAGTACAACGCCATGAGTGTTATTTCAGAGTTGGGTTCAAAAGTTAGGATCATCTCTAAAGTACAATACCAACAAACCATTTCTGATCATTTAAAACTCGCCCTTAGTCACCTTTTCCCGCGTGAATTGTGAATCTTAACAACACAAAGCACTTCTCAAACACACAACGCAGCGGTTCCATGAGAGGTTCCCATGGCTGGAGCATGTCCCGCCCACCTCCATTGACTATTGGCTCTGTGGGAACGCCTCAGGGATCATCCTCTGAGCTCTGATTGGACATAAACAATTGCAATCGACGGTCCAACGCGGAAAAAGATTGGGGGGAAAAAGTTACGGAGCGGAGCCTAATCGGATCACGGCTCTTTCATGCGGCTGCGTAATTTGGAGTGAAAACAAATCCCTATTGCGCTGTTTTATCAGTGAATAAGTTAACCTTATAGTCTGCGCAACAAGAGGGACTCCAAAAGCGCTGGGTTGACGGCACCTAGACGCGTTCAGCTGCTAATGTTTTCCCGTATCCAAGGGTTCGCTGCTGATGTCACCGAGAAGGAGGAGGAAAGCGAGAGGGAAGACAGGTGCTGAAAGTTCCCGGGGGGTGTAGTGGCGTTGGATGTACACTGCGAACTGTCATCTTCTGTGCCCGGCCAGTCAACAGCTGATCCGGGGAAAGTTTTACTAGTAGCAGCGTGGGTGCTTTCTCCACTCTTTATTTGAACTTGTTTGGAGAGGTTGTTCCTTTACGCAGCGCTCCACAGACTCTGCTACTGTTTGTTTACGTGCGTTGCTTTGGACTGAACCGAATTGAGGGATATAGCCACCATATATATATATATTTTTAGAGGGCATTGTGGCTTTTGGATGCTGCTTTGAAGTACGCATCACGCAACACTGGCAGGGAGATGAAGGAGTAAGGTCGATCGCGATTTTGTGTTTTGCGTTTGGGGATTTTGATGGTGAGACTGCTGGATTATTGCACAGTCTTTTACGCAGGGGAAAACCATGTCCAAAACGCTGAAGAAAAAGAAACATTGGTCCGCTAAGATCCAGGAATGCAGCGTGTCTTGGGGAGGCTCCGTGGGAGAGCTGATGGCCGTGGTGGAGGTGCGTGGAGGCGCGGAGCTCGGCCAGTTCCCCTACGTGGGACATGTGGTGAGTGAGGCGATGGTGATCCACGGTGGCCGCTTGCCCAGCCCCGGGGACGTGCTGCTGGAGGTGAACGGGACCCCTGTGAGCGGGCTGACCAACCGGGACTCCCTGGCGGTGGTGCGACACTTCAGAGAGCCCATCCGACTCAAGACCGTAAAACCAGGTGTGTAAAATATAAATAAAAAGCATCATACGACCCCATTCATGTTTTAATGCTACGTATAGTAGTGAGTAGAAGCACTGGATGTGAAACCGCTGGGCTACACTGATGCTGCACACATGAGGATGTCTTTTGACAGTTTCCTAAGCCTTTTAACTTCTATATGATTCCTTGGACGTTCTTTTATCCATTGATGATGCTCATTTTGATCTGGATTATAGCTTTGCCTCTGCTAGATATTTAAACCCCGTTATCTGTACTGATCCCCTCTGGGTTGCTCTTAATTTAGTCCAGATTGGGTTTCCTGATTCTCTTTTTATGCACTGAAAATAATGACAACAATTAAGCAGTGTCTTGTTTTAGGGGTATTTGGGCTCCTTTTTTATTTCTTTTGAGCATCTGTTAAAGCTGGAGTACCTAACATTGAAAGCACAACAAACATGTAATATAATTGATGTAACTCCTAGCTCTGAAGACTGCTCTGGTTTTATCACTAGTTTGCACATGCATGTCTGTTTTGACCTCTGTCATATCAGCTTATTTAGTAAAGTACCAGCCCTCCCTCAGCTTTCAGTATGCATAAGATCCAGAGCTTTCTAACGATGTGTAGACGACATGTTGTGTTCTGATTGGGTCACAAAATGTTACTTGAACAAGACTCTTTCTGATGGGATAAACAACGTCTATTTATGAAATGAGAAGTCAGGTACTTCAGCTCTTAAACGGATTCATATCGGCAGTCTATGGCAACAAAAGGGTGATGCAATTATTGACAATGAATACACTAAGAGGCATGATGCTCAGAAGGAGATGGAGGATGTGTAACCATGTTGTATCGTCCCCCTCTTGAATGATCCAATACAGGGGTCTCCAACCTGTAGCTCGCCACCCTCTTTCTAGGCAGCTCCCCAAAGAATTTAGAAACATATACTGATACTAAATATTTCTGAATGTGTTATTCATTTGCTCGCCATTATTACATTGTGCACTAGTCATGAAAATTTAATGATAAATGTCATGTTTTTTTTGGTTCTTTTGAAAGACTAGTTATATTATCGTCTTGTTAACATGATTCATCTGGTTTGTCTTTCAAAAGAACCACTTTTTTTTTTACTCAAGACAAAAATAACCATCAATAAATAAGAAATTAAAAATAAGAATCAATAATATTTCATGCTCTCACCAATACATTCACAATGCTTTCTTAAGACGGTAGTAGCTCTCTACAAATGCAAGAAAGCACCTCTCTAGGGGAAAACAGTTTGAGACGGCTACTCTATTACAGGTTTACAATATACAATTCAGAAGTTTTTATTAATACATTATTGCATCTCTTTAAAACAAGATTTGCTGTATCAATTTAATTCATTACAAGGTTTGTCAATAGAGAACACATTTGAAAGAAGTATTGTTGCTTTCAACATTCAAATGAAAACCTCCTTGTCTTTCAGTCAAATCAGAAATTGCATGCATGTTTTATTGGCAAATATTATAAGGTCAAGTAATCAAGGTGAAGTCTACTTTTCTGAAAGGCTTATTCGGCTTTTACACTCACTTCGGCCCCATGTCTGCTGCTTGATTGACCTATAGAACCAAACTCTCTATCCTACTGGTGTGTTCCTCTTGTTATACCTGTCCAGTGTACATTGAATCCATCTGGCCATAGTGCTGTAACGTATGCATGGACGTGGCTGGCTGTGGTGGAGTAACTTAAAGAGCCCGTCTCCCAGAACAGGTGTTCCTTGTATCATGAATAAGTTAGAGCGCAGTCTAATAGCAGCCTCTTCTCTGGCCGGCTCCCCTTTCTCCTCAGGGCCAGATGCAGATGCCCTGTGATGACTGCTTCTGTTTTGTTGTTGTAATCTAGTCCATAGAAGTGGGTTATTTAACATTTATAACGGCTCGCGTTCATTGTTCGACACGTTGAAGCTCTATATGTTGCTTTTTGCCTGTATTTAATGAATCCCTAAACTGAGGATTTTGTCTGAATGAAACTGGTTAGTAGTTGGGCTAAGGTCAAATACTGGCAGCATGCATGACAATATATATTCTCAACTTGTGCAAAGAATAAATTACATGATAAATATTAACATCCCCAATATTGTAACCCACCAGAGCCCTACTTTGTCCAACAAGCTTTGGTCCTTTTCTAGTCCAGATGTATAGTTTACTTTATTAAGCCTTTCACAATTATTACTATAAAAGTCCATCCAATAATTGATGGAAGGTATAATATATTTTCAGGGTCGGTATTTATTGTCTATACATTTTCTTTGAAGTTTTAGGAGGAATTCTGCTAATGTATTTGGAATATGATCACATACAGCCCTAGGTGATAAACTTCTTTTTACTTAATTTTGCTTAATTATGCTGTTTGTTTTCCGAGCGCATGCTTTTTTATGATATGGATGAGTTGACCAGTTTTTTGACGGGGATTATTCTGCTGTATTGTACTTTCATACCGCAATCATTTTCTGAATCTACATATTGTTCACGATGTATAGGTTGTATACTGTAGGTCGTGAGCACACTAGTTACACACACACAACGCGCATCATACAGAGTGTAATGTGTCCTGGCTCAGGGCTGTGTTTATGATAATTGATCATCTCTGAGTAACGTCCTGCCAATTCAGAATCATTATCTCTAGAAGGATAATGAAGTTGTATAATTTTTCCGTCCTTGATTCCAAAGACTCACAAGACGCACCAGTTTGTATTCATTCGTGGGGACTTTTTCTTTAAATCTTGCACAAGAGCGCGTGCTAAGAGCCTATTGATCACAGTTACCCTGCACACATTTTGCGTGGCGTTGGCTCAGCACTTAGTATGCACCTCTCAATGGAGCCGAGACTTTTCTAATGTGTCAAAACGCATTGACATTCAGAGCCTTCAGCCTGATGCAGCGATAGTAGCGATGCATGCGTGCGTGTGTGTGTGTGTGTGTGTGTGTGCGCAGAGGTTTAGAAGGGGAGCTGATGGAGCAAATGCTGAGCTGGGCACTTTGCTCACACTTAGCTGGAATTTGTTAATATTTCCTCCATGGCTTAGGCGCCGCTGCTCTGTTGCGAAGGCGAAGGCCAGGGCTAATGTAATCGCTTTGGCTTCTGTCCATACATCTTTTATGCTTTGGAGTTTGTGACACGTCGCCTGGGTTCATGCCATGGCTGTCCTGGTATGTCCTGGTCTTGACTTGTTTTTATTTTATTTTTTTATATTATCTTATTTGTATTTGTCTATTTTGTATTTTCTATGTGTTTTATTATTTGTCTTCAAGGAATGTAAGATCGTCAATAACAACAATTTCACAATTTGAATTAGCAAAATATAGGAAAATATAGCAATAAATGGTAATATTCAAATTAATGTTACCAACACGTTTATAACAGTTCAGATCAGTAACACACGATAATCCCATAAACTGCTTTTTAAAATATCTAAATGCACAATATTGTTATGTCATCAACTAATTAACAGCAGAAAATCCTTGGAGCTTGGTGCCTCGGACTTCTGCAAAATGTTGCAAATCGTTCGACAGTATGGCTTTCCGTGGGCGATGCTGATTACGATACAGGGGATTCGTTCTAATGTTAATGCCAATGCACTATTTCGAAATATCCTTTTGTGGATAATGATGAGAAGCTCATTTAAAGCAGAGACGAGAGGAAAACATGTCAGATATCCAGGCTCTTCTTTGTGGAGGGTTTGTTAATTATCTTGCATCTTTTGCGTTTGTTTGTTTTTTTAAAAGCACCTTTTTAAATCATGCATGTCTTTTGTACATAGTAATTGTAATTATTCTATTCTCCATTTTTTTTTCCTTAGAAGTGAATGCTGATTTTTATTATGCCTTACTCTATTCTCTATTCTCTCTTTTCTGACTGTTGCACTGAGCCAAAGCAATTTCCAACTCTGTGACTTCCTGTTACTTACTTGGCAATAAAAAATATTCTGATTCTGATTCTTTTGAAGTATTGATTACTTTCATAGAATATAAGTTCATGTATCCATAAGGGAGGTTTTTCTGGACAGAATATCTTTACTATTTGTGTTTTGGGTTCATTGTTTAGAGTAAACCAGAGTAAGTGGTTGTTTTCCTGAGAGGATGAGCTTTAAAATGAGGTATAACTTGACGTAGAAAACAAGATTGTCTTGTAGAAGATTATAAGTGTGTACAGATTGATGCACACAACCCCTCAATGTAATTGTATAAGTTACTTGTCTTGCACAATTTTTTTTTTATAAGCCTGCACAATACATACTGTGCCCCAAAATGTATTGTATGTTTGTCAAGTTTATGGTAATTATTGTGACGGTAATAAGGGGAGGCGGGGTTTTGTTATGCGAGTATGACGTGGACTTTCTTTCCCTAAAGCCCTGTAGACCCTGGCAGTGAAGAGAAAGTGAACCCAGGAGAAGGATGAGAGCTGCATTACCTTGTTAAAAAGCTGACAGGAAATGAAGGACGGCTCCAGATGAGGAGAGGAGAGAGGGGAGACGGCGGGGGAGGCGGCAGAGTCGTGATGCTTGATCCAGGCAGGTGACGAAGCAGCAGCAGCAGCAGGGAGGCAACAGAGAGGACCAAGCTGTAAACGAAATGTCAAATACTTTCTCTACAGTACAAGTTTATGACCCAGTTTGGATGTACCGAGAAAGTTTGTTACGTTTACAGTTTCAATGTTGATGTAACTGGGCCCTCAAGTGGTGGAATTCCTCTTGTTTATATCCTAACCCAAACTTTTTATTAAGAGGGCCACATCATTTCACCAGTGGTTCAGATTCAGAAAACTTTATTGATCCCAAAGGGCAATTCATTTGCAGCATAAACTCAATGCAGAACACACAGACTCTTCACAAACACACAGTGAGTCTCACAGTTCACACAGCAACACAATATAAGTTACAAAAACAACACTGAACAACACAATTCCCAAAAGTCAAACACCTCACCAGAGTTCAACAGTGTTATGGCAGAGGGCACAAAAGAATTGGAAAAACGGTTTGTTTTCCGT